AAGACTTTAAATGACACACTGGACCCAATGGACTTCACAGACCTATTCAGAACATTCCATCCCAAAGCAACGGAATACACATTCTTCTCTAGTGCCCATGGAACATTCTCCAGAATTGATCACATCCTAGGTCATAAATCAGGTCTCAACCGGTACTAAAAGATTGGGATCATTCCCTGCCTATTTTCAGACCACAATGCTTTGAAACTAGAACTCAATCACAAGAGGAAAGTTGGAAAGAACTCAAATATATGGAGGCTAAAGAGCATCCTACTGAAGAATGAATGGGTCAACCAGGAAATTAAAGAAGAATTTAAAAAATTCATGGAAACCAATGAAAATGAAAACACAACGATTCAAAATCTTTGGGATGTAGCAAAGGCAGTCCTACGAGGAAAGTATATAGCAATACAAGCCTTTCTCAAGAAACAAGAAAGGTCTCAAGTACACAACCTAACCCTACACCTAAAGGAGCTGGAGAAGGAATAGCAAATAAAGCCTAAACCCAGCAGGAGAAGAGAAATAATAAAGATCAGAGCAGAAATCAATGAAATAGAAACTAAAAGAACAGTAGACAGATCAACGAAACAAGGAGCTGGTTCTTTGAAAGAATTAACAAGATTGATTAATCCCTGGCCAGACTTAGCAAAAAGAAAAGAGAAATCAAGAAAATTAGGAATGAGAGAGGAGAGATCACAACCAACATCAAAGAAATATAAACAATTATAAGAACATATTATGAGCAACTCTATGCCAGCAAATTAGATAACCTGGAAGAAATGGAGGCATTCCTAGAGATGTATCAACTACCAAAACTGAACCAGGAAGAAACAGAAAACCTGAACAGACCTACAACCACTAAGGAAATTGAAGCAGTCATCAAAAATCTCCCAAAAAACAAAAGCCCAGGGCCAGATGGCTTCCCAGGGGAATTCTACCAAACATTTCAAGAAGAATTAATACCTTTTCTTCTGAAACTGTTCCAAAAAATAGAAATGGAAGGAAAACTTCCAAACTCGTTTTATGAGGCCAGCATTACCTTGATCCCAAAACCAGACAAAGACCCCATCAAAAAGGAGAATTACAGACCAATATCCCTGATGAACATGGATGCAAAAATTCTCACCAAAATACTAGCCAATAGGATCCAACAGTACATTAAAAGGATTATTCACCACGACCAACTGGGATTTATCCCTGGGCTGCAAGGTTGGTTCAACATCCGCAAATCAATCAACGTGATACAATACATTAACAAAAGAAAGAACAAAAATCATATGATCCTCTCAATAGATGCAGAAAAAGCATTTGACAAAGTACAGCATCCTTCCTTGATCAAAACTCTTCAGAGTAGAGGCACTGAAGGTACATACCTCAATATCATAAAAGCCATCTATGAAAAACCTACAGCGAATATCATTCTCAATGGGGAAAACCTGAGAGCTTTTCCCCTAAGGTCAGGAACACGGCAGGGATGTCCACTATCACCACTGCTATTCAACATAGTATTGGAAGTCCTAGCCACAGCAATCAGACAACAAAAAGAAATCAAAGACATCCAAATCGGCAGAGAAAAAGTCAAACTCTCACTCTTTGCAGATGATAGGATACTTTATGTGGAAAACCCCAAAGACTCCACCCCAAAACTGCTAGAACTCATACAGGAGTTCAGTAAAGTGGCAGGAAATAAAATCAATGCACAGAAATCAGTGGCATTCCTATACACCAACAACAAGACAGAAGAAAGACAAATTAAGGAATCGATCCCATTTACAACTGCACCCAAAACCATAAGATAACTAGGAATAAATCTAACCAAAGAGGCAACGGATCGGTACTCAGAAAACTATCAAATACTCATGAAAGAAATTGAGGAAGACACAAAGAAATGGAAAAATGTTCCATGCTCATGGATTGGAAGAACAAATATTGTGAAGATGTCAATGCTACCTAGAGCAATCTACACATTCAATGCAATCCCCATCAAAATACCATCTACTTTTTTCAAAGAAATGGAACAAATCATCCTAAAATTTGTATGGAACCAGAAAAGACCCCAAAGAGCCAGAGGAATGTTGAAAAAGAAAAGCAAAGCTGGTGGCATCACAATTCCGGACTTCCAGCTCTATTACAAAGCTGTCATCATCAAGACAGTATGGTACTGGCACAAAAACAGGCACATAGATCAATGGAACAGAGTGGAGAGCCCAGAAATGGACCCTCAACTCTATGGTCAACTAATCTTCAACAAAGCAGGAAAGAATGTCCAATGGAAAAAAGACAGTCTCTTCAACAAATGGTGTTGGGAAACTTGGACAGCCACATGCAGAAGAATGAAACTGGATCATTTCCTTACACCACACACAAAAATAGACTCCAAATGGTTGAAAGACCTCAATGTGAGACAGGAGTCCATCAAAATCCTCAAGGAGAACACAGGCAGCAACCTCTTCGACCTCAGCCGAAGCAACTTCTTCCTAGAAACATCGCCAAAGGCAAGGGAAGGAAGGGCAAATATGAACTATTGGGACTTCATCAAGATAAAAAATTTTTGCAAAGCAAAGGAAACAGTCAACAAAACCAAAAGACAACTGACCGAATGGGAGAAGATATTTGCAAATGACTTATCAGATAAAGGGCTAGTATCCAAAATCTATAAAGGACTCATCAAACTCAACACCCAAAGAACAAAGAATCCAATCAAGAAATAGGCAGAAGACATGAACAGACATTTTTCCAAAGAAGACATCCAAATGGCCAACAGACACATGAAAAAGTGCTCAATATCGCTCGGCATCAGGGAAATCCAAATCCAAATCTCAATGAGATACCACCTCACACCAGTCAGAATGGCTAAAATTAACAAGTCAGGAAACGACAGATGTTGGCGGGGATGTGGAGAAAGGGGAACCCTCCTACACTGCTGGTGGGAATGCAAGCTGGTGCAGTCGCTCTGGAAAACAGTATGGAGGTTCCTCAGAAAGTTGAAAATGGATGCATTCCTAGAGATGTAAGTTGAAAATAGATGTAAGTTGAAAATAAAAGATGTTAATAAATAAATAAAATAAAATAAATAAATAAATAATAAATAAATAAATAAAAAGATGTAAGTTGAAAATAGAGAATTTATTTTGAAAATAATAAATCCAGCTATTGCACTGCTGGGTATACACCCCAAAGATACAAAAGTAGGGATCTGAAAGGGTACGTGGACCCCGATGTTTATAGCAGCAATGTCCACAATAGCCAAACTGTGGAAAGAGCCAAGATGTCCATCGACAGATGAATGGCTAAAGAAGATGTGGTATATATATACAATGGAATATTATGCAGCCATCAAAAGGAATGAGATCTTGCCATTTGCAACGACGTGGATGGAACTGGAGGGTATTATGCTGAGCGAAATAAGTCAGTCAGAGAAAGACATGTATCATATGACCTTACTGATATGAGGAATTCTTAATCTCAGGAAACAAACTGAGGGTTGCTGGAGTGGGGGGTGTGGGGGAGGGATGGGCTGACTGGGTGATGGACACGGGGAGGGTAGGTGCTCTGGTAAGCGCTGTGAATTGTGCAAGACTGTTGAATCTCAGATCTGTACCTATGAAACAAATAATGCAATATATGTTTAGAAAAAAAAAAAAGAAGATAGGAGGGGAAGAATGAAGGGGGGAAAATCGGAGGGGTAGATGAACCATGAGAGACGATGGACTCTGAAAAACAAACTGAGGGTTCTAGAGGGGAGGGGGGTGGGAGGATGGGTTAGCCTGGTGATGGGTATTGAGGAGGGCACCTTCTGCATGGAGCACGGTGTTTTGCACAAACAATGAATCATGGAACACTACATCTAAAACTAATGATGTAATGTATGGGGATTAACATAACAATAAAAAATTAAAATAAAATAGAAAATAAAACCATAATGATTAAAAAAAACATAATGATATATATATATTACATACCCATCAGAATGGCTAAGATTTAAAAAACTGACAATACTAAGTGTTCATGAATATACAGGGAGAAATTAGAACTTTCATACACTGCTGGTGGGAATGGAAAATGGTACTACTTTAGAAAACAATTTGGCAGTTTTGTAACAAGGGAATATAAAGAGACATGAGACTTATGGGTGATAGATATGTTAACTGCCTGAATTATGGTTATGGTTTCATATGCATATACATATGTCAAAACTATCAAATTATACACTTCATATATGTGCAGTTTACCTAACTAAAGCTGTTGGGGGGGAAAATGCTCTATTATAGGAAAAAACATCTAAAACAGTGGCTGAGACACAGATGGAAAGAAGGATATGAAACATGGGCGCCTGGGTGGCTCAGTCATTAAGCATCTGCCTTCGGCTCAGGTCATGATCCCTGGGTCCTCGGATCGAGCCCTGCATCCGGCTCCCTGCTCCGCGGGGAGCCTGCTTCTCCCTCTCTCACTCTCCCTGCTTGTGTTCCCTCTCTCACTGGGTCTCTCTCTGCCAAATAAATAAAAAATTAAAAAAAAAAGAAGGATATGAAACAATACAAGATGAAGCTAGAGTACTGTGGTCTTTCACCTTAGAGCAATGAGAAGTAATAGCGAAGCTTTAAGCAAGGGGGTAACGTGATGAAACATGAATTTTTAAAGATTATGATAACTATGGTTGCAGTGTAGACCAAGATTCTGGGAGGTGGAATGACAGGGAAAACAGTCCTGAGGTTATTTCAGTATTCTAGGAGAAAAATAATGGTAACCTGACCTTGGGTGAAGGCACAGAAAAGAAGCGCAGTTAACAACACATCACGTGTGCCATTCCCATGACAAAACATAGAGTGGAAATTATAGCCCTTTGGCTGAGAGTATTCAACAGTTCTCTATTCTCATATAAAACATATTTCTGACATGAGTAGCTCATGAGTGTTGTGTGGTACAGCACTATACAAGATGGGCACATATTACTACAGTAATATACATACAAAGGCTTTCTACTTATACAATGGTCCTACCTTTACGATCCTGGCCAACTTGTACAAATAGCGACTTGCAACTCATATACTTAGAGCAAGGCAACTTGGAATCCTCTGAAGCTGTTCCAGATGACTCCGTTAAGTCAAGGTCATCCATAAAATTAATTTGCTTTTTGACCTACAAATAAAAAATACTATTTCAAAATGTCCCCCAAATATTCATACAATATACTAAGTGTAGAGAGATGATAAATACCCATCTTTTTATAAGAGCAAAAACATGGGTACTTTTTAAAAGAACTGATTTTTATCAAAACGACCTTTATCAATAATTAGTACTTCTGAAAAACTTTTTTCTTTTTTTTAAGGTTTTATTTATTTGACAGAGAGAAAGACAGCCAGAGAGCGAACACAAGCAGGGGGAGTGGGAGAGGGAGAAACAGGCTTCCCGCGGAGCAGGGAGCCTAATGTGGGGCTCGATCCGAGGACTCTGGGATCATGACCTGAGCCGAAGGCAGACGCTTAACGACTGAGCCACCCAGGCGCCCACTTCTGAAAAACTTTTTCACAATAAATGTCTATACAACAAAGGAAGATTTTCTATGTTTTCACTATGCCCTTCCTAAAGTAATTTTTTACCGTGGAATAATATTTCTAATAAATATTATTTATCAAAGTAATATAATAAAGCCAAAATTAAAAAAAATAAATGAAATAGAATTATGCATATATTTTTACCTCTTTCTTTTCATGAGATGTTTTCTTTGCAGGTCTAAAAAAAGACAATTCTTTTCAGGCAAGTATTAAATACTTAAAATACAAAGAATATCTAAATCATATCTAAACAATATTATTAATAATACTAAGCATTAAATTTAGATCAAATGGACATAAAGCAAAGGAAAAGCATAATGTTACTGGCATTATTTGATACGAAGAAATATACCACATTTTTTGTTGTCATTTTCAATAAAAACAAGCTTTTATTGGCTCTAAAATCTATTGGGAAAGTGCAAGTTAGGTTCTTATATGAAAGAAACCCATTTTTAATAATCATGATACTAGTGTTTTGAGGATTTACTGTACAACTACTATGCATTATGATGAACCCCTTACACATCTTAAAAGTATTTTAAGCCTCACAACAATCTTATAAACATGGGTAATTATATTAGGTATTTTACACAGGAAGAAAATGAGGCACAGAAATAATTAACTTCCCCAAGCCCATACAGCTGGTCAGGAGTAGACCCAGAATTCAAATCCAGGATATGTGCCTTCAAAACGTGTGTTTTACAATATGTGGTGAAGGTAATATTTAAGTGTTTCCAAGTAATATGACAGCAAATGAATCTACTATTATTCCATTTCTAGCTATAATTATAAATAATAATTTATGGATCTAACACACATTTTTTAAAATAAGAAGACTCCATACCTAGGCAATATTGAAAATCTACTTTCCATAAACTAAAGATCTGCTTCTTCTGAAGAAGTTCATCAATGGCATTCATCTATTTATTCAACTGTTTATTCACAAATATATACTTACTGAGCACACAATATGTGTCAATGACACTGTTGGTACAGGAACCATGGCTTTTGTCATTTAGAACTTTATAATCTAAAAGTAATAATCTATGATAGATTAATAGTTTATTTTTCAATTATAAATAAAGTCTTTCCCCAGAATCGAAACAAATATTGACTTAATGCAACCAGATACTTCAAAGTCCCTAACAAAACCATAGCTCTGCATGATTCTGTCAAAGGCACTGAATATCTAAAATCATCAAGGAATGATTAGTTCTACTCAGAATGGCCTAAGAGTTTGTATATTTACTATCATTTATATACTTTTAAGTCTATGAATGATACTCTCCGCACATTCAATTATATGAGAATACTCCACTGGGGAACCAATTCTGAATCAACAACTTCTTGCCACAGGGACCTGGGTGGCTCAGTCGTCAGGCGCCCACTTCTGAAAAACTGCCTTTGGCTCAGGTCATGGTCCCAGGGTCCTGGGATCGAGCCCCGCATCGGGCTCCCTGTTCAGCGGGAGTCTGCTTTTCCCTCTCCCACTCCCCCTGCTTGTGTTTCCTCTCTCGCTATGTCTCTGTCTGTCAAATGAATAAAATCCAAAAAAACCCCCCCAAAACCAAAAAAACAACCTCTGGCCACAAAACTACATGAATAGGAATACTAAGGACAATTACTGTAATCTTTAAAAGATAATGTAATACAGGGGAGCCTAGATGGCTCAGTCATTAAGCATCTGCCTTCGGCTCAGGTCATGGTCCCGGGGTCCTGGGATCGAGTCCCACATCAGGCTCCCTGCTCGGTGGGGAGCCTGCTTCTCCCTCTCCCTCTGCCTGCCACTCCCCTTGCTTGTGCATTCTCTCTCTCTCTGTCAAGCAAATAAAAAAATCTTAAAATAGGGGCGCCTGGGTGGCTTAGTCGTTAGGCGTCTGCCTTCGGCTCAGGTCATGATCCCGGGATCCTGGGATCGAGTCCCACATCGGGCTCCCTGCTGGCTGGCAGGGAGCCTGCTTCTCCCTCTCCCTCTGCCTCTGCCTGCCGCTCCCCCTGCTTGTACTCTCTCTCTGTCAAATAAAAAATAAAAAATCTTAAAACAAAAAAGATAATGTAATACAATCAATAAGCTTTCTAATATTTGGAAATGCAAACAAAATTAAATAACCATGTCTATCTCTATCGGATCATTTCCAGCAGCATACAAATGTACTCTAAAAGCTCCCATCTTAAAATTAAAAAAGAAAGAAAATTCCCTTGAATTCCACATTCTTTTTCAGTTATCATCCATTTCTCTATTACCTTTCCCCGTAAAAATTCTCTAAGGAGTTGTTTATACTTTTTCATTACAGTCCAGCTTCCATGGTGACTATTGAAACTGCTCCTTGTCAAAGTCACTTGTCCTCATCTTAACCTTTCAAGCAGTGTATCTGATATACTTGAGTATTTCTTGCCTTAGCCTGTACCTACACGACAGCGTTTTATTTCCATAAAAAGTAATCACTGCTAAACTTCCTTCAGAGGGAAATAAAGAATTTATAGATTTTACCTTACTTCATCCCGATCCATTTCACTTGAAGTGCTGTCATCATTCACTTGTACTGGACAAGAAGGTAGGGAATCCGCCTTCTCAAGCCCTGGTGTAATCACAGATACTTCTGATGTCCATTTTTCATTTTCATCTTTCCTTACTCCCTTCATATGCAAACCAGGATCACTACTTTAAAAAATCCAGTTAAAATATCCATTAAAAAGCCAATGTTTTCTAATAATTTTACTGGTAAAGAATAAAAACAATTTTTTTGTAAAATTCTGTTACCCATCTCAATGAACATTTATTAATTCACAGAACAGTTATGAAATCCAACCATATACAAGGAAATACACATCCCTTGCTTCAAAGACAGGTAAATATACAATTACAATACAATGTCATTTGTGGGGACAAAACTGCTATGGATCTCTTTGTAGGAGCTGTGGAATCAAGGACCATACACCAAGGACCTAGGAAAAGTCTTGCCTACCCATGCATCGGGTAACGGGCACACTCACTACATGTCCAGCTGTGGACCCAGCAATAGCCCATAAACTGGTTCCAGCCCCTTCCTCTCAGCCACATCTGGGAGCCCCTGGAAAACACTGTCTTAGATAATAACCCATGGATGAGAGAGACTTTTTGGAAAACCAGATTTCCTGCAGAAAAGTTCCGGCACACCACCAGAGCAAAAAAAAATCAGGTTTGGACACATTGGAAAGGCAGTCATTAAAGGCTACTTCAAAAGCAAAGACAGCAATGCCAAACTTCAAAGAATATAAAAAGTCAAGGATATATGACACCAAATCGTCCAATAATTGATCTCAAACACATGGAGATCTGTAATTTATCCAAAAAAGAATTCAAAAGAGCAGTTTTAAGGAAACTTAATGAGCTACAAGAAAACACAAAAAGCCAATTCAGGGGTGCCTGGGTGGCTCAGTCAGTTAAGCGTCTGACTCTTGATTCTGTCTCAGGTCAGGATCTCAGGGTCATGAGATCCAGCTATGCATCCTGCTTACGCTCAGGGCAGAGTCTGCTTGTCCCTCTCCCTCTGCTATTCCCCCCACTCACACACATGCTCTCTCTAAAATAAATAAATAAAATCTTTAAAAAAAAGCCAATTCAATAAAATGAGAAAAACACTATATGAATAAAACGAGAAGTTTAATAAAGCATTGGAAGGGCACCTGGGTGGCTCAGTCAGTTAAGTGTCTGACTCTTGATTTCGGCTCAGGTCATGATCTCAGGATTGTGGGATCGAGCCCTGGGTCTGCTTGAGATTCTCTCACCCTCTCTCTGTCCCTCCCCTGACTTGCTCTCTTTCTCTCTCTCTCAAATAAATAAATAAAATCTTTTTTTGAAAAAGAGCTGGAAATAGTAAAAAAGAATTAAACAAAAATTCTGGAGCTGAATAATAGAGTGAATGAAATGCAAAAAAACAATAGAAATCACTGACACTAAAATGGATCAAAAAAAAAATCTGTGAATTTAAAATTTTCAAATTTTAAAACTTTCAAATTATCCAATCAAGGAGGTGAAAGATATGTACACTAAAAACTACAAGACTTTGATAAAAGAAAGAGCAGAGACACAAATAGGAAGATATGTTAGTTTATGGATTTGAAAAATTAATATTATATATCCACATTATTCAAAGCCATCTACAGATTCAATGCAATCTCTGCCAAAATTCCAGTGATATTTCTCACAGAAATAGGAAAAACAATCCTTAAATTTGTATGGAACAGAAAAGACCCCAAACCGCCAAAGCAGTCCTGAGAAAGAACAACAAAGGTGGAAGCAACACACTTCCTGTTTTCAAACTGTTACAAAGCTATAGTCACCAAAACAGTATATGGAACTTGCATCAAAACAAACACAAAGACCAATGAAACAGAATCAAGAACCCAAAAATAAACCCATGCATATAGTCAAGAACACTTAAAGAAGAAAAGATAATCTCTTCAATAAATGATGCTGAGAAAACTGGATATTCACATGCAAAAGAATGAAACTGGACCCCTAACTTACATCACTCACAAAAATTAACCCAAACTGGATTAAAGACTTAAATGGACAACCTTAAGCCATAAAACTCCTACAAGAAAACAGGGAAAACACTCCCTGACATTGATCTTGGCAATGATTTTGGATAGACATCCAAAGTACAAGCAACAAAAGCAAAAACAATGGAACAATGTTTCTCCACAGCAAAAGAAACAAGCAACACTCTAGTTCCATTTACAACAAGTATAGGTGAAGGAAGGGAAAAATAAGATAAAAACAGAGAGGGAGGCAAACCAGAAGAGACTCTTAACTACAGGAAACAAACTGAGGGCTGCTGGAAGGGAAGTGGGTGGGAAGATGCTGTAACTGGGTGATGGGCATCAGGGAGGGCACTTGTGATGAGCATTGGGTATTACATGCAAGTGATGAATCATTAAAGACCAGCCCTGAAACTAATAATACAATATAAGTTAACTAACTCGAATTTAAATAAAATCTAAAAAACAAAAATAAACAAGTAACATAATGAAAAGGCAACCTACAGAATGGAAGAAAATATCTGCAAACCACATATCTGAAAAAAGGTTAATATCTAAAATATGTAAGGAATTCATACAATTCAACAGCAAAAAAACAAATAATTCAAATAAGAACTCAGCAAAGCACCTTAATAGACAGCTTTCCTCAGAAGATACTCCAATGGCCAACGGTACCAAAAAAGGGGCTCAACAACACTATTCAACAGGGAAACGCATATCAAAGCCACAATGATATATCTATCACCTCACACCTGTTAAATGGCTTTCATCAAAAAGACAAGAGATAGCACTGGCAAAAATGTACAGAAAAGGGAATCCTTGCACACTGTTGTTATGGGACTGTAAATTGGTACAGCCACTATGCAAAACACTGTGGAGGTTCCTCAAAAAACTAAAAATAGAACTATCATATGATGCAGTAATCCCATTTCTGGGAACATTTCTGATGGAAATGAAATCATTTCAAACAGGTATCTGCACCCCTGTTTACTGCAGCATTATTTACAATAGCCAAACAGGGAAGCAACCTAAGTGTCCATCAATGGATCCATGGGTTTAAAAAATGTGGTATATATTTACAATGGAATATTTTAGCCACAAAAAAGAGGGAAACCTTGCCATTTGCAACAACATAAATGAACCTGGAGGGAATTATGCTAAATGAAATAAGATACACAAAAAGACAAATACAGTATGATCTGACTTACATGTAGAAACTTAAAAAAAAAAAAAACAACAAATTTACATCCTGGTGCTTGCCAGGGTTAGGAGGCTGTGGGAAATGGGTAGATATTGGCCAAAGGATACAAACTTCCTGTTACAAGAGTAGCAAGTTCTGAGGGTCTAATGTACAGAATGGTGATTACAGTTAACAATACTGTATTATATATTTGAAAGTCGCTAAGAGAGTTGCTAAAAAAGAAATGATAATTATGTGAGATGATGGAGTTATTAACACTATTACCATTTTACTATATAAAAGTGTATTAAATTAATATAGGTATACCTTAGACTTACACAGTTATCTGTCAATTATACCTCAATAAATCTGCAGAAAATTCAAAAATACTCATATGTCACTATATATATCACTCAAAAATAGCAATAACCTGGTTAATTTTGTTTGAAAATAAAATGATTTGGGGGTGCCTGGGTGGCTCAGTCGGTTAAGTGTCTGCGTTCGGCTCAGGTCATAATCTCCAGGTCCTGGGATCTAGCCCTGCCTCAGGCTCCCCACTGAGCTTCTACCTCTCCCTCTGCCCCTCCGTCCTGCTCATGCGCTCATTCTCGCTCTCTTTCTCTATCTCTCTCTTACAAATAAATAAAATAAAAATTAATTTTTTTAAAGAAAATGATTTGGTAACTTTTGCATACTTTTAGCCTAGTATTTAATCCTAATATAAAAAGCTAGATTTACCAACAGAAAATTATAATTACTTTTTCATGGACTAAATATATGCAAGAGAATATGAGCAGCCTATAGTTACATAAATTTACAAAAGACTGAAATTTCCCACAGGAGATTATTAATTTAGGAATTGAACATGAACCCCTAAGAGCACTGAAAACAAAAACAGAGCCAGCAATTATTGTTTTAAAACTGTTACACAGATAACTCTTCTAGTTAAAATTTAACATCCAAAAAAGAAGGATCTTCCTGAAGGCAATTATTAAACAATTCTTCTTAACCCAAATTTCAAAAATAAATCTATACAGAATATGAAATAGCTTTCATTTTGAACACAATTGATAGAAGCAACTTTTAAATAGAAAACATCTATAGATGTTAAAGGCATCTCAAACTTGGGGAGGGGGGACCCAAATATGAAGCCATGGGAACAAGAAGCCACCAAAACCAGTTTTAAATGTGTGCGACTGATCAATGCCCACTGGCCTCACTCACCCACCAAGCAGTGTCAGCTCCTCCCTTCTAAAAGAAAGCCAATAGGAGACAAAACCATTACATACACGTTCCTCGTGTGCCAACCAATCAACAAGAGTCTCACCCAAATTACCATGGTGTTTCAGATGATGACAAACCACTTAATTCTCTGAAAGTCCCCCAAACCTTCAACTCTACTCTTCCCAAAACCCTGTATAAGAATAGCAGACTGCTCTGTCAGAAAAGACTGTAAGTGACCAGCATAGGTCTATCTTACCAGTGGGCAATAAATTCCAACTTCATCTTTCTATTTCAGATACTGAGGGCTCATAATCCTTTGGCAAGAATTTTTAAAGTCCTATAATTTACCACCATATTTCATTTTCCTTAATAAAATATAAATGAAGTTTGCTATTCCTCTGATCCATTTTACCATAATTAAAACTAACATAAATACCAGTAAAACCAATAAATAGCAAGTAACCACAATATTGGGCCCCCCCAAAATAAAAAAAATGCATACAACTGACAGATTAAATTGTCAGAATGGACCCATATCAAACTTTCTTTTTGTTTAAGCGAGAGTTAGTATGATGTTAAAAAACAATACATGCAGGTTAAACTCCATTCACTCAATAAACATTTGTTGAATAGAACTATATATGCTAGAACGTTTTCTAGGCACTGAGGACATGGCGATGAACAGATAAAAATCCTACTCGTGAGTGAAGTAAACACAATAACAATAAACTACACAGGCAAGATAGTACCAGAGGAGAAAAACTAAAGCAGAGAAATCAAATTTTGATGTGCTGTAGGGAAAGAGGTAATCAGGATAACCAAGAAAGGCCTTGCTAAGAAAGTAACTTTTAAGCAAAAAATTGAAGGGGGGAAAAAAAGGAAGGAGCAAGGAGCTAGCAAGACAGGAGGGTATTGGAGGGAAAAGCACTCCAGATAGAGTCAACAGCAAGTACAGAGGGATGCTCGAAGTGTTTATAGTGAGGGGGAAAAAAAAGTGAGAAATTCAGTGTGGCTGGACAGTGTGAAAGGGACAGAAAATAGGAGTGAGGCAGTAAGGGATAGGGAGAGACCAAGATGAACAGATCATACAAGGCCTTGTAGGTGTTAGAAAACTTTGGCATGTACTCTGAGTGAAATAGGAGGCAATTAGGTTTTGAGCAGAGGAAGACGTAATCTGACTTACGTTTTAATAGATCCACTGTGTTTAGAATTAATGGAAACAGAGAAAAGACAAAAGAACAAACAAGAAGACCAATTAGTTAATTATTACACTTATACACACAACAGATGATAGTGGCTTGGTCATGGAAGATGTGTTTGGCTCTTGGATATATTTTGAAGGAAGACCTGACAAGATCTGTTGACAGTTTAGATGTGACATGTATGAAAAAGAAAAAGACATGAGTCAAAGATGATACCAAGTTTTCTGGCAGAGCAACCGGAAGAACTGTCATTAACTCCATTAGGAAAGACAAGAAGGGCAGGTATAAGAAAGAATATCAATAGTTCGATTTTGGACATGTTAAGATCATAATACTCAATAGCTATCCCAAAGAGCTATCAAATAGGCAGTTTGATATGTAGGTCTGGAATTATGCAGAGAGATTTGGGCTGGAGATATAAACCTGAAGATCCTTAGAATATACAAGATAGTAAAAGTCAAGAGAAAGAAAATCAAGGACTGATTCCTGGAAGATGTCAATGTGTAAGTAAGAGGTGGGGGATGAGGAGAAAGAATCAAATCAGGCTGAGATGTACAGACTAGAAAGGCAGGGAGAAAACCAGGTGAGTGAGTGATACCCTGAAAGCTAAATGAAGACAGAATTTTGAAGAGAGTTCTCCATTGGGTCAAATATTGCTGATAGGTCAAATAAAATGAGATCTAAGAAATTATGTTTAGATTCATTAAAGTGAAAATCAGTGGTAACCTTTGAAAAATCAAATCCGGGGTAGTGGGAGTGAAAATTACTAGAGAGAATTCAAGAATGAATGGGAGGTAAATCAGGATCAGTGAGTGTACATGGTTCTTTTAAGGATTTCATAGCTAAGAGGAATGATCATAGATGATTTAATTTTCTTGTTTAGTTCAATCCTTACACAAGGATGATGTAGTATTTCTGTAATATATTTTGTAATATAGTTTTTCAAATTACATACATGTATCACTAAATGTTTTTTTTTAAAAATGCCAGACCAAGGGGGCACCTGGGTGGCTCAGTTGGTTAAACCTCTTGATTTTGGCTCAGGTCATAATCTCAGGGTTGTGGGATCGAGCCCCGCATGGGGCTCTGCTCCCAGTGCCAAGTCCGCTTGTCCCTCTCCCCCACCACGCACTCTCTCTCTCTAATATAAATAAAATCTTAAAAAAAAAAAAAAAAAAAAGGCAGACCAAGGCATTAAATAATTCACAAAACAATAAAACCAAAAGAGTCCTTAAAAATTTTCTGGATATATAATATATATATAATATTATATAACCTGATTATCACTTTTTCTCATGCTTAGAAAGACCATAGAAAAACTATTAAGTTTCAACAGCAATATTTCATGCTTGATAAAAATCATCTAACTCCAGGATATATCCGAAATAATTAGTCATATTAAAATTCTATAAGAGGGGCGCCTGGGTAGCTCAGTTTTTAAGCATCTGCCTTCAGCTCAGGTCATGGTCTCAGGGTTCTGGGATCGAGCCCCACATCGGGCTCCCTGCTTGGTGGGAAGCCTGCTTCTCCCTCTCCCACTCCCCCTGCTTGTGTTCCCTCTCTCGCTGTCTCTCTCTCTCTGTCAAATAAATAAATAAAATCTTTAAAAAAAATTAAATTTAAAAAATTTAAAAAAATAAAATTCTATAAGAGAAGTATAAGGGGTTTGGAATGCAGAAAATATTCCTATTTTGTAAAATGAATTTTCGTAAATTATATAATATGAAGTCACTGTTGAAAAATTTGGTGTGGTGCATATAAAAATATACTCGCTTTAAAAAGGAAGGTTAATAGCATGCATGCAAGGTCCCTTCAAAAGAAGATTCACTGCATTAGGAACATCTTGGTTTATAGCACAAGGATCATCAAATCAAATGTTTATATACAATATGGGACAAGCTGACATACGAAATCTCTTGGTAATATTCAGATCAATTTGAGGGTCCAACATTTGAACACTCAAGCTCAACGGAACCAAAACCAAAAACCTAATAGCTAGCAATTTTGTTGGTAATAAGATAGAGTGCCAGTGTAGCAGGTAACTTCCTTTTGCAACTCAGCAAATATTAAAAGCATTCTAAAATTTGCATAAGACATGACATCAAACCGAACACCTTAAATATACTTTGTTAAACAATCAGTACACTGTAGACCTAAACTCATTTTTTCAAATGGCCGCATGTTACATTGTCTCATAGGGGTGACAACTTATTTCCTTACTGAAGGCTATTTAGACTATCTCCAACTTTTTGATATGAGAATGCTATAATAAATATCCTTACCATATCTGTCATATTTTATATATATAATAATGCACAATAAATGTCCTTAGAATGTGTTCGTGCGTGTGTGTGTGTTTACGCAAGTCATGTTTTCCTATAGGATCTAGTCCTGGCAATGAAGCATTGGAATAAAGGGACAGCATATGGGGCGCCTGTGTGACTCTGTCATTAAGCGTCTGCCTTCGGCTCAGGTCATGATCCCTGGGTGCTGGGATCGAGCCCCACTTTGGGCTCCCTGCTCGGCGGGAAGCCTGCTTCTCCCTCTCCCACTCCCCCTGCTCGTGTTCCCTCTCTCGCTGTGTCTCTCTCTGTCGAATAAATAAATAAAATCTTTAAAAAAAATTAAAAAATAAACTTAAAACAGGGACAGCATATTTAAAGTTTTTGAAACACACTAACTCACCCTTCAGAAAGGAGTTACCACGTGCATCTAACCACAGTGTACAGGAATGCCTTTTTCCTCCCATTTGCTACCTTTGGTTATTATTTTTTTAATAAAATATTTATCACTAGGACTGCAAAAAATGGTATCTCGTTATTTGCATTTTTCTGATTCGCACCCAGGATGGACTAGCCTTACTAAAAATATAAAACTTGTTAATCATGAATGTTAGCTCCAACTAGAACTGGTTTTATAGGAAAATAATAATTACCTACTATTTCAATATGGCCATAGGCTTACCCATCAGAATCTTCCTTTTTCCCAACAGGAAAGAGGTGGTTTTCAGTTTTTCCACTCTCTCTTTGTTGAATGAGTCCAGCAGCAGCAGCAGCGACAGCATATGTGTTTTCTAATACTGCCGTCTCATTACTTTGGTGTCTCTTCTTTTCTTCATTAATCTTTAATGGAAATGTGATACTAAGGATAATTGTTACTACATTATTCATTAAAAAGAACTTTTTTTCATTATAAATTTCTTAAAGGTTTTATTTATTTATTTATCAGAGAGAGAGCACAAGCAGGGGGAGGGAGGTACAGACAGAGGGAGAAGCAGGCTCCCCGCTGAGCAGGGAGCCTGATGCGGGACCCGATCCCAGGACCCTGGGATCAGACCTGAGCCGAAGGCAGACTCTTAAGGACTGAGCCACCCAGTCATCCCAGAACTTTTTTCATTAATTTTATCATTTCACTCTTAGTTTGTTGTAATTTTAATCGATAAAAATATTTTGTGTTTAACTTTATCATTATAAATAATTGCAATTTTTATAAGTTCTGCTTCATTTCCGTTTGAATACAAACAGCAGAATTGGGACGCGTGGGTGACTCAGTTGGTTAAGCGTCTGCCTTCGGCTCGGGTCTCATCCAGGGTCCTGGGATCGAGCCCCGCATCAGGCTCCTTGCTCAGCGGGAAGCCTGCTTCTCCCTCTGCCTGCCGCTCCTCCTGCTTGTGCTCTCTCTCTCTCTCTCGCTCTCTCTGACAAATAAATAAAATCTTTAAAAAATAATTAATTAATTAAAACAGCAGAATTTTCCAAAATTTGAAAAAGGGCTTTCTTAATTTTGTATTCATATCCACGCTTTGCTACCTAACATTCCCACCCCACCCCATCTGACCAGCAGATACAAAGAAATAAAAAGACAAAGACACAAAATTTGTCCTCGTCTGTCGTTACCACCTGGATTTTGCAAAAACAGCCAGATTTAAAGGATGTGACATTGTGGAGCTCCAGGAGCAAAGAGTTTTCCTCTTTCTGCACTGAGCTATTTTTTCGCCAATTGCCTTTTACAATTCTTTTTTCATTTGGATCCTAGGGTTATCAAAAAAGTGGCAGTGTTCATTAAAATATATGAACCAAAGTTCACCACAACACAAAAAGAACAGAGTGAAACTGATATTAGTGTAGAATTTTGGGAAATGAGTAATGCTCCCCAAATTCCACATTCATGGCTATCATAAACTTTTATAGCTAGAGGGTATAAAAGTAATTATCAACTTTAATTCCATTTTCCACTGATCAATGGGAGTAGAACCAAAAAAGGTTAAATGATTTGTCCAAAGTTCCTAAAGTGGCACTACCTAGCATCTTATGGCACCAAAAGACATGATGTAATTCTTTAATGCTGAATCAGCTAAGTTACCAAACAAATTCATTAAATTAATCAGATACATTAAAAGTATGACACTGGCACAGTAATTTAATATCTTAATTGGGGACAAGGTGCTTAGCTACTTTTTCTTTTGAAGGAGGATATCTCTAGATTTTTGTCTATTTTTAAAACTCAATTCACCTCAAAAGTCAGTTTTCTCCCTTCGAGTTAAATACTGAGGGTTTCTGAAGGTTTATGCTACCTACATTATAAAAATCATACATGTCAAAATGTACCATATTTTACTAAACATAATATGAACGTTTGACTCAACAGAAACATGTGAGAATGGTGACCAAAAAAAAAAAAGTGGAGGGGGGGCGCCTGGGTGGCTCAGTCAGTTGGGCCTCTGACTCTTGATTTTGACTCAGCTCATGATCTCAGGATTGTGGGATTGAGCCCCACATCAGGCTCCATGCTCAGTGGGGAGTCTACTTCTCTCCGTCTCTCTCTCTCTCTCCCAATCTCTCTCTCTCTCCCTTTGCCCCTCCCCTTGCTCATGCTCTCTAAATAAATAAATAAATCTTAATAAAAGAGTCTGTTTAAAAAACATGTGGAGGAAAAAAGTGATAATACAAATATTTGTTATTAAAAATATCTCAAAGTGGTCCTGATGGAATTCTAAGTTCCAAGAGTGAGTACAAAGCAGAAAAGATTGCACATACTGAAACAAACAAATAGGTTTAGCTGAAATACTTGTTTATATCCTTTCTCTTAGTCATTGCTTCTTTCCCATTTTATTGTTTATGGAAATGCAATTTATATTTAAGCCAATAAATAAAAATAAAAACCCTAGAGATGGGGCACCTGGATGGCTCAGCGTTAAGCGTCTGCCTTCAGCTAAGGTCATGATCCCAGGGGCCTGGGATGGAGCCCCATGTCAGGCTCCCTGCTCAGCAGAGAGTCTGCTTCTCCCTTTCTCTCTCCCTCTGCCTCTCCCCCGGCTCATGCTTGTGCACACACATGTGCTCTCTCTCAAATAAATACATAAATGTTAAAAAAAAACCAAAACACTAGAGATTATTATATATCTTTTTTAAAGATTTATTTATTTTAGAGAGAGAGCATGAGCAGGAAGGGCAGAGGGAGAAGGAGAGAGAAACTAAAGCACACTCCACGCTGAGCACAGAGCCCAAGGCGGGGCTCACTCTCATGAACCTGAGATCACAACCCAAGCCAAAACCAAGAGTCGGATGCTCAACTGTGCCACCCAGATGTGCCAAGATAATTGCATTTTTTAAAGTTTTTTTTTTTTAAGATTTTATTTATTTATTTGACAGAGAAAGACACAGCGAGAGAGGGAACACCAGCAGGGGGAGTGGGAGAGGGAGAAGCAGGCTTCCCGCTGAGCAGGGAGCCCGATGCAGGGCTCGATCTTAGGACCCCAGGATCATGACTGGAGCCGAAGGCAGATGCTTAGCGACTGAGCCACCCCAGGTGCCCCGATAATTGCATTTTTTAAGGAATTTTCTTTACGGTTACTCTGGTTCATGAGGTCACATGGTGCGTAGCTAAATTAGTTTCCCAGGTCATATGCCACTTGGGAGACTTACAGAGAAACTAAAGGAAAACAAATCTTAAGAATGTTTTCCTGCACTCCTATCATTTAGATAGCAGAAATAATCTATTTCCGAACACAATTACGTATTTAGACAACCCCATGTTATACACGAACTTTTTTCCTAAGTGGAGAATCAGAATGACTCAGATAATTGATAAAGAGGAAAAACAAAAGAGCAGCAGCAAAGTGAACCTCTACCTCTTTTTGAAGTTGAACTTTTTTTTTCCTCATCCAGGATGTCTATCTGTAACATGCCTATCTCGTTCTTAAACTTTTGAACATCTTGCTGTAATTCTTCTTTTAGACATACTTCTGATGTTCTGTAACTACATGGTGGAGAAGAACTCACATTTTCTAATTCGGGTTCCATACTTCTATAGTTATTAGTACTGTTATTAACTGCACAGAATGGCTTCTGGAACAAGACTTTTGTTTTCTTGTAAATGTAACGGCAGAACTATGGTGCCTTTTTATTTGAGCCATTTGTCTCATCTCACTGGAGCGGGAAAACCTTTTGTCGAAACGGCATTCTGAATCACTAGACTGAGGTATACGTCCAATGTCTAATTTAGAATTAGTGCTATTTTCGTTCATATTTTTTGCCATTTGCACGTCAAACTCTTGGTCTTCTTTCACTTCAAACGTAGCGAGTGGGTTCCTTACTTTTTTAGTTTCTGTATCACTTTTAAAACTCTTATTTTTGTTAAAAACATGCTCAGTGTCTGGTTTGTTATCATTTTCACAGTCTGATTTATTTTCACTTAAAGAAAAATCAGAAGATGCCTGGCAAGCATATGTGAGACTAGACTTTTTTTGTTCAGGAAATGCCTGAACTACTTAGAGGGACAGGCACTACAAATATGTCCTTTTTCTCACAATCAAGTCTATCATTTGTCAAGTTAGAAGGTATTTCCATTAAGTTTGCTCCTTCTTTAAAGTTACCACGTAGTGACTCTTCCTTAGGATAAGGAGCAATTTTGTGTTTTTCACAAGTTGCACCAAACGTCCGCTTTAACTCACTGGTGATGTGTTTTAGATTATTTTTCCACACTAATTTGCCTTGTTTGATCGAGATTTCCTCACGCTTTTGCACAGAAGAATGTTCTGAATATACAGATATATTATCCTTTCTATCACATTTCTTATTCATTTCTGGTTCTCGAGACTTTTTTTGCAGATGCAAAAGTGGAACGTTAATTTGCTGGGTTTGATTTTCACATGTCTTTTCTGCCAGGATACATGTTTGTGAAATACCTTTATCCTTAAGTAATCAAGTATGGACAAAGAAAAATTAGAAAATAATTAAAATTTAACTGTTAAATTTCTTAATCTATGTTAAGCTGCTCCCAAGTCACTATGTTGTAACAAAGAAGGGACAAATAACTCGCCCTAGCTTAAGACAGAAGAAAAACATAAATCCATAAACTTAACTTTGTCAGTTTTTTTGAAATAATTCATTACATGTTACATCTACCAAAAAATGAATTAGATTATTTTTTAATGTTGCAAACTTAAAAGCATTTTATCTCACCATACTTTATATATATATATAAATATATATATATTCTTAAGTATATATAAATATATAAATATATATATATAAATTATAATTTTCATATTTAAGAATAGTGAGCCCCTACAGTGCATTTGAGGATTTTCTTTAAAGATTAATAACTAGAGAATAGGCAAATTTTCAATTATTAGGAGCCAAGATCAATTAACATCAATCAGAAAGAAAATTCCGAAATCTTAATTCAAATTATGTACTATGATAGTGTTATACATCACTATAATTATCTGCTTATATACAGCTCTAATATAATGTCCACTGAGAGTGGATGAGAAAAATGTTAATAATACTTACTGATTTTGTATGCTGAAATGAAATAACTGAAAAAGTTATTGTTTATTACCCAACTACAAAGGTCCCACCCTGGAAGGTGTGATTCTACAATAGGCAATTGTGCTGATTTTATGACCCCACTCTCTGAAGTCAACTACACAGAGATCACAAGGCAAAATAAATCTTTTATCTTGGCATCAGTGACTGGCAATAGAGAACTGCACATTTTGAACCACTGAGAATAATTACTCCTTCTACACGAATCTAAGTCAGTAGTCATCATTATTGTACTACTCATAATTTCAACTGCTTAAACATATGATTCAATATTTGATGTTACCTTCTTTATCACATAAAAAGTTACAAAAATGTGAAGAAGCAAACAATATTCAGGAATTTTTTTTTTATCTCAATTCCAAGGATGAAGTTTAGCTATAAGTTACTATAAATTCTAACAATATTATAAGTTTTGTAACTTGTAAAATTTTATAAAAACTAAATATTAAATTATAATCTAAGGACTTCAATATGTCCATTCAAAAGATCATTTCATTTGAACTATGTTACATTATTAAAGCAGGAAAAAGAATATAAAATCGGAAATTTAAATTTAACTTTTTACATACCTTTAGGTGGTTATTTTAACTTTCATCAAGTCTTTTTGCTCTTCCTCTGATGTCCTTTCTAAGTCTAGTTCTGCTGGCCAATCTATATATTTAGTTAAAATGGACTACTTAGAATGGTTAGATAAAAGCTATAACCTTCTTAAAAATAGAAAATAACATTTTATCTATTGATAGTTTAAATTAAACTTAATCTTTAGCTGAATATTTACTTTCAGAAATACTTTTAATTATAGGAAACTTCAACAAACCATTTGGGAAATACTAAATGTCACCAGGTTAAAGACATACAAACATCTCAAAGATTCATTCACAAGTTCATCCACCTAACATCAATGAACAAAACAATCAGAAACAAAATTATATTATGCAGCAGAAACATATAAAATCACAACAGACTGTTCTTTACCTTGTAACAGCACCTCTTAACACCCAAAGCGTCAACTACAACATTATTCATGGTTTCCAAAATTATTAGTATTTTTTATGCCTTTATTAGTGTACAACCTTCCTATGGGTGTGTGTCCCTGATGAGTGTAAACATGCCTGAAATGTTTTCCTCTACTACTTGATAAATTTCTTCACATCTTTTAAGACACAGACTGCTATGTAAAGCCATCCTTGATTATGGCTCCTCTTCCCCAGATGAATAGGTGCCTCTTTCTTCAGGGCTACCTTACTACTTTACCGATTTTTCTAGTGTATCTTCACCACCTGAACTGTAAATTACTTCTTTATATATCTCTTATTTTGCTCCTGGACTGTATGGGACAATCTCTCTCTCTCTCTTTTTTTGGAGAGGGGGAGGAGCAGATAGAGAGAGAGGGAGTCTTGACGGGGCTCCAAGCCCAGCACTGAACGCCACGCGGGGCTCGATCTCACAACTCTGAGGTCATGACCGGAGCCGAAATCAAGAGTTGGACACTCAACCGACTGAGCCAACCAGGTGCCCCTGTATGGGGCAATCCCTTAAGTCATTTCTGTGTCTACACTCTTTATTTTACTCAGTAATTATTTATAGAGTTCCCCGTAAGTGCTAGGCACCCGGGTTTAAAGAAGCATGTAGATAAAAGGTGTCAGGAATGGTTTTTCTGGAGATAATGCCTGAACTGAAAATGAAAACAGTTGAGGTCAGCCAGATTCAAAGGGGTTAGAGGGAGGAAAACGGGAAGAATATGCAAGGCTGTAGTAAGACAAGGGAGAGAAGCACACAACAGGGTAAATATTTGTCTAAAAGGGAGAGAAGCACACAACAGGGTAAATATTTGTCTAAAATACAGGGATCTAAGAGGAAGTCAAGACTATGAAAGCTTTATATGTAATTTTAAGATACCTGGACACAAATATATTTTCAACGGTGGTTCATAGTCATATTTACATTTGAGACAGATCACTCTAAATGCTGTGGAGAGGGATGAATTTGAGGGGCACTGTAATAAAAGATGGGAGATGAATTAGAAGGCAGTAAGGCAAAATAAAGATGAAGTACACCTGCACTGACAGAATGGTTCCAGAAATATTGAGGCTATAAAATGATCAGGGCACAGTACAGAATAAATCTGTATTAAATGAATAAACACACAATCTTGGGTCTCTAGAGAACTAACTTTGCTCATTACTTTATAAAAGGCATCAAGTGAGAAGAGAAACAATCTACATGAACTGTTTTAAGTTGCTTGTATTTATACTTTGTGTTTCAGATCTTCCTTTGTTACAGGAGCCTGTAGGTATTTTAAAAATCCTACTTCTTGGATCTACCAAGCTCATGAAGAAGTAACAGCAAACAAGTCACTTGTATAGGTAAATAACTTTGGATTTATTGCCTGTACGCATTACTCTAGGAGATAATTGAAAATCTTTTGAAAATACAGTGTTAATTCTACAAGGAAAGAAAGAACATAAAAGTACAGGGGTGAAAAAAATATTGTACGGTTTATTAGTACAGACCTGATCATATGACTGATAAAAGGCATGGAATGAACTGGTACATTAAGTAGAGCACACATTAGAGGTGGTTAATCAATAGACAGAGTATCTTAGTAGAATTAAAATGGACTTTCCATATATTATTTTTAAATAATATAGTGCTCCTTGGGCGCCTGGGTGGCTCAGTCGTTAAGCGTCTGCCTTCGGCTCAGGTCATGATCCCAGGGTCCTGGGATCGAGTCCCACATCGGGCTCCTTGCTTGGCAGGAAGCCTGCTTCTCCCTCTCCCACTCCCCCTGCTTGTGTTCCTGCTCTTGCTATCTCTCTCTCTGTCAAATAAATAAATAAAAATCTCAAAAAAAAAATAAAAAATAAAAAAATAAAAAATAAATAAAGAATATAGTGCTCCTTAAAACCAATATTCCATTTATTTATTAAAAATAATAAAGGGAGGTGCCTGGGTGGCTCAGTCAGTTAAACGGCTGCCCTTGGCTCAGGTCATGATCCCACGGACCTGGGATCAAGTCCCGCATCGGGCTCCCTGCTCAGCTGGGAGTCTGCTTCTCCCTCTGCCACTCCTCCCACTCGTTCTCTCAATTTCCCTCTCTCTCAAATCAATAAAAATTTTAAATAACAATAATAATAATAAAGAAGCACCTGGGTGGCTCAGTGAGTTAAGTGTCCAACTTTTGATTTAGGCTCAGGTCATGGATCTCAGGGTCATGAGATTGAGCCCCCCCCATCAGGCCCTGTGCTGAGCATGAAGCCTGCTTGGGATTCTCTCTCCCTCTCCCTCTCTCCCCCCATCTCTCTCTCTCTAAAGAGATAAAATAAAAATAATAAAACAAGGAGATGGACTATGCATACATAGCTGAGAAGATGATACTATATAGTAAATTCTCAACTATTCCCATTACTGCTGGGAAAGCCAACTCTAAAACAAAAGTCATACAGAACATAGGAAATATTTTAATATTTGATTTGGGAAGGTGCTTTTTATAGTTACAATGAATATAGCTTGACCAATACTTGTGAATTTAGAGCTACAAAATAAAGCTAAGAAACTATGTTTTGAGTAAGCAATCTTTAGATCTCTACCTAGTATTCCCCACTGGTCCCAAAGTTCTAAATATAATCCTGTTACCTACTCTCAACTGAATGCTAACAACTAGCCTAAAGGAAATTACTTTCTCATAATTCTTATTCAGATGTTCTTTTGGTTAGAGGAAGAAGAGAGAGAGAGAGAGCGAGAGAGCGCACAAGCAGGGGGAGCAGCAGGGGCAGAGGGAGAAGAAGGCTCTTCACTGAGCAAGGAGCCCAATGTGGGACTCGATTCCAGGATCCTGGGATCATGACCTGAGCCACAGGCAGACGCTCAACGGACTGAGCCACCCTGGCGTCCCTATCTTCAGAAATTTCTAAGCCTTGGACAAACATCAGAAATTCATCTGAGAAATGAAAGCCTCGGGTGATCTAATCATTTCCATGTAAAAACACAGTAAGTCTCAGTCCACGCTAGATCCAAAAACTACAATGCCATGAAACAGAAAATGAATATATAACAAAAATACTTTCCTTTTTTTTTTTAAACAAGATTGTCTGATTTAAACCTCTTAAGACAAGGGAAAGAAAAAAGCAAGAAATGCAGAAATGAAACCTTCATGCCCATTTCACCACAAGGGCCCCTCTATCATTTTGTATCCATGAAACCTGTACATGGTTTAAAACAGTTCTCCCATGTCATCTGAGAATCCCCAGAGTTCCAAGATCCATCCATTCAATAATGCTAAATGTTATTTGACATTTTCACTCTCATTCTCTTATTAAGTGTATGGTGAAGTTTTCTAAAGATAGGATACGTGATAGTATCACAACTCGCATGATTAGTGGGTCAGAGCTCTAACGGCTAAGAATGTATGATCGTGTATGCTTGTATTTTAAAGGCTTGTTTTAATTTCTAATATGGTAAATATCAACACTTAAACAGAAGCTCTTTGGAATTCCTAATAATTTTTAAATAGCATAAAAGGACCCTAAGGCCAATAAGTTTCAGAATTATGGTTTTAAAAGACTGTGTCTACCAAATACTAGGATAGAACTAATTACTTCCCACAGTTTTAATAATCAAAGACACCATACACACACACACACACACACACACACACACACACACACAGAGTCCACTAATCAGAACATCTGTTTGGCTTCAGATGATCAACATAATAACGCTAGGATGAAATAAACTTAAAACACAATTGACATGATAGCAAGTGAAGCTTTACTCTAGGGAAAGGTCAGAATTGAAATAAACATTGTGAACACTGGAAAAATCTGAGAGTCTAATAATTAACTTCTGGGAATCCCAAGGAAGTAATGGGATTCCAAACTGGGAACTTCAGGAATTCAAAGCTTAAAAGTAGAAACTAGAGCTAAAGCTTACATTTTAAAAGTCTCTTTTTCTTATGCTTATAAATATCTTCTGTTCAAACATGGGTATCAACAATGGTATCTACCTTATTTATGTCAAATCCTTCACTTAAATTTGCCACCAAAAAAAAAAAAAAAAAAAAGAATTCAGAATAAGAAGACTGTGAGCATTTCAAATATTTTAGTGTACTTCTTTCCACTGTAAAATTTGTATTGTAAAATTTACCTGAGTTGGATGCTTGTTTTTCCTTCACTTCTACTGTTTTATTAGGAACAGAATCTTTCACTTCAACGGGAGGCTGAATGGGTATTGAAACAATATGATTAAGACATGATGGACCTTTCATACAATCTGTAGTTAAAAATTCAAAATAAAAATATAAAAGTTTTACCTTCACGTAAGGATATCTTTTCGGAGAATCTAAAAAGCAAAATGGACATATAGTTAATTATATGTAAACATGAAAGGCAACTAAACATTCATGCAGTTAGTACTAAGCTGAATCCTCATGCTTGGCTCTGAAAATGATTACATTAGGTTTTGGTGTTCTGTTTCTGGAGATAGGAAGGTGGGTTAGGACAGCGACAAGAGAGAAATATGAACCCAGTATAAATATTGAAAAAAAATGCAAATATATGTATTCAGTGTCAATCTTACTGATAATAACAATTGTAGCATTTAGAGAACGAACCCTATAATCTCTTTGGTTTCCAAAATTAGTTTGATTTGGTAGATCATGTTATTCTTTGAAAGTTTTTGTGAAACAGCTATCATATCAAAAAATTAGCTATCTTAAAAAAAAACAAAGCCGAAGCTTCCATATTCAAATTAATCTCATTGGAATAATGAATACCAATACAAGAGAGATCTTTGATGTCCCATAGATCTGAGGAGGATGAAAGAGTGGCTGTTTTACCCCAACGTTAGCACTCCATCTGCTTTCAGTATTCTTTGTGGAGCAGCTGTAATGTAATGTTTTGTTGAGTTGAGTGCAAATACACTCAAGTCATCTAAAGTGAATTCTCTCGAGCTTCCTCATCAACTCCAAAATTTCCTAGCTAACACGTCTCACTTTCTACCCTCCTTCCCTTCACTATGCACCTTCTTCAAAAGTAATTTCTGGGAGCACCTGGCTCTTGATTTCGGCTCAGGTCATGATGTCTGGGTCCTGGGAATGAGCCCCTCATCAGGCTCCAGGCTCAGCAGGGAGTCTGCTTAAGGATACTCTCTCCCTCTCCCGTTGCCCCTCGCCCTGGTCGCTCGCTCTCTCTATCCCTAATATAAATAAATTTTTTAAAAAAGTAATTTCTGGATCTATGGTCTTGATTGTTCTGCTTTTACATCCCTTTTATTACGGATTATCTCCACCACTTCTTTCCTCTTTGTTTAGCAGTAGTATCTTACATCTATAACCTCTATTTCTGCATCTCCTTGCTCCCCTCTAGCTAAAAACATGCTCAGCAATAAAAACAAAATAATGCTTTTCCTTGATTCCATTATGTCTTGAAGTATCCAATGGCACTTCCTGATTTCGCTAAAGAGAACTCTACATCCTTCCTATGCAGCACATGACCCAAGGACCACCAACACTGACATCACCTGAGAAGTCAGACTGCAGAATCCCAGACCTGCTGCTCACAATGTGCATTTTTAACAAGGTCTCGGATGATTCACTAAAATTTGAGAAATTCTGGTCCACACGGAGTCTGTTGCCACATTCCTTTACCTTAACTGAACCTTCTAGAAAAAGCCTCAAGTTCGTCACTATCGATTCTCCAAAACTGAAAATGTATTAAAAGTCATAAACTTTCGGGGTGCCTGGGTGGCTCAGTTGTTAAGCGCCTGCCTTCAACTCAGGTCATGGTCTCAGGGTCCTGGGATCGAGCCCCGCACTGGGCTCCCTGCTTGGCGGGAAGCCTGCTTCTCCCTCTCTCACTCCCCCTGCTTCTGTTCCCTCTCTCGCTGTCTCTCTCTCTGTGTCAAATAAATAAATAGAATTTTTAAAAAAGTCATAACCTTTCTAATGCACTTTTTATCAGGGCTAAAGCTTCCTTGATCTCCCCCTAACTGACCCTGCTCTCTTCTTCCTTCCAATTCTCCTATTTTGCACTAAATGATACTATCTGATGAAGTGCCACCATTTTATATGACATTAAGATATATACATTTATAGCTGGCTAGGACATAGCTCTGCATAATCAGCTACGCCAGTCCTTAATGCCGTCCCAACAGTGAGGAAATCAGTAAGAGTGGAAAAGTTTTGGCATACTACTCTGACAAACTTTGGTACTGGAAGCTCACTTGATATTATTCCTGCATTTCAAATACTCTGCTCTTCCTTTTAAAAGAATTATTTTATGTTACCACCTTCCACTATAAAGAGCTGCTTTGTCCTTCATTTACTCCCGGTACTCTCCGCCTTTCTCATCATTCCCTCTTTTCCTCTTATTTCCTGATGTTCCTTAGGTCTTAGAGTATCTTGAAATGGGGCCAGTAATTTAGCTCCTTCAGTGGCACTCTCAATTTAATCTGTTGCTGACCCCTGATAAGATATACAATTGATCGCCTTTTCACATCTTTCTCCTTTCTATGCATTTAATAGGTGATTTTCTTTGGATATTAGAACATATCAGTATTCCCATTTTAAATTAACATTCTATCAAGTGACTTTTTAAGAAAATACAATTCTTACCTTCTACTTGTTCATTTAATATACGTGGTCCTTTCTGATCCGCAGCTCTAAATAAATGTTTAATGTCTTTCTTTGGAGGATTCTCAGAAATACTCTGTTAAAATTAACATCAAAAATGAGCTGCATAAAGACTTCCTAATCCTTTTCTAAGAAAATATCTGAATTTCCTACTTTAACAGCAATCAGACTTACAAATAAGAAAAGCATGTATTGAAAACCAAAACATCTAAAAACCTCATATATGCTTTCTAGATTAAGTGTACCTTTTAATCTACATTTGCCCACCGACTCTGTAAACTGAACATGGAAGGCCAGAGGAGTAAATACTTTCATAGACAGAAGACTGATTTATATGTACGTTTCAACAGGAACTAACAAAACACCTAACTCTCCTTTGCATTTCCCACCAAAATAAAAGGACATTAAAAATATGTATTTAAACAAATTCTTTAATAAGTATATTTGCTACGGATTTAAACTGTTCCTAATGGCAGAAACTTTTTCAGTGCTAAAGTAAGATACTTGACATGATGAGAAACCTTGGAGTATATCATGTTGAGTATAAACAGAACACTGTGGTAGCTGCTGCTTCATTTAGATAAACAAAGGCTTGGACTTTTTATTGATAGGAGAAATGGTTGAATGAAATGGCAAAGTAGGAAGAAAAACTTTCCTTGAAATTATATTTAAATAATAGCAAAAAACTTTAGATACAGGTATGAAACTCTTCAAAAAGTATAGTAAGCGGAGGGGCGAAAGATGGTGGAGGACTAGGGGACCCTATTTCAACTGGTCCCCAGAATTGTGCTGGATATCTACCAGACCACTCTGAGCACCCACGAAACCAGCCTGAGATGTAAGAAGATCTGGATCTCTACAAACAGAATATCGCAGGCAGTTGGTTTTGAGGTACGAAGCAGAGAGCCCTGATTCTGAGGGCAGATATCGGAGGATAAATGGCAGCGGGAGGGTGCTTGGCCGTGGGGATCCTGCACCCCCGGTGAGTGATAGCCTCGCACACTGCGGACACGGCACAGACTCGCAGACCGGTAGCCTCCGGAAAGAACTTTAGGGCAGCCCCTGGGGTGTAAAACCAGACCGGCGGGGTCGTGCACACGTGAACCGCAGCCCCCCGGACAGAAACCCACAGCGACGGTCGCGCGCACGTGAACTGCAGCCTCCGAGAGGGAAACATGGTGCACCGTGTCCCGCCGGTGAACTGCAAGCCCCGGGGTGGGAACCCCGAGCGGCGGATTTGTGCGCCCGCACGAACTGGGGGCGGCTGCCGGTTTTAGAAACACAAAGGGCAGAGACGTGCCCCGACGCTGGAGGCAGGACTGGGGGCGCTGTGGAGGGGCGCACAACCCAGGAGCCTGCAGTTTATAGCAGCATGGACAGAAACAGAGACAGTGTGGCCTGGAGAGCTCACGGAAGAACAGACTGTGGTCTCTCTGCTCTGAGGCAGAGGGTTGGAAACGGTCTCTTCTGCTCTGACTCGCAGAAGAGATGCGGAAAGCTGCCAGGGAAAGGCACCAGAGAACAAAAGCCCCAAAAACTGATTTCCACTGAGCCCATCCCCCACCACAGGGGCTCAGGGCAACTCCGCCCAAACAGGGTTGCCTGAGTAATAGTGCCGCAGGCCCCTCCCACAGAAGACAGGCTGGGAAAACAAGAGGCCAGCAACCCTAAGGTCCCAAGAAAACAGGTGCATCTTGCTTGGGTTCTGGTCAATAATTTAGACTCTATACATTCCCTCAAACACCCATCAACAGAATGACTAGGAGAAGGAGCCCCCAAAACAGAAAAGACTCAGAGATTATGACTTATGCTGCAGATTTACAAAGCGATGCAGATATAACCAAGATGTCAGAGATGGAATTCAGGCTAGCAATTGTGAAGACAATGGCTAGAATGTAGAAATCAATTAATGGCAACATGGAGTCTCTAAGGGCAGAAATAAAAGGTGAATTGGCAGAACTTAAAAATGCTATCAATGAGATCCAATCCAATCTAGATAATCTAACAGCTGAGGTAACTGAGGCAGAAGCAGCGACCTGGAAGACAATATAATAGATAAAAAGGGAAAAGACAAGGCCAGGGAAAAACAACTCAGAATCCATGAAAATAGAATCAGAGAAATAAGTGACGCCATGAAGTGTTCCAATGTCAGAATAATTGGAATCCTGGAAGGAGTGGAGAGAGAGAGAGGACTAGAAGATGTATTTGAGCAAATCGTAGCTGAGAACTTCCCTAATCTGGGGAATGAAACAAACATTTGAGTCCTAGAGGCAGAGAGGACCCCTCCCAAGATCAAGGAAAACAGGCCAACACCCCGGCATGTAATAGTAAAACTTGCAAATCTTAGAACCAAGGAAACCATCTTAAGGGCAGTTAGGAGGAAGAGATTCCTTACGTACAGAGGCAGGAACATCAGAATAACGTCAGACCTATCCACAGAGACCTGGCAAGCCAGAAAGGCCTGGCAAGATATACTCAGGGTACTAAAGGAGAAAAACATGCAGCCAAGAATACTTTATCTGGCAAGGCTTTCATTTAGAATGGATGGAGAGATGCAGAGCTTCCACGACCGGCAGAAACTGAAAGAATATGTGACCACTAAGCCGGCCCTGCAAGAAACATTAAGGGGAGTTCTATAAAAGGAGAAAGACCCCAAGAGTGATATACGACAGAAATTTACAGGGACAATGTATAAAAACAACATCTTCACAGGCAACGTGATGACAATTAATTCATATCTTTTAGTAATCACTCTCAACGTGAATGGCCTAAACGCTCCCATAAAACGGCACAGGGTTACAGATTGGATAAAAAGACAGGACCCATCCATATGCTGTGTACAAGAGACTCATTTTGAACCTAAAGATACATCCAGACTGAAAGTGAAGGGATGGAGATCTATCTTCCATGCCAACGGACCTCAAAAGAAAGCTGGGGTAGCAATTCTTATATCAGACAAATTAGATTTTAAACTGAAGTCTGTAATAAGAGACACGGAAGGACACTCTATCATTCTTAAAGGGTCTATCCAACAAGAAGATCTAACAATTGTAAATATCTATGCCCCTAACATGGGAGCAGCCATCTACATAAGCCAACTGTTAACCAAAATAAAGAGTCATATTGATAACAATACATTAATTGTAGGAGACCTCAATGCTCCACTCTCAGCAATGGACAGATCATCTAACCAGAAAATCAACAAGGAAACAAGAGCTTTGAATGACACACTGGACCAGATGGACCTCATAGATATATACAGAACATTCCACCCTAAAACAACAGAAGACTCATTCTTCTCGAGCGCACATGGAACTTTCTCCAGAATAGACCATATACTGGGCGACAAATCAGGTCTCAACCGATACCAAAAGACTGGGATTATTCCCTGCATATTCTCAGACCACAATGCTCTAAAACTGGAACTCAATCACAAGAGAAAATTTGGCAAAAATTCAAACACTTGGAAGCTAAAGAGCACACTGCTCAAGAATGTTTGGGTCAACTAAGAAATAAAAGAACTTAAAGAATTCAGGAAATCAATGAGAACGAAAACACATCGGTGCAAAACCTATGGGATACTGCAAAGGCGGTCCTAGGGGGAAATACATAGCCATCCAAGCCTCACTCAAAAAAATAGAAAGATCCCGAATTCACCAACTAACTCTACACCTTAAAGAACTAGAGAAAAAGCAACAAATGACGCCTAAGCCACGCATTAGAAGAGAAATAATTAAAATTAGAGCAGAAATCAATGAATTAGAAACCAGAAACACAGTAGATCAGATCAATGAAACTAGAAGTTGGTTCGTTGAAAGAATTAATAATACTGATAAACCACTGGCCAGACTTATCCAAAAGAAGAGAGAAAGGACCCAAATTAATAAAATTATGAATGAAAGGGGAGAGATCACGACCACCACCAAGGAAATAGAAACAATTATTAGAAATTATTATCAACAACTATATGCCAATAAGCTGAGCAACACCTGGAAAAAATGGATGCCCTCCTGGAAACCTATAAGCTGCCAAGACTGAAACAGGAAGAAACTGACAACCTCAATAGGCCAATAACCAGTAACGAGATTGAAGCAATGATCCAAAACCTCCCAAAAAACAAGAGTCCAGGGCGTGATGGATTCCTTGGGGAATTCTACCAAACAGTCAAAGAAGAAATAATACCTATTCTACTGAAGCTGTTTCAAAAAATAGAAACAGAAGGAAAACTTCCAAACTCATTCTATGAGGCCAGCATTACCTTAATCCCCAAACCAGGCAAAGATCCCATCAAAAAGGAGAATTTCAGACCGATATCCCTGATGAATATGGATTCCAAAATCCTCAACAAAATCCTAGCTAATAGGATCCAACAATACATTACAAGGATCATCCACCACGAACAAGTGGGATTTATCCCCGGGATGCAAGGGTGGTTCAACATTCGCAAATCAATCAATGTGATAGAACACATTAATAAGAGGAGGGAGAAGAACCATATGGTCCCCTCAATTGATGCAGAAAAAGCATTTGACAAAATACAACATCCTTTCCTGATTAAAACTCTCCAGAGTATAGGGATAGAGGGAATATTTCTCAAGCTCATAAAATCCATCTATGAAAAACCCACAGCGAATATCATCCTCAATGGGGAAAACCTGAGAGCCTTTCCCTTAAGATCAAGAACACGTCAAGGGTGCCCACTCTCACCACTGTTGTTCAACATAGTACTAGAAGTCCTAGCAACAGCAATCAGACAACAAAAAGAAATAAAAAGTATTCAAATTGGCAAAGAAGAAGTCAAACTCTCTCTTTTCACAGACGACATGATACTTTATGTGGAAAACCCAAAAGATTCCACCCCCAAATTACTAGAACTCATCCAGCAATTCAGTAATGTGGCAGGATACAAAATCAATGCACAGAAATCAGTTGCTTTCTTATACACTAACAACACAACTGTAGAAAGAGAAAATAAAGAAACGATTCCATTTACAATAGCAGCAAAAACCATAAGATACCTCGGAATAAACCTAACCAAAGAGGTAAAGGATATATACTCTAGGAACTACAAAACACTCATGAAAGAAATTGAAGAAGACACAAAAAGATGGAAAAATATTCCATGCTCATGGATCGGAAGAATAAACATTGTTAAAATGTCTATGCTACCCAGAGCAATCTATACCTTCAATGCCATCCCGATCAAAATTCCAATGACATTTTTCAAAGTGCTGGAACAAACAATCCTAAAATTTGAATGGAATCAGAAAAGACCCCGAATCGCCGAGGAACTGTTAAAAAAGAAAAACAAAGCTGGGGGCATCACGTTGCCCAATTTCAAGCTATATTACAAAGCAGTGATCACCAAGACAGCATGGTACCGGCACAAAAACAGACATACAGAGCAATGGAACAGAATAGAGAGCCCAGATATGGACCCTCAACTCTATGGTCAAATAATCTTTGACAAAGCAGGAAAAAACATGCAATGGAAAAAAGCCAGTCTCTTCAATAAATGGTGCTGGGAAAATTGGACAGCCACATGCAGAAGACTGAAACTCGACCATTGTCTAACACCATTCACAAAGATAAACTCAACGTGGATGAAAGACCTCAATGTGAGACAGGAATCCATCAAAATGCTAGACGAGAACATAGGCAGTAACCTCTTTGACATAGGCCACAGCAACTTCTTTCAAGATACATCTCCAAAAGCTAGTGAAACAAAAGGAAAAATGAAATTTGGGACTTCATCAAGATAAAAAGCTTCTGCACAGCAAAGGAAACAGTCAACAAAACAAAGTGGCAACCCACAGAATGGGAGAAGATATTTGCAAATGACACTACAGATAAAGGGCTGGTATCCAAGATCTATAAAGAACTTCTCAAACTCAACACCCAAGAAACAAATAATCAAGTCAAAAAGTGCGCAGAAGAGATGAACAGACACTTCTCTGAAGAAGACATACAAATGGCTAATAGACACATGAAAAAATGTTCATCATCATTACCATCAGGGAAATTCAAATCGAAACCACACTGAGATACCACCTTACACCAGTTAGAATGGCAAAAATGGACAGGGAAAGAAACAACAAATGTTGGAGAGGTTGTGCAGGAAGGGGAACCCTCTTACACTGTTGGTGGGAATGCAAGTTGGTACAGCTTATGCTAAGGAGATTATGCTAAGTGAAATAAGTCAAGCAGAGAAAGTCAATTATCATATGGTTTCACTTATTTGTGGAATATAAGGAATAACATGGAGGACATTAGGAGAAGGAAGGGAAAAATGGGCGGGGGGAATTGGAGGGAGAGATGAACCATGAGAGACTATGGACCTGAGAAACAAACAGGGTTTTAGAGGGGAGCGGGGAGGGGGGATTGGTTAGCCCGGTGATGGGTATTAAGGAGGGCACGCACTGCATGGAGCACTGGGTATTATACGAAAACAATGGATCGTGGATCACTACATCAAAAACTAATGATGTAATGTATGGTGAGTAACATAACATAATAAAATTAAAAAAAAAAAAGTAGTAAGCTTTCATAAGGGAAGAATAAGAACATTTATTTATTAATTACCTAAAATGTACCAGGCACTCGGGCGCCTGGGTGGCTCAGTTGGTTAAGCGACTGCCTTCGGCTCAGGTCATGATCCTGGAATCCCTGGATGGAATCCCGCATCGGGCTCCCTGCTCGGCAGGGAGTCTGCTTCTCCCTATGACCCTCCCGACCCTCCCCCTCTCATGCTCTCTCTCTCTCAGTCTCTCTCTCAAATAAATAAATAAAATCTTAAAAAAAAAAAAATGTACCAGGCACTTATCTTAGTATGCACATTTTCTTTTCTATACACAACAATAACAATGACTATGTCAATGGGGTGGATCTTCCAGCTTCCTGGTCATTCCAAGTCATAAGAGTGAAATGATGAATAGATGTGATCCATGGTTCTCTCTGTCTAGAATGTTCTTCTCCAAGACCTTCACACGACTAGTCCTTCTCATCCGCCACTTGGCGGCTCTTGCCACATTCAGAGAGATCTTTCCTGACTAACAAAATTCCACTCCCATTCTCATCCCCATCCTAATTACAAACTCCCCCAAAACTCCCTAACCTAACATTTCCATTTTCTTTATATGAAGCACTTATAGTAACTTACCAATGGATTGTTGTTTCCTTATTTTTTCTGCTCCTACCACTACAGCCTAACCCCTCAACTTATACAGCCTGGTACATAGCTGATATTCAATAACAGAAATGTATTTAAGGTCAAAACATTTAAAATAATCTCACTGAGGGGGTGCCTGCGTGGCAGCATCAGTTAAGTGTCCAACTCTTGATTTCAGATCAGTTCATGATCTCAGGGTCATGAGATCAAGCCCCATGTCGGGCTCCGTGCTGAGCATGAAGCCTACTTGGAATTCTCTCTCTCCCTCTTCTTCTGCCCCTCCCCACCCTCTCACACGCTCTCTCTCTCTCTCTAAAAAATAAATAAAATCACCTCACTGAGAAGGTCTCAAGTACCAAGTCACTATACTGTCGACCCTTACACAATGCAAAGGTTAAGGGCGTTGACAGCCGTGCAGTCAAAAATCCACACATAACTTTTGATTCCCCAAAAACTTAACTACTAATCTCCTATTGAACTTCCTACTTTAAAAGCAATTAGACTTGAAAATAGGAACAATGTAAATGAAAAACCAAAACATTTAAATAGAAGACCTCGTATATGCTCTCTAGATCTAATCTATGTCTTAATCCTCATTTGGCCATTGACTCTGTAAACTGAGCATGGAAGGTCAGAGAAAATTATAACCTAATGCTGACCTTACCAATAATGTAAAATCAATTAACACATTTTGTGTGTTATATGTATTATATACTGTATTCTTACAATATAAAGAAAAGTTTATTAAGAAAATCATAAGGAAGAGAAAACAGATTAACAGTACTGAACTGTATCAAAAAAATAGTCTGCGTGTAAGTGGACACACAATTCAAACTCATCCTGTTCCAGGGTCAACTGTATACCTATACAATGTCACTGAAACGTAACATACCCCAACTTAGAAATCCACCTGCCCGTTCTAACTTTCCCATTCTTTTCTGGACACTACTGCCATTTATGTTACTGTCCTTCAGAAATCTTCACATTTAAAAAAAAGTGTCCTCAATATCTAATAAATCACTAAATACTGCTGTGATCATTTTTGTCCTATATTTCTATAGCAGCCTTTACAGTATACAAAGTGTTTTCACATTTGTTACCACATTTGTTCATTACACATACCTGAGAGGTAGGTATTAGTACCATTTTTATGAATCAGGTCACTGACATTCAAGCAGGTTAAACAAGTTTTTCTGGCATCCCACAGCTACCAAGTGACAGAACCAGGATGCTAGCATATCTTTTGACTTCAAATACGGTGCCTGCACCATTCTGAAGCACCTGCCTGTGCTAAGAGATCAGGTCCTTTTCACCTCCTTCCACAGTCTGTCACCTTAGAATAGGTCATCATTACTTTATACTTATGTTTCTACAAGTATGGCTGCCACAAAGATACTCAATGCATACTATTTTAACGATCCCAAATGGCTGTTACCTATTAAAACACCACAAAACCAGGGACACCTGGGTGGCTCAGTCGGTTCTGGGATCTAGCCCCATGTGCTCAGTGGGGAGCCTGCTTCTCCCTCTCCCTCCGCACCTCCCCCAGCTCATGCTCTCTTTCTCTATCTCTTTCTCTCTCAAATAAATAAATAAAATCTTTTTAAAAATAAATAAATAAAACACCACTAAGCCAAATTGTTATTATAATCCCAATGCTCCTTGTAAATCTACTTGACAATCCAAGTATAATACTTTCAGGGCCCCTGGATGGCTCAGTCAGTTGAGTGTCCAACTCTTGGTATAGTAGGGCTCTGCGCCCAGAGGGAGTCTGCTTCAGATTCTCTTTCCCTCTCCCTCCTGCTCACTCACTCTCTCTCTCAAATAAATAAATAAAATCTTAAAAAAAAAAAAAAAAAATATATATATATATATATATATAAAATACTTTCAAGTCCCAGGCGTTAGCTTTTCAAGTTCCAAGTTGTAAAAAACTATAATCCAAACTTTCTAGATCTCATCAGAAATTTTGCACATCCATATACACCACAGAATCACATCTGGCCATAGGTTGGCCTGGAGTAATTCTTTAGTTTTTTAGATAACTTAATTTCAAAACGCAAACTAATTCCTTATCACTCCTAAACCTCAGTTTTCTGCAGTAATAATACACAGCTTTCATTAAGTTAAGCTTGCAAATTAGCAGAACTGTATTATGCTGTATTATTATATTTAGCACATAATTATTTTATCAATTACAGGTAAAAAGTATAAGGAAATAGTTTTTATGGGCAAATGCAGAGATGACAGAGTAAAGTCTAAGCATCCCTTTTATGCTTTAACATCATTCAATGCTTATATTTTAAAATAATAAGAAGAAAACAGTACCTCAGAATCCCAAGGTGATTCTCCATCTTCCTCTTCTCCTAATCCCAATGCTGACATCGTAACTATAAAATACAGTCACAGATAACATTAATGAGAACATGTATTATTATGAATTTTAAACATATGTACAAGCTTATCCCTACTCATGACTATTTCAATAAAATAAAAGTAATAGCAGTAAAGATTTTCAGAGGGTTGAATTATTTTCAGGAAGAAAAAGTTGGTAGTAGTCAGGATACTTAAAAAGAAAGACAGCAAAAGAAACATATCTTAATGAAATGCATAACATCTGGATCTACATACTTTCAGATTTCTTTATACTAGCATTTGAGCATAGGAAAAAATTCACAGATGTTTACTAACTTACCACTACTATTACTTTTGTATGCTCTATCAGCAGAAGTCAGATGGTCATTAACTGTTTGCTCTTGTGGAGCACTTTCAGTAATATTAATACCATTGTCTTTTTTTCCAGTTGCCGGCTGCACCTCTCCTTCCTATAAAAACAACACAAAACAAAAACCCAACTTCAGAAAACATCACATTAATTCACTTGTTCACTCACTCACTCACTCAGAAAGACAAAGACACACCGTACCTGTCAAGTCATAGGCACTATCGTGGGAGAAGCTGGAAATATAAACGACAGAGACTGCCCTATATGCTAGTAGGGGTAGAGATGGACCAAAACAATTAAGAACAGAAGGGTATCATTTACTAGTTCTGCAGGTGAAGTGAATAAAGTACAGTGAAGGCACAAAGGAGAAAAGAGTTGCATATGGGAAGCTCAGGAAATGCTGCAGATAGGGCTGTATATTGAAAGACAGACAAGGTGCACAAGGAGGGTGCAAAGGACACTCTAGAAAAGGTAGAATGAGCGAAAGGATGAAGTATGAAATAACGCAGTAAGTTACGATAGCTCCAGAATGTGGCAAAACTGGAACACAACTTTTGGGAATGGGACAGAGAGAGATAACTGGAAAATCAGGACTGAACCAAAAAAGGCAAGTGTCATGCTAGAATATGAACTTTCTCCTTCATGTAATGGGGATCCACTAAATAAGCAGAGGAGTTACATCGTCAGAAATATATTGTAGAAAGGTCTGACAGCAATGTAAAGATGAACATAAGGGAACCAAAACCAGAAGAGTATTTCAAAACTATACGTGAGAGAGTGAATTATGATAATAAGATATGAAAAATGGTAAGCAGGGACAAAATACTGAATGTGGTGATTTTTCTGTTTTGTTTTTTACTTTTTTTTTTTTAAGATTTTTTATTTATTTGTCAGAGACAGAGAAAGCACAAGCAGGAGGAGTGGCAGGCAGAGCGAGAAGCAGGCTTCCCGCTGAGCAAGGAGCCCAACTTGGGACTCAATCCCAGGACCCCCGGATCATGACCTGAGCTGAAGGCAGCCCCCTAACTGACTGAGCCTCCCAGGCGTCCCTTTTTCTAATTTAAATTCAATTAATTAACATATAATGTATTACTGGTTTCAGAGGTAGAGATGTGGTGATTTTTTTTTTTAAAGATTTACTTATTTTGAGAGAGAGAGTGTGTGTGCGTGCAGGGGGAGGGGCAGAGGGAGAGGAAGAGAGAGAATCCTCAAGCAGACTCCCTACTCAGTATGGAGCCTGTAACAGGGCTTGATACCAGGACCCCTGAGATCATGACCTGAGCCAACATCAAGAGTCGGATGCTTAACCAAGTGAGCCACCCAGGTGCCCCTGGATGTAGTAATTTCAGGGAAGTTTGCAGTCCAGGACTTTTCCTGCTTCAGTGTTTCAGTGGCACAATATACTAGGATGGGGAAAACAAATGACAAAGCAGATTACAAAAAGTCAGGGAAGAGGAAAGGGTCAGAAACAAAGTCTTCAATCTGGGACATACCAAATTGGAAGCACCTAAGGAGAAAGTTTTACACAAATACATTTGGAGTAGGAAAAAATGACAGGAAAAGCACATGATGTTAATAAAACAAATATCTATAAAATATACTAACCTGATATAATTAATGTAAACCTACACAGAACTCTGAAATTTTCAGAATAAAAATAAAAGCAGGGGGGGGAAAAACCATGGGATTCAATATTTCATTTATATACTTCAACATTAGTTTCAAGGATAGAAAATAGACTTTTATTAATATAGGCAAGTTAGTGGGCACCTGGGTGGCTCAACTCGTTAAGCATCTGACTCTTGATTTTGGCTCAGGTCATGATCTCAGGTTTGTCAGATTGAGTCCCAAATCAGGCTCCATGCTCAGTGGGGAGTCTGCTTCTCTCCCTCTCTTTTCCTCTCCTTCTGCCCCTCCCCCTGACTCTCTCTCTCTCTGAAATAAATATTTAGAAAAAAAAATATATATATAGGCAAGTATTAATTTCTTTAATGAATAGCATTTTTAAGATTAATAAAAAGATTTAATTGCAAAACACCAATTCAAGATTTTGTAAGAATAATTTTCTAAAAATTAATTTTAAAAGATTTAAATTGTAGAAGAGAAATACTTATAGGATTATAGAATTTTGAGGCATCTTTAAGTACTACTACAATGTACGAGAAAAATATAAAGCCCTATTTTAAAATTCACATGATTTTCTTATTCCACTGTGAACAGCATACTAATAGCTCTAATTTCCTATCAATGAATATAGGATGGTAGTTAAAGACTGGGGAAAGAATCTAGTATTAAAAAATTAATAATCATGATCATCCAAGTTGAAGGTTTTAAAGTCTCCAAATACATGTATGATCATCAAGCAGGACCCAATATTCACAGAAGGAAAGAAGAAAGGGACAAAAAAAAATCAAATCACCAGTATTTCTGAATTTCAGATATGAAAGAATTCACATGTTAAATTTAACAACTATGGGGCGCCTGGCTGGCTCAGTTGGAAGAGTGTGTGACTCTTGATCTCAGGGTGGTGAGTTCAAGCCCCATGTTGGGTATAGAGATTACTTAAAATTTTTTAAATCTAAAACAAAAATTAACAACGATGAATACTAAAGTTTCCTGAGAATAATATAAAATGTATCTACTATTGGAGATATTTGAAAAAGTAAAAATCATCTTCCAGAAATAATTCTGTATACTCTGTTGGCAACCTTTCCTTCCTTATGATTCTACAATGACAAACAGTTCATATTAGAAAAAAACCTATAAATTGTGAGTTCATTCATTTGATGTGTGTCTGTGTATCTATTAAATGCAGATACAATTAAAAATAAATTATAAATCACAATCCAGAAACAAAATTTTCTATTTTTTCTTTAAGAGTGTTACAGCTTAAAATTTATTTCATTTATTGGATAAAGATTAAGAACCTCACTTACATAATCAGAAATTTCAGTTTTAATTAATGAAAAGACTAAATGTTTACTTATTTCCTCTCTTTAGTCTCAAAAAGATCTAAAACCTACCAAGATTCTACCACACAGGAAGTTAAATCAGAAACCACAAGAAAGGGCACCTGGGTGGCTCGGTTGGTTTAGAGTCTGCCTTCAGCTTAGGTCATGAACCCAGGGTCCTTGGATTGAGTCCTGCATCAGGCTCCCTCCTCAGTGGGGAGTCTGCTTCTCCCTCTGCACCTCCTCCTGCTCGTGCACTCACACTCTCTCTCTCTCACAAAAATAAATATATAAAATCTTACAAAAGAAAGAAAGAAAGAAACCACAAGAAAGACAATGGCCAAAAATTCAAAATTCATAATAAATCTGATTAAGGCCTAAAACAGATTTCACTTTGCATTATCTATAAACACAGGTTTTGCTAAATTAAATATAAGATAGCACACTTTATTAAACTTAAATGGAAGGATAAAATTTTCTTCCAGTTCTTCATAAAAGTCAGCTTTAAGTCATTCAGAAGAGTCTAAGCATTTTTTTTTATTACTTCACGTTGTTTTCTTATTTTGCACTTAAAATAATTTCTACCATATTTTGTAATATAGAGTATCTGCTCTCCCTTAGCCTCACTACTGCTGTTGTCTTTTTATAATAATCTCTCTCAACTCTTTAATCTTTACATTCATCTTGCCCTTCTTAAATTAATTCTTCCCCCCACCCCCTCCCTCATCTTCACATCCATCTAGCTGTTCTTTCCAGTTGCTTTCTAATTCTTTCCTTCCATAATGGCATACCTAAGAATTGTTTACTCCCACCAACCTTTATAAATCTCAATCTGGTACTTACCTCTCTGTTGTTATTATATTATTTCCCCTTATGATCTTGAGGACTTCTGTTTTTTCCTAAGATTCTTTTCATTATAAGGATCAAGAGGATGGTATGTGAAAAAAATAGGGAAAAAAGCTTAAAACAGAACAACTTACCTTTATAACACCATGGCCTGCTAACGATTTGACAGGTTTTGAAAAAGCAGGACAAGAAAAGTCATTGGCTTTGAATGGTGGTTTGTAAAGAAGTCCAACTATATTTTCATCTTCATAATCAGAATTATCGTGCTCAGATAAAGTTCTACCTCCTAGTGTTATAAGGCCACATTTTGTTCCCACTTAGTAAAAAACAAAATAAAAAGAACATGAAAATATCTGTAATTTCGAATTACTGAATAATACAAGAATGGGCAAAAATTAGTGAATAACACGTCTTCAAATAGCTTACCATTCTTGAATTGCTCAGAAGCATTCATTAGCGCTCTCAAGTTTGGTTTTGGGACAGTCTAGAAAAAAATTAATAGTTTTAAGGACTACAAGTATCACATTTGATAAAATAATTATTATTTTAATTTTAATTATTATTGATAATTCCCCATTATCAAATGAGCACCACTACACAGAGAACACAGGTTTTGGAATCATTCAAATGGAGATTCAAATCTCAGTTCTGCCATTTACTAAGCCTATATTTTCTCCTGGGATGAGGATTATGAGAGATTTAATAGCTAGTCCCAAAATGTTATTTTCCTTACCCCTAACTGATTATTATATATATATTCTTCCTCAAAAAGTTAAAAATAAAGCTACCCTACAACCCAGCAATTGCACTACTAGGTATTTATCCAAAGGATACAAACATAGTGATCTGAAGGGGCACCTGCACCCCAACAATTTACTTTATAGAGAAAAAATTAAATTCCTTACTACAGTTTTTTTAAACAAATAAATGTAGAGTGAGAAAAGTCAGTGTTATTAGGGATATACTATGAATGAAAGCCTCTGTTTTAGATATATTTATAATATATATGTAATGTATATATTTACAATATATACATAATATATATATTTATAATATGTAATTCAAAAAATTTAAGAGACTTCTGTTTATAGTATATCCATAATCATATTTACATATACTGAAAAATATTTTTTCCACTTACCTTTACCTTATCAGTACCTGAAAGTTATAAATTATTACTATAGAGAGAAAAAAATAGAAAAAGAAATGTTTCTAACACATCAACTTTCCACATGGAGAAAGAATTGGTAATGAGAATTCTAAGGAGAAATGTACACCTTGAAAGGATATCTAATGAGACACAGATGGGGTTAAAGAAAAAAGTTGAGGAATTTGTATCTAAAATTCTGAGCTCATGGGGTGCCTTGGTGGCTCAGTCGGTTGGTTAAGCATCTGCCTTTGGCTCGGGTCATGATCCCGGAGTCCTGGGATTGAGCCCCACATCGTGCTCCTGGCTCTGCGGGGAGCCTGCTTCTCACTCTGACTCTCTCCCCTCTCATGCTGTTTCTCTCTCTCAAATAAATAAATAAATAAAATCTTAAAAAAAAAAAAAAGAAAATTCTGAGCTCACAATTAGAGGATACTAAAAAATATACTGTAACCTTTTTTCTTATTTATTTATTTCCTCAACATCATTCATTTGCACTTATAAATCTTAAACATAAAAAGGGAATATAGGGCGTCTGGGTGGCTCAGTTGGTTAAGCGACTGCCTTCAGCTCAGGTCATGATCTTGGAGTCCCGGGATCGAGTCCCACATCGGGGGGGTGGAGGGGGGGGCGCCTGCTCAGCGGGGGGGTCTGCTTCTCCCTCTGACCCTCCCCACTCTCATGTGGTCTCTCTCATTCTCTCTGTCTCAAATAAATAAATCTTTTTAAAAAATAGGAATATAAATTTGAGCCATATTTTTAAAAATTCATGTATTTAATTATGACACACTATGCACATTACTTATAACATTCCATTATACAGAATTCCATCTGTCTGCTCATTTATTCACATTCAAAAAATATTAAATTGCTTCTTCCAAGCAAGACTTTATTCTAGGTGTTCCAGGAGATGGACAATTACGTTTCCTAACATCCAGTAGCTTATAATGATGCAGGGGCTTTAAAATGAATATTTAAATAAGAATGAAATTTTAAATTGTAGAATCTGATACAAAGATTGAGTAGATATTTTTAAAAACTGTAATATAAAAGATTTCTGAAATTGGACATTTTACCATATGGGTATGAAGAGCCTCTGCTTCTAGAGCTGATTATTATTTTAGGCAAAACATGTATTCTTCACTTAGATAACGTTTTAACTATAATCTTAATGGAATTATTTTGAAAACACAGTGGAATACCTTTGCAATATAAATTCTGAGAATTTAAATTTCTGAATTTCCACAATTTCTAATATTATTTTAGTCTAAATGTACAACAAAGGATAAAAATAGAGAAAAAAGTCTTTTGTAAAACTATATGTTACCAAGGGAAAAACGTCCGCAATAATTGAATCCACTAAAGATTTCATTTAGGCATGAGTATTATAAATGTCATGTTAAGAAAGAAAGAAAAGTCACGTTAAGATAACTTAAAACTCACAGAAAAATCCTTATCCTACACCAAATATCTTATTTCCTCCATTATGGAAAAGCTTTTCCCAATATAATTTTCCTGTCATTACCTATTTTCCAGCCCATTTTTTTCAGCCTCCACCTTCAGTATTTACCAGAGTAAAAAAAAAAAAAAAAAAAAAAAAAAAATTCTACAAAATGGTTTGTTCTGACCCACTTTCCATTACAAACAAAATGATGATAGGTAGGCCACTGCTAAATTTTAAGAGTAAATAATATACAAACTAAATTCAGAGCAGGAAAACAAATTTCACAAGAGTACTTTACCTTGATATCAAAATTAAAGTCTTCATCATCTGATGTAGGCCATGAATCATCAGTACCAGGTTTAACAGAAATACTTTAGAGCAAAAACATCAACAAAAACAAGTTCATTAAAAAGAAAAATCGAATGAAAGGTCAGCTATTTACTGAATGAAGTTTCTTGATAATACTTAAAATTTGGCCTCTGTTTTTGTTAAGTTTTTATTTTAAATCCTATATCATTAACATACAAGTGCTATATTAGTTTCATGTATACAATATAATGATAGGGCAATTCCATACATCACCCAGTGCTCATCATGACAAGTGCATTCCTTAATCTCTGTCTCCTATTTCACCCATTCCCCCACCCATCTCCCTCCCCTCTGGTAACCATCAATTTGTTCTCTATCGTTAAGAGTCTGTTTCTTGGTTTGTCTTTTTTTTTTTTCTCCCTTTGCTCATTTTTATTGTTTCTTAAATTCTACATATGAGTAAAATCATATGGTATTTGTCTTTCTCTAACTGACTTCACTTAGCATAATACTCTCTAGTTCCACCCATTTCATTGCAAATGGCAAGATTTCATTCTTTTCTATGCCTGAATAATATTCCATTGTGTATGTATATCACTTTTTACCCATTCATCTATCAATGGACACTTGGGCTGACTCTTGTAAATAATGCTGCAGTAAACATAGGAGTGCATGTATCCCTTTGAATTGGTGTTTCCGTATTTTTTGGTAAATACCCAGTAGTGCAATTACTCGATTATAGGGTAGTTCTATTTTTAACTTTTTGAGGAAACTCCATACTGTTTCCCACAGTGGCTGCACCAGTTTGCATTCCCACCAACAATCCAAGAGGGTTCCTTTTCCTCCACATCCTCACCAACACTTGTTTCTTGTGTTTTTGATTTTAGTCATTCTGACAGGTGTGCAGTGGTGTCTCATTGTAGTTTTGATTTGCATTTCCCTGATGATGAGTGATGTTGAGCATCTTCTTATGTGCCTGTTGACCATCTGTATGTTTTCTTTGGAAAAATGTCTGTTCATGTCTTCTGATCATTTTTCAACCGGGTTGTGTTTTGGGTGTTGAGTTCTATCAGTTCTTTGTATTTGTATACTAACCCTTTATCAGCTATGTCATTTGCAAAGATCCTCTCCTATTCATAGGTTGCCTTTTCATTTTGTGGACTGATTCCTTCACTGTGCAAAAGCTTTTGATTTTGATGTAGTCCCAATAGTTTATTTTTGTTTTTATTGTTCTTGCCTCAAGAGACATAATTAGAGAAAAACAAACAAACAAAAAAACAAAACACCACTGCTACAGCCAATATCAGAGAGATTACTGCTTGTGCTCTCTTCAAATATTTGATTTCAGGTGTCACATTTAGGTCTTAAACCCATTTTTGAGTGTATTTTTAAAGAAAGTGGTCCAGTTTCATTCTTTTGCTTGTAGCTGTCCAGTTCTCCCAACACCATTTGTTGAAAAGACTGCTTTTTCTCAATTGGATATTCTTTCCTGCTTTGTCAAAGATTAATTGACCATATAGTTATGGGTTTATTTCTGGAGTTTTCTGTTCTATTCCACTGATCTATATTTGTTTTTTGCCAGTACCATACTGTTTTGATGACTACAGCTTTGTAATATAACTTGAAATCTGGAACTGTGATACTTCCAATTTGTTTTTCAATATTGCCTTGGCTATTCGAGGTCTTCAGTGGTTCCATACAAATTTTAGGATTGTTTGTTCTAGTTCTGTGAAAAATGTTGGTATTTTAATAGGCATTGCATTAAATCTGTAGATTGCCTGGGGTAGTATAGACATTTTAACAATATGTGTTTTTCCCATTCATGAGCATGCAACGTCTTTCCACTTCTTCTGTCTTGACACAATTTCTGTCATCAATGTTTTATAGTTGTTAGAGTACAGGTCTTTCAAAATTTGGTCTCTGTTTTTAAGAAGGTTTTCGTTATCTATCTTGCCTCCACCTCTCCGAAGATGTGAAATACCTAGTAAAGACCCAGTCTTAGTTCCCATAACTAAGAGTGACAGGCAAGGAATTCTCTGAAATGTTTGAAAGTTAATTGTTCAAAAGTTAACCACAATGAATTATCGCCTTACACCTGTCAGAATGGCTAGAATCAAAAACACAAAAAACAAGTGTTGGTGAGGATGTAGAGAAAAAGGAACCCTTGTGCACTGGTGGTGGGGATAGAAAATGGTGTGAAAAACAGTATGGAGGTTCCTTGAAATATTAAAAATAGAAATAACACAAGATCCAGTAATTCCATTACTGGTTACTTACTTTCCCAAAGAAAATGAAAACACTGATTTGAAAAGATATATGCACCCCCATGTTTACTGCAGCATTATTTACAACAGCCAATATATGGAAACAACCCAAGTGTCCATCAACAGATGTATCTCTTACACACACACACACACACACACACAGAGGAATGTTACTCAGCCATAAAAAAGAATATGATCTTGCCATTTGCAACAATGTAGATGTACCTAGAGGGTATTATGCTAAGTGAAATAGTCAGAGAAAGACAAATATTGTATGATTTCACTTATATGTAGAATCTAGAAAGCAGAACAAATGAACAAACAAAAAGCAGAAACAGACCCAGAAATAGAGAGAATTCTGTATTGCCAGAAGGGAAGGAGGTGGGGGACGGACGAAATGGGTGAAGGGGAATGGGAGGTTCAGGATTCCAGTTATAGTAAGTCACAGGGATACAAGTACAACATAGGGAATATAGTCACTGGTATTGTAATAGCATTATGCAGTAACAGATAGTAGCTACACTTGTGGTAAGCATGGTGTAACATATAGAGTTGTTCAAGCACTACCTTGTACGCCTGAAACTAACATAACATCTTGTGTCAACTATGCTTCAATTAAAAGAAATAAATAAATATATAAATGTTAAAGAACAAATTTATGTTATTAGTGGGAATACTATTCCCAGATTAAAAGATTAAAAATTATAAGGTTCAAATTTTTTCCTTCACTGGTCCTGCCTTATTTAGGTCTACATAAACGAGCAAGACCTTAAAAACCTTCATAGGCACTCAGATACCCAAGAAGAGAGACTGCTATAAAAACAGAGTCCGGGTGGCTGTGCCTCTATTTCCCTATACACTGCCTAATATTTTCTTTCTGTGAGTTCCCACCCCTATTATCACTCTTCTGCAGGGCTCAGTGGTACTCTCCAACCTTTAAGTCTTTAGTCTATGAAAGCACAGACTCCCAAAACAAGGATAGGCTCAAATGTCCAAGAGTAGGAGCCATTTCCTGCTCCTGGAGAACAAGCAAAATGGAGTTTCAGTCATCCATGGAGTCATCTCAACGTAGACATGTTACCAACTACCCAAATAAAACTCCTGTTACTGATTTGACAGCCACTCATACCCCACCAAACCCTACATGTACATGGGCAGGGCATCAGAGAATTAAGAAAAGAGGTGGAGTGAGGAGACCGCTACCTTGGGCCATACATCTATGTTGTGTAGAATCTCCATTGCGCCTATTACTCAAGAGGATCTAAGCCACTCTCTGTAAGTTGGGGTGGAAGTAAATGATATCACATTCTTATATGCTGTAAAAAGATTCTTCCCAGTGGCTCAAATGATTTTAATATCTCTCAACAGAAAACCTGAAGTATGCTAGTTCATTCAATTAAACCAACAAACAAAAAAGCTGCTCAAGATTCTCTTCAACCCTCTATTTTAATATGCCTTTCTAAACAACTCCCAATATCCTGTGTCCTTCATTCCTTTGTGTGTGTGTGTGTATCCGTCATTCCTATAATTCATCTTTATCTAACTTATCATAAACCCCAATATTCTGACATCTTTCCTAAAACTATCCAACCCAGTGTTATTCTTCTTGAAACTTGGCCTCTCCTGCTAATTCCTTCCTTACCCCCCTTCACTGTGTTCATAAGACCCCCTCCCCATCTTTCAATTATTAAAACATTTACCTACAAGATGAGAAAAAAGGAAAAAACCTGAATTTAAATCTCATTTCTGTCACTTATCATATCCAAATAAGTCACTTTTAATCTCTTTTGAGTTTCAAATTCTCCATTTAAACAACCACTTGGTGGGAGGATGTTGAACATAGGTTGCAGTACCAGAGGGTATTTTGATTAATTCATCTCTAAGATTCCTTAAGATCCTGAAATTCTATGTGCTTTTGATTTTGTCTATAGAAACACAGAGACTATTTAGCTGGCAGAAATGGAAACAATTAATGGACTAAAAGAAACACCAAGAAAAGCAAAGTAAAAAAAAAAAAAATCAAGAAAAGATTATAGAAAAGTCATGGAGAAAAAGAAAAAGGTCTACAAAAAAAAAAGAAGAAGCTTCAAAGAACTAGTCAAGGGTACTAGCCTAGGTAAAACTAGACTGGGAAGTCAGTAAGTAGAGAATCATTTAGAAATATCCTCTAAATAGATGATAAATTTAATTAATGCAACATGGTCTACACCTAGATTACATATCCTTCACTTCTGGAAAAATCATTCATCTCAAGGAGAGCAGACATCACTATATCTAAGAATTTGCCTGATTAGGTCTTGCTTATGTAAAAGCTATGTACTGTGGCCATCGGTAACTGAGATCCACCCTAAAATCTTTGACAGTAAAAACAACAGACTAGTTACCACTGCAGTAATTACCTCTAGTTATCACTAGTTGTCAAATATATTAGGACAAATGCTTGAACTAACCTGGTTTCTTAAGAAAACTCTAAATCAGGGTTAACACATAACTAAATTTGACTGAGTTGATCTGACTAGGATCTGTATCTTAATCCCAGTGCTGCTGAGGGACAAAAGAATGGAGATGGGAGTCACACAGGCTGACAGTCAAATCATGGGTCTGCTACTCATTAACTATGTAATCACAGGTCAATTAATCAACCTCCCTGCACCACAGCTGACTAATAAAAAATAGGCTATAATAGCAGAGCTACTTTGTGAAGCTATTGTAATGACTATATAAGTAATAAGTGTCAAGCACATAATATAGTGTCTAGCCCAGAGCAGAACTCAACAAATGCTTTTCTCTGTATTCCCTTAGTTAACACATAATTTGAAAGACTCCATAAAAATCCTACCTGCTTAAAGACTCTTCTTCAGCACTCTTATCTGCCACTAAAGAAAAAAGCAAAATACATTTTAAATCAACAATAGAAAAATACAGAATATTAAAAGTATAAGACTGATGATTTGTTAAAAAGTATTCCTTCAAGATCACACCTGGAAACCACACTGGAATGAGTATTAATTATATTATTGGTAGGCAGTTAATGCATTAAGAAATCCTACTTTCTCCTCTACATTTACCAAATGCAAGAAAAGAATGGTATTTATCAGAATTTGATACCTCCAAGTGAATGTTTATAATGACCATAATTGTAACCAAGCCCTATGAGACTGACGGAAAACAGTATCATTAGCAGAATCATTATCATAGACCGACAATGTCAAACCTAAATAACATGATTCTTCTGGACTTCCACTACTAGGAGCAGTTAAAAGAGACTGCATTTATTTTGCTGTAACACAACAGAACTTCTCCAGCTCTTCAGCAGAGACTGTTAAGTTTAGGATGAAACATCTCATCACAAACTTTGGTCTATAGCCACTGTACTTTGCAGCATGGCAAAACATAGCAAACAGACTCTCTCTGGCCTTATTTCCAATTGCAGGTAAGTATGAAAGATTTTAGTGATTTTAGTGATTCTGGTTTTATAAAGTATAACCTCTTGAGACTATCTACTTTCATTGCTAGAGAGTCTATCTGGACCCATCTCTTAGACCAGAATGGTACCAATGGTTAGTGCTAGGTAGTAGTACATGATGTCATTGTTCTCAACCCTCCCCATTATGTGACAAATGTCTATAGAAATCACACTTTTTCAGTCTGTAAGGCATATGTCATCAGATCCTACACTGATGAACACAAAACAAAACAAAGGACAAAGAATATCTTGAATCACTATATTCAATTACCTTGGAATTTTAATTTTTCAAACATTCAAGAAGAGGGGCGCCTGGGTGGCTCAGTCGGTTAAGTGGTTAAGCATCTGCCTTCAGCTCAGGTCATGATCTCAGGGTCCTGACATCGAGCCCCGCATCGGGCTCCCTGCTCAGTGGGGGTGTCTGCATCTCCCTCTCCCTCTGCCCCTCCCCCTCCTCGAGTTCTCTCTCTCTCTCTCAAATAAATAAATAATATCTTTAAAAAAATAAAATAAAATAAAAATAAATTAAAAAATAAGCATTCAAGAAGATATCCACTGTATGATTGCAACTATATGACATTCTGGAAAAAGTAAAACTTTTCAAGTTAGGAGTTAAGGGTTGCGGCAAAAGGAGGGATGAATAGGCACAGCACAGAGGACTTTTAAGGCAGTGAAACTATTCCATGTCATTATACATTTGTTAAAACCAATAGAATGTACAACACCAAGACTGCACCGAAATGTAAATTATGGACTTTGGATGATAAAGATGAGTTAATGTAAATAAAACAATGTATCCCTGTGGTACAGGATGTTGACAACAGGGGAGGCTATGCATGTATGGGAACATGGGGTAAATGGAAACTCTGTACTTTCTGCTATATTTTGCTGTTAACTTGAAAATGTTCTAAAAAGTAAGGTCTATTTTTCGTGAAGGAAAAAAAAGGTATCCATTAAGCCTGCTATCACCATGTATTAAAGTAAGATACAGCCACCGTGAAAATTAAGATAAAGACCGAAGTAACAGAATACAGGTATTATTCACCAAATTGAAGTATATGAAAATACATAAAGCAAATAATTTTAATTGCATACTTAGGCAAGAAAATAACTGACAATTATATAATCGAATCTTATAAACAGGGATTCACTATCATATGAAACAAAACTGGATTATCTATATAATTAAGAATTTTTATTCTAATTTTAAATCAGAAACCATTGTTTAATCTAAGAATCATAATGAAAGTTTAATAAGGTAAAAAAAAGATTATAATTACCTAATATTGCCGCAGTAATTTATGTACAAATACCTGTTAAATATTCACCAAAAGTCAAAAAAGTAACCAGCACTTCATTTAATACAGATCATGCTACTGAAACCAGTACCATGTGATACCATCATATTTCTTGCTGTTAAAATAAAATCTTAAAACAACAACAAAAATTAAGTCAGGGCTATAATTCCTATGCAAAAAAGATTCCATAGAGCAGGCCAAAGACTGCCACCATTAGATCCCACTTGAATGGCTGGCCCTTGGTTGGTATCCGGGAACTTGGATTTTGGGAGGGTTCCCACCATTCCATAGCTGGTAAGAGTGGCTGTGCCTAAGTGTTGGTACAAACCAGGTGTCTTATCCTGTATACTTGATTTCCTTCAGGGAGCCTGGAATTTTGGTATACGCTAGGGAGAAGATGGCTACATGATTATCATTTCAAGAAAACTTCAGGCACTGAGTCTCTACAAGATTCTTGTACTGGCAGACAACATTTCATATGTGTTGTCATAATTTGATGCTGGAGGAATTAAGCACATAACTTGATGCTGGAGGAATTAAGCACAGCCATAGGCAGAGGATTCTTAGAAGCCTGCACTTGGTTTCCTCTAGACTTCACTCCATGCACCTTTCCTCTGTGCTGATTTTGCTTTGTATCCTTTCACCGTAATAAACTAAAGGCATGAGTACAAATATGCTAAGACCTGTGAGTTCTTCTAGTGAATAACCAAATCTGGGTGTCGTTCTGGGAATCTCTAATACAACTGCATTATATGAAATTTTTATGATTTGGGTTGATATTTTATACATGATTACAGTCAGACGGTTATTTCACAGAACACCTTTACTTGAATCTGGTTTTCTTAGTATCTGCCTTGGAGATTCCTGTTTTTCTATACCCATCTGAATAAAGGCATAAAAAGAAGAGATGACATAATGATCGGAAAATAATGTCAAACAAGCAACAATCTTATTTTAATCAGGAAAAAAAAAAGAGAATCCTGATGATTACCAAAATATTCTACAGTATAAAATTTCCTATAAAAAAATGAAAAGATCACATAAATTTTCTCCAACTAAATAGGGATTAATTCAGGGCGCATGGGTGGCTCAGTGGTTAAGCGTTTGACTTCAGCTCGGGTCATGGTCCCAGGGTCCTGGGATTGAGCCCCACATCGGGCTCCCTGCTCAGCGGGAAGCTTGCTTCTCCCTCTCCCATTCCCCCTAGTTGTGTTCCCTCTCTCGCTGTGTCTCTCTCTGTCAGATAAATAAAAAAAAAATCTTAAAGAAAATAAATACATAAATAAATAGGGCTTAATACCATTTTTATGGTAGTTATGAATCAATAAGGTAACTGGGATAACTATAGAAAAATATGTAACTATCATACACAGTTTAACAACACACTATTGATTATAGAGTTTTGTTTCCAGTCTTTTCCTTAATTTCTTACAGAATTAAAAGCATAGTTCACCTATTAAAGGCAGTTGTCGACAAACTAGTCAAAAAGCCAAAAATAGGATGCCTGGGTGGCTCAGTCGTTAAGCGTCTGCCTTCGGCTGAGGTCATGATCCCAGGATGCTGGGATCGAGTCCCACATCGGGCTCCCTGCTCCGCGGGAAGCCTGCTTCTCCCTCTCCCACTCCTCCTGCTTGTGTTCCTGCTCTTGCTATCTCTCTGTGTGTCAAGTAGATAAATAAAATCTTAAAAAAAAAAAAAAAAAGCCAAAAATACTCCATCCAAAATATGAGTTATCCGCTCCACCCTGAAAATAGTGGATTTGATCATTAAAGATCAATAGGGCTCATTTGGGGGAAAACAAAGTGAGTTATCTTATATACATAGATGGTTAAAAACTTGATAATCTAATTGGCCACATATTCTTGTTAAGTCACAGTTTACCAATTTCTGGAAAAAAAATATAAAAGCATTTCACATTAAAGGTGTATCAGATAAAAATTTCTGACAATCCAGAAAATGCTTTCAGTCTTGGCAGACCATCATCACTAACTTTGTCACTGTGATACAGATACAAAGAAATTTAGCACAAGAAACTAATAAAATATGAGATACACTTTAGATTAGGTAGCCCATTACCTTAGAAGGAAATACACATATATGTCAAACATACATATGGTAGAAATGTGTTCTAATAGTGTTGGATTCCAAGACAATTTTCCTTAGCGCTTTCTTTAGAGATGAAATTCAGAAAGGAGCAGTAGAAGTGGAGATATTAGAAGAAGGCAAATGAAAAGAGGATCAAGAGAGACAGCACTAACCAAAATAGTCAGGTATTGACTGTTTTTACTGACACAGAATTCCTAAACTAGTGAGACTAGTATATTCAGTGTATCACCTTATATTTTCTCCTCGGTATTATACTAGTTTTCTGCAATAAAATATTTAAAAGAGGTCAAAAGGCTCCAAACTGCAGGTCTGTAAACTATTTCTGATCAAACTTTAAAACTCTCAAAATACAGCTGCATCATGATTCCATATCAGAGATAGGGCCTGACAGTGGCTTCCTGCCTGTTGCTGTTTTTGTTTTCGTATTCATCCAGAAGAGTGTATCAAGGACTTGAGGAAAAACTCAAGTATCTCCACCAGAAACAGGTAAGAAAGACAACACTTTTCCTCACACTTGACTCCTAGGTTTTGACAATTATGGGAAAATGTTGGCAAGTCTACTCACCAGGCTAGACCATTTTCCCTTGACCCTGTCCGGGTAGACACTGCAGTTACAAAAAAGTTACGTAGGACCTTACTTGATGTGTTATTTTTCCAAATTTGGACGTAGAAAGTACCAATCATGTAAATAATAGATCGTACAACTCAAAAATTCTTTTGAAAAGGTTACCACCAAAGAGCTTTTAAAAGTTAAATCCAACTTTCTTTTCAGTAATTTCTTTCTTTTCAGTAATACGCCTCCTTGAAATATTTTTTTAATTTTTTCACCATCACTTCCTCTAATTCCTCTCTTACGTTTCCCCAGTCACTCCTCAGTCTTCTCTACTAACTCCTACTCCTCCATCCACCCTTATATTTTGGTATTCCCAGGGTTTGTTCACTGGCCTCCTTCTCATTCTATATGTTTCTCCACCATGGACAAGCTCAATCTTTGTCCAAGCTATCACTTTGCTTAATAATTCTAATCAGATTATTTCAAATCTGCACCTCCAACCTTGAAGCTCTACCTCCAGCTAGAAACCTCCTAGTATTCGATTATCCAATTATTGAAAATCTACTACATGGACATTCCATCAAATTCAACGTATACAGAAAAAAACCTGGTCTTCCCTACTCCCACCGCTCTCCACTCTTCATCTGATAAAGTCCTACTCATTCTTCATGTCCAATTTAAATGCCAGTGTTCAACCTGGAAACATATGAATCTTCTTAGATTTCCTCTCTCCCCTAACTTTTTACATTCAATAATCACGAAATCATATTAACTATACTTCTTTTCTGTCTCTGCTTTATATTTCCCCTGCCACTGCCCTACTCAAACATGAGCTCTTAACTGATGACTTCCAGAGGGGAAAAAAAAGCCACCAACTATTATGGTTATTTCTTAAATTAATAAAAAATTTTTAAGCAAAATGAATGAGAAAGGGGGCACGTGGGTGGCTCAGTCAGTTAAGCATCTGCCTTCAGCTCAGGTCATGGTCTCAGGGTCCTGGGGTCAAGCCCCGCATCGGGCTCCCTTTTCAGCAGGGAGTCTGCTTCTCCCTCACCCTCTGCCCCTGCCCCTCTGCCCCACTGTGCTCCCTATCTCTCTCTCTCTCTCAAATAAATAAAATCTTTAAAAAAAATTGTTTAAATTTTAAAAAATGAGAAAGACATAAGGCCTAGAAAAAGAACAACATTTTAAATTGAATAAACTGAGCCTCCTGACTTTTTCAGTATAGAAGGGTGAAAATTTCATAATGGACTGATACTAGGCTAAGGAAATATAAGCTTCCTTTGTCTTCCAGTCTCTTTACATGGTTTCCTTCAATATATCCTCCACATGAGGGGCCAGCAAACTATGGCCACAGGCCAAGTCTGACCTGCCATCTGGTTCTGTAAATAAAGTTTTATTGGAGGACAGTCACATCTATTCACCTATATATTGCTATGGCTGCTTTCACACTACAATGGTAATTGTAATTGAGAAACCACATGGCCTAAAATAGTCACGATCTGGCCCTTGAAAGAAAAAGCTTGGTGATCCCTATTTTATACCATAACCAGAGGGCCCTAATTCAAATCTAATCTTATTACCCTTCTGCTTCAAATTCTCCAATGAATCCCTGCATCAAATACTGCTGGCTCCCTCCCCAATGGCCATTCCGTAATTCTTCATTCTTGCTGGAGAACTACAACTTTATTTGGATATTTGTTGTCCCCATACAGAAAGAAGGTGGCCTCACCCCAGCTTCAAAAGGAGAAATGATTATTCTAAGCTATTCACAGTACCTGATTTACCAGTGACTGGTTTAGGAACAAGCATGCGATACACCCTAGCCTAGAAAATGTTAGAGGAAATTCACTGTAAGCCTCTGAGTATTCTTATTTAAAAGAAACATATAGGGGCGCCTGGGTGGCTCAGATGGTTGAGCGTCTGCCTTCGGCTCAGGTCATGACCCCAGGGTCCTGGGATCGGGTCCCACATCGGGCTCCCTGCTCCTTGGGAGCCTGCTTCTCTCTCTGCCTCTCTCTCTCTCTCCCTGTCTCTCATGAATAAATAAATAAAATCTTTAAAAAATAAAAAAATAAAAGAAACATATAGGGGGGACCTCGGTGGCTCAGTCGTTAAGCGTCTGCCTTCAGCTCAGGTCACGATCCCAGGGTGCTGGGATTGAGCCCTGCATCAGGCTCCCTGCTCCCTCTCCCTGCTCCCTCTCCCACTCCCCCTGCTTGTGTTCCCTCTCTCTCTGTCAAATAAATGGATAAAATCTTAAATAAATTAGTTAATTAATGAAAGAAACATATAAAGAAAAACAGTCCTTCCAGTCATTGGATATTGTCCTGTGAGACTAGACCTGGAGCTGCTGCTAATTAGCCAACCAGGAAGGGAGACATAAAATACTGCCAACCTCAAAGCTGAACAAGAGACAACTGGGACCCTGATGACATCACTGAACCATCAAAACAATTCTAGTTCCTATTTTTTAGTCACTGTTTTGTTTTTGGTTTTTTTTTTTAGATTTATTTATTTGAAAGAGAGAGAAAGAAAGGAAGCGTGCCATAGAGTGCAAGAATGGGGGGAAGGGCAGAGGAAGAGAATCTTCAAGCCCACTCCGTGCTGAGCACGGAGCCCAACGTGATGTGGGGCTTGATCTCATGACCCAAGACTGTGTAAAACCAAGAGTCAACACTTAACTGACTAAGCCACCCAGGTGCCCCTGTTTTAGTCACTGTTATAAGTCACCTATTATTTGCAGCTAAAAGCATTTTACCTGATAAAGTTACCAAGGTCTACAGGGTAAGATCTACTCCTTTCCATACGACTGAAAAACTTTCATAAGCTTGCCTTAGCTAAGTGTTCACCTCATTCCAACCATTCCCATAGCACACTTTTTGTACTGGCAAAACTGAACTGCTCATAAATCCTCCAAAGTTCACTCGTACATCTTAGCCTTTGCACTGCTGTTCCGTCTGCAAAACATGTCATCTTGATGGATGTTTCTCCTGCCAAACATCGTCCTTCTGCCACTTTACCTGGCAAACTTACTATTCAGTCTGCATACTTACCCTAAATTCTACCCACTCTCCTAAAACTCTAATTCCTCACTATGGACATAGTATCTGGAACATATTAAATACCAATAAAAAAATAACAATGGTAATTATAAGCACTAGGGGACTCTGGCACATAGTAAGCACTGAATAAAGAAGAGTAAATAATAAAAATGACAATGATAATAACAAATTCCTGGAGGGCAGGGATTGTATTTTTTGAATGTTTGCATTCTACAACATCAGAATAACACTTAGGAACTAAAAGACACTTGACAGTTATTTGTTAAGTGAACAAATGAAAATAAGTAAATTGCAAAACCAATAGACAGTTACCTTAAAAAAAAAAAATGTCTCATTGGTATTGCTGCATACTAGCTAAGTTTTGCAGTTCTTATTGTTTGCCATTTGTTTACGATACCAGGAAGGTATTGTAAAGTCCCCAGTTTTAAGGATAGTTCCTTTTTTTTTTTTAACTTTTCCCCCTATTTTATTTTTTAGATTTCATTTATTTATTTGACAGAGAGATAGAGAGAGAGCACAAGTAAGCAGAGAGGCAGGCAGATGGAGAGGGAGAAGCAGACTCTCCACCGAGCAGGGAGCCCGGTGCGGGACTCGATCCCAGGACCCTGGAATCATGACCTGGGCCGAAGACAGCCGCTTAACCGACTGAGCCACCCAGGCGCCCCGAGGATAGTTCCTTTTTTAATGAGACAAATCACTATATAATAATATTTACTAAATGTAATCCACTTGTAAAAATTAAAAGATCCATTTTCATAACAGGTTCAATTTATTATAATATGCTTATAGAGAAAACATAAAACATACTAACTTAAAAATCTCTTTTTCTTATTTACACAAAGATATCATATGGGATTTTAGGGGTCATGACTAAAATAATGAATTTCTTTTCAGACAATACCGCCTCATATTTTAAATTACCTACAATTAACTTCTTTTGTTGTTGTTGTTCATACGGACGTACTTTATTTAATTTTTTTTATTATGTTCAGTTAGCCAGCATATAGTCCATCACAAGTTTTTGATGTAGTGTTCAACAATTCATTAGTTGCATGTAACACCTACTGCTCATCATAACGCGTGTCCTCCTTAATACTCATCACCTGGTTACCCCATCCCCCCACCCCCCTCCCTTCTGTAACCCTCAGTTTGTTTCCCAGAGTCCAGTTTCTCTCACGGTTTGTCTCCCTCTGATTTCTTCCCATTGTTCATGACAGCAATGCCTACAATTAACTTCTTAAATAATCCTGAATACTAGACTCTTAAGAAAGAAATTAAGAAAGAAAAAAAAATAGGGGCATCTGGGTGGTTAAGGGTCTGCCTTCAGCTCAGTTCATGATCCCCAGACCTGGGATCAAGCCCCACATCGGGCTCCCTGCTAGGCAGGAAACGTGCTTCTCCCTCTCCCTCTGCCTGCCACTCCCCCTGCTTCTGCTGTCACTATCTCTCTCTGTCAAATAAATAGACAAAATCTTAAAAAAAAAAAAAGAAAAGAAAAGAAAGAAAAAAATACATATGCAATTTACACAGTAGGTTTTTTTTTTTTTTCCATTGCTCTTTCATTATCAAAACTTCCTTACTCTGACTTCATCTATGTTAGGACCACCAAAAGTAATTCACTCTGAAAAGTCTTACCTGCATTCTTACTTTGCAAATCATTGTTAAGTTTTTCTTCTCTATATTCGGCAATTAGTTGGCGACTGCTACATATAAAAAAGGGTGATAAACAATGTTACTATTTTAATACTGATATGAAAAACATTTACCAAATATCAAATTCTTAGGAGTATTTCAAATAATATCAGAACTAATATCAAAGCTTGAAGTACCCCATATACTTCACATTTGTAAGTTCTATACACTTTTTATTAAGTATGTAATTAAAGGAGAAAAAAAGTAAGGTGAACCAGTCATGAATTCGTAATTTAGTAATTAGTAAATTAGAGTTAGCTTGCCATAATGGAAAGTGTCTAGAACTCAGAAGTCCTAAGTCTCACAGCTATTTCCTCTTGGACAAGCCACTTCTCTTGGGCTCAGAGTCTTCCTCTATAAAACAGGCATCTTACTGCCTTATTTTACAAGGTTGTTAAGAGGATTTAATGAAATATTAAACCCAAGACATGGCCTTTCGGGAAAGGTGATGCCCACTACTCTGGGAAGGGCAATATGAGACCTTTCGTCACCTAATAAGAAAAGGCGCTCCATAGGATTTAAAGCAGGCTTGGGATATAGGTCTAGTAACAAAGGAGAAAGAGAAGTCCAGTCTCTTCCTGCAGCATTATTTGAACCTCTTTAACAGCTTAGAATGGTCCCAACTACCATCTGCTGGAAGAAGAGACAAGGATAATTCATCCTGAAGGTCTGGGCTAACATATGGGCTTCACGTAAGGCTTTTGAGTGTGAAGGGAAGGGTGTGTCTGGCTAAAGCCAGGAGGCCCAGCTGACAGAACAGGGTGCTGGTGCTTTGGAATAGCTGAGCATAGAAGCTTATGTAGTAAACGAAAAAAAAGTTGTAACTTTGAAGTCTAACTATGGATCACCATGAAGACTGAGGAATGTGGCTCAGCAAGGGCATCCTAGGAGCAAAGGTCAATCATGACCAGACTGCAGAACCAGTTTCTTTCTTACTTTTTTTTTTTGAAGATTTATTTATTTATTTATTTATTTGAGAGAGAGAGCCTGAGAGGGGGGAGGGTCAGAGGGAGAAGCAGACTCCCCGCTGAGCAGGGAGCCTGATGTGGGACTCAATCCTGGGACTCCAGGATCATGACCTGATCCTAAGGCAGTTGCTTAACCAACTGAGCCACCCAGGCGCCCTGCAGAACCAGTTTCAATGGCAATGCTGTAGTAGTTGATGTCTTTTCCTTCCAAATGACTTGTGAAAAAAGATGGTCTCTTTGGTCTTAGGGAACTCCTCAGGTTCTTGGAAAATTCAAGGGGGAAAGTATAGGAGATAGCCCTCAAGGGAAAGTATAGGGTCTTCTACTAAACTGAACATCTCAAGACCCAAGTAACTAGTTAGAAAAAACAAGGATGTTGGGGCACCTGGGTGGCTCAGTCGGTTAAGCGTCTGCCTTCAGCTCAGGTCACGATCTTGGGGCCCTGGGATGGAGCCCCACGTCAGGCTCCCTGCTCAGCAGGGAATCTGCTTCTCCCTCTGTCCCTCCCCACCCGTGCTCTCTCTCTGTCTCTCTCTCAAATAAATAAAGTCTTTAAAAATAAAAAAAAAAAGCTTATTTGCAGGCTGAAAATAACAGTATTCATACTAATGGTAATAAAACAGTCATAGTCACAGTTAATGATGCTAAGATAAGCACGTGGTAGACACTAAATTAAATGCTATATATATATAAAATAGTACACAGAACCACCCTTGAAGGATATACTACTATCCTCCTTTTCATATCAGGAAATGTATCTGGTTATGATAAGTAATGTTTCCAAAGTCACACACCCAGCAAGTAGGAAAGCTAGGAATTAAACCTAGTCTTGTGTCAATCTAAAGCCCAACTCTTTTCTCTTTATCACCCACCTATGATTTGTCCTCATTAAAGGAAAAGTCTATTCAATTACAGTTATCTTTCATCCTTCTATCCTTACCAATGAAAACCAAAAAAAAATATACTGAACATGAAAAAGGATGATGAGCCCATATTATCTGGTAACAGTAATTATTAATCACTTAGGGATCATCCAACGTCAGTATTCTTCAAAAACAAAAAGCAATTTAAAGAGTCATCCAAAAGACACAGCAACTCCTATTTATGTTTAATATTCATCTTTTAAGGAAAATATATATGAAGTAGAAGTTTCAAAAATACTATAAAAGGGTTAAGAAGTCCAATATTGCGTCGTAAAGTAAAATAAAAGTTAGGAGTCCACACTTTATAAAACTAATAAAACTAATATGAAACCCCTTTAGCTAATATAAAATCATATGGCAAAAAAAAAAAAAAAAAAAAGCCTGCAAATGACATCAGTCAATAATATGAAGGAATATAAATTCTACCATATACTGTTCTTCATGTTGCCCCGTCAGAATAATTGCTTTCTGCCTAACTGATGACATGTTGACATTTTTCACTATATAAATTAATCCCCTTATTAAGTTAATCTTTCTGACTTGAGTAACTGTGCCACTCTAGAACAATATAAGGTTTAAAAAAACACCCAAAACTACTGTACCTTTGCAACTTATCAACTGCATGTACATTTGCTTCTTTTTCTATTAAAAATTCCACCATTTGCTGTTTGTTCTCACTTACAGCAAGTAAAAATGGTGTGAGTTCATCCTGTAAAAGTGCAAAAACAATTTATAATTTACAAAATTACAATATTTCCATACTGAATTTTAAAACTTATAAAGGATCCTCTAAACTCAAATATATAATATAGAAAGTACTCTCACCCTTCTGTGCTTTCACCAGCTCCTCCTTCTCTTTCAAATAGCCCTCCTCAGGGGGCCTGGGTGGTTCAGTCGGTTAAGCATCTGCCCTGGACTCAGGTCAGCTCAGGTCGTGATCCCAAGGTCCTGGGATCCAGCTCCAAGTCAGGCTCCCTGCTCAGAGGGGAGTTGGCCTCTCCCTCTGCCCTGCCCCTATGCTCCTACTCTCTCACCCACTCTCTCTCTCTCAAATAAATAAATAAAATCTTTTTTAAAAAATAAATAAAACTAAATTAAATAGCCCTCTTCCACCTCTTCAACAGATTAACTGCAGTCATTCTCCAAAACTCACTTCATTGGCTGGTTCCAAGAATCTTGGCTTCTATCACAGTATTTATTATGGTATACTCTAGTTATTTTATTGCACCCCCTCTAAACCAAGAGCTTCTTGAGGGAAGGGATTATATTTTTTCTCTCTATCTCCAAAATCTAAAACATAGCAGTAAATGCTTTAAGTATTTTTATTGAGTTAGCAACCTAAATGATTATCTCTGGAGTAGTGTTTTTTAAATTACATTCCGAAGAACATATACTTTGCTGGAAGGTAAGTACTGTGCCCCAATAGAAAGATTCAATGATCATCTATGTCTGAGAAATATTACAAAATTGCACTATATATCTAGCACAAAAGAAATCCGTTTAAATTTGCTTATCCCCATTTGACAATACTTTTTGTGGCAAACATTAACATTTGAGAAATTAGAGTTTTGGGGATATAGTTTTGAGAGCTTTCCAATAAAAATGAAGATTTTCGGGGTGCCTGGGTGGCTCAGTCGTTAAGCCTTCAGCTCAGGCCATGATCCCAGGGTCCTGGGATCGAGCCCCACATCCTGCTCGGCGGAAGCCTGCTTCTCCCTCTCCCGCTCCCCCTGCTTGTGTTCCCTCTCTCGCCATCTCTCCGTCAAATAAATAAATAAAATCATTAAAAAAAAAAAATGAAGGTTTTCTCCAGGTTACACAACATGCTTGATTCTCTTCTGTCAATGGTATCAGGATCCCAGATGGCAACATAAGGCACTCTTGATCCAAATGGGTCACTGAGGAGATGGACTCAGAATTAAAAGAGTGGCTTTGGGGCAACTGGGTGGCTCAGTCAGTTAAGCGTCTGTCTTTGGCTCAGGTCATGACCCCCAGGGTCCTGGGATCCACCCCTGCATCAGGCTCCCCTGTTTCTCCCTCTCCCTCTGCCCTTCCTCCATACTCATGTTTGTTCTCCGTCTCTCAAGTAAATAAAATCTTTTTTTTTTTTTAAAGATTTTATTTATTTATTTGAGAGAGAGAATGAGATAGAGAGCATGAGAGGGGGAGGGTCAGAGGGAGAAGCAGACTCCCCGCTGAGCAGGGAGCCCAACGCGGGACTCGATCCAGGGACTCCAGGATCATGACCTGAGCCGAAGGCAGTCGCCCAACCAACTGAGCCACCCAGGTGCCCCTCAAGTAAATAAAATCTTAAAAACAAAAAAAAGTATCATTAAAGTGAAATCTTAGACAATTAAGTTATTTCAAAATATTTTCATTCAGGGAATGCAGGAGCTTCCAAATATGAAAAACTGACCCTACCTATGTCAACCAACAGTGTTTCTGTAAGAGCAGTGGTAGAAATAATGCATGTCACAGAAACAGAAGGTGGACTGGTGCGCGTGGTCATCAACTACTCCCCATGTACAGCTACCACCCCACTGAGGAACTACCCAAGGCTGAGCAGGAACTACTCTCTGAAATGGGAGACCCCAATGTGGTACATGGTGGGAAGAGTGGCTACAAGCACAAGTAAATGCCCCTGTAGGATGTCATGACCTGATCCCTTTGCTCTCATTTTCAGAACCTTGGGGCCTCGAGTGCCCAGGGCCTGCAACCTGCTGCTTTCTCCTCCCACTTGCACTCACCCAAGTTACCCCACTGGGTCAGGGTCTCCCACCCATTCCCAGCAGCACCCATTTCCTAAGCCCCTGCCCAGCACCCAGCCTCCACCACCTCCACTCCCCTCTAGGCCTTCAATCCTTTGTGGGCTCTGAGCCCACCATCCACTCCCAAGCACTAATGGGAAGATTTTCTTTCTGGGGTGGAAGCGGGGCTGGGAGACAGAATTTCGCCCTCTCCATGGGCATCACCTTTCTCTAGCCCTCCCTGCCCTGGCTTTGGAGTTGTTTCCAGGATGACAGGACCTGATGTATAGAATCCAGTATATGTATTTATTACACATATAAATAAATATGTAAATAAAATGATTTGTGGCTAAAAGAATTTATGTATACATATATATATTATTTCAAATACTCTATAAATACACTTGATCTGCACCTTGTTTCTCACTTCAATATTTGCATGGTGTAGAAGCAGCTTCTCTGCTATTGATGTATTCGAACCAAGGGCGGCATAGTGGAGAGCAGTATTGCCAGCAATGTCCGTAAGATTTGGATCAGCACCGTGTTCTAGAAGAATAGTCACACATCTCTCATCCTGACATTGTACAGCCTGTCAGTATTATACCAAGAAACAGAGTGTCAATTCTGGGAATTTAAAGTAAACATGCCACAGGTTTCACCAATTAGTTATGTTTAAATGCAATAAGTTTTCATTCTAAGTAATTAAATCAAATCCATCTCAGGCAGACACAGCTGCTTCCACATACCTTCATCAGAGCAGTCCTATAATCTGTATCAAAGAGGTCAAGCTGGCATTTCCTCTCCACTAGGACAGCAACGACATCTGGATGGCCAGTGGCACAGGCCAAATGAAGAGCAGTCCTATGAAAGTGAAAGAACTTTTTAGGAAATTATAGTGCACTATTTCAAAACATGCAATTAATTCATGTAATTGTAAACGTTAAATAGCATCTTATTCCTGTGACTCCAAAACCAGGATTTAGTTTTCTTTTGAAGAAAGTACAATATTTATTAGTGATTCTTCACCACACTAATAAAGAGCAGCCTATCTGAGTAGGTAGAGCATGACCTCAGGATTCAGCTTAACTTGGGTTTGACTCCTACTTTAACTCTGTCACTTAACAGTTATCACCTACTTAGCCTTATCCTCAATTTCCTCATCAACAAAATGGGGATAAAAATAGTTATCTCGGGTCCCCTGCCCAGCTCAGTTTGAAGATCATGTGACTCTTGATCTTGAGGGTTGTGAATTCGAGCCCCACGTTGGGTATAGAGATTACTAAAAAATAATAATAATAAATAAAGACTAGTTATCTCACAAGACCTCGGCGTGATGCTTAAATGAGGATCTATGCAAAGTTTGTTACATAATATTATTATAACTATTACTATTACTACTATTTTACAAAGACAACATCCAATTAGGTAAAGTGATACAATTATGCCTACTTTGTAGATATGTTTTAAGGATTCGCAAGAATACTACATTTCAGTGATTCTAAGATGCTCATTTTGTCACCTTTTAATATCTCTGACATTGGAATGCAATTTATAATTCAAAATGTCTTACAACTCTAATTGGCAGAATTGTTTTGCAATTTCTTATTGGTACAGAAAATACTGGGGCATCAGACAATCTATGGTGCCTTACATTACATGAAATAATGATATACACAACAGGTCTATTGCAGTTCTAGTCATATGCCTGGCATTTAAATAAATTTTAGTTCCTGAAAGCATTATGGGAAAAGAGGACTAAAATAACGGAGAATGTTTTTTAAGTAATTCTTACTCTGATTTTCAAGAAACTAAGCCAAAGGAAACTCAGGATTTAAATAAACAGGGACAGCTCATTTTATTAAATATTTTGATTTATAAATCACATGAAAATCAAGTACTACCAATTATCAATAGTAGTATTTAATACTATTATAAATTTCAAAAGGACAAGTAAAGGTTAACTTTTACGATTTCCTATCTTCAGAAATGTTTTCGTTTGAAAGGAAAGAGGAAAAGCTTTAACTGAGATTAAGTCCTAATACTTCAACTTAAAATTGCTCATCTTAGGGTCACTTCGGTGGCTAGTTGGTTGGGTGTCCGACTCTTGGTTTTGGCTCAGGTCATGATCTCCAGATCTTGAGATCGAGCCCCATGTCGGGCTCCGTGCTCCGCGTGGAGTCAGCTTGAGATCCTCTCTCTCCTTCTAACCCTCCCTTCTCCCTCCCCAGCCACTCCCATTCACTCTCTCTCTCTCAAATAAATCAATCTTTTCTTAAAATTAAAAAAATAAAATAAAATTTCTCATCTTAGTAGTACCTGGCCGGTTCAATGAGTAGAACATGCAACCTTAGTCTCAATGATATAAATTCAAGCCCCATGTTGGGTATAGAGATTACTTAAAAATAAAATCTTTAAAATAAATAAATAGATAGATAGATAGATGTCAACGTCTAGTGCGTTGGGGTCCCTGGGTAAGGGTCTACGAAATCACCAGGACACAGGGGATGCAGAGCAAAGGCAGCACTTGCAACTGCATACTGCCGTTTATTTCTCACATAGCTATATACTTGCAGTGATCAGATAAACATAACAATGTATACTTAAAGTATCAAGCCAACATCCATGAAGTGAAATATACACGAAATGCAATAAGAACAAAATACATCCTGTTTATGCTTGCAGAAAAAGAATTCTCTTAGCCATCCTTCCTTTGGAGACAACATGTTCTTTGTCTTTAGAAAGAACACTTCTGATTAGAAAGACACACTTTAAGCGAGGCAAGAGCCACTTCCTGCTGATCCAGGCATTTAGGCCTTGCAACATGAGGTAAGGGGAAGAGAACATTTTCTCCTCCTGGCCTAGGCCTGCCTGGCCGACATTAACCTCACTGCAGTCCTCAAATGATCTGGGCCTGCAAGGGGCTTACAAGCCTACACGATCTCAATTCCTTCTTTTTTCTTTTGTTTTAATAAAAGTGCCCTCCACAGGATGGCCATAGAATTCTGGGAAGGCTTTAGATAGCAAAAATGCAACAGCATAAAGCATAAGATAACAATCAACAATACAAGTCCCATTCCTCCAGCAGTGTGCCCCAAACTTTGAATAATACCTTTTGGATCTAGTCCCTCAAGTTGCTTAAGAAGCAAATTGGCCAACGTAGCGGCATCTGATACAGTAAGCAAGGCACACATAGCCAAAAAATAAATTTTCAGGCGTACAAGCCTTCCCTGTTCGCTGCAGGATTTTTTGCCCTTCCCCACTAAGCTTTTTAATTTGCCCCCAAGTTGGCAAAGCAGTAGCAAATATCTGCCGACAGCAACGTCGTCCTCCCAAATTCAGATGTGCCATGGCCTGTAATGGAAGTTCATCTTGGTCTGGATTCCCCATGCGTCGTCTGGTGGGATACGGTGCTGTTCGAATTGGCCCTCGACCGGATCCATCGCGCGGGGAGCCAGGAACAGGTCCGTCCATCCTCTGTGGAAACATAAGCATAACCCTTCCCTCTATAAAGCAATAGCCCCGGTCGCCATTCTGCATCTGCGGTTGGTTTAAACCATATATGTTCCTTTAATGGAGGGGGAGCGACCTCTCCTTCTATAAACTGTTTCTCTGCACGGGAGAGGATATCTCCCTGCGGAAGATTCAAGAAATTTAATGCGAACAGAGCTTGTTGCAAAATAGAACATGACTGAGTGAATGCTAAGATATGATCCTTTTTCCTCCTTTTTAATTTTTTAATTTGTAACTTTAAGGTATTATGTGCACGTTCTACAATAGCTTGCCCTTGAGGATTATACTCAATGCCTGTTTTGTGCATGATACCGTATTGTTCACAGAAAGTTTAAAATTTTTTACTGCTATATGCAGGTCCATTATCTGTTTTAATAATAGATGGTAAACCCATCACAGCAAAAGTTTCTAGAAGATGGGAGATGACATGCTGTATGGTTTCACCACTTTGTGCTGTGGCCCATATAAATTGAGAATATGTATCTATTACCACATGTACATACATACAAAGTTCAGAAAACCACATCTGCCATTGCAGATACTCAGGCTCCTTTAGAAGAGCCCGACAGAGGACCCTCCAGTCCTCAGGAGAAAAATTATTATAATGTCGAGCTAGACTATTAACTAGCTCCTTAACATAATGTGATTGAGGTCCATATAAAGACACTGCCTTTTTCAAGCGACCAATATCTTCTATACCTATTCCTTCATAATATGCTGCTTGTGCCACCCCCTGGATTGGGGGAGGCCTGAGAACAGGAAAAGCAAAGACAGAATTACCTGCGCCAGCCTCATCATCGCTATCCTCTAGCGCATCAAGCTCAGCTAAAGCAGCAGAAAGGAAAGGATATTTAGAAGAAAGAACTGGTACAGACGGCAAAGGCGGAGCAGAGGGCTTCCTAGAGGGTTTCTTAGACTCCTCCGTCATAGCCATAACCTGCTGAAAAACCTTCCACACACGCTCCACCTCGGGATCCGACTTTACTTTCGGTTTTGGTTCTTCATTACCACACTCGCTAGGCTCACGGGATGGTGTAAGCTTAAAGGTATCTTTCTCTACTGCCCTTTTCTCATCCGTATCTAAAGGGAGGTCTTGTATAGAAGGAGCCATCTCCTTATGGAAGTCTTCGACCGAGCGGTCGTCCTCCATTGCTTTAAGCACTGTAAAAATAATCGACCAAATAGACCAAAACCGCACGGGAATTTTTTCTCCCTGTCTCATTGCCTTCTCGACATTATGTCGAACTCGCCGCCAATTATCCAAATCTAAAGTTCCCTCCTCTGGAAACCAAGGGTTCCATTCTCGAACCACCTTTAAGCACAGCTCAATATCATTAGAAGCGACAGTGATACCATAGACAGCAAGAGAATGCTTCAGCATTCAAACATAAGGAGTAGAAGTTTCTTGTCCCATCACCCTGTACTTAATTAAGTTACTCACCCTTCCTGTACGTCCTTCAGGGTCCCTGTTCGGGCGCCAATTGTCAACATCTAGTGCGTTGGGGTCCCTGGGTAAGGGTCTACGAAATCACCAGGACACAGGGGATGCAGAGCAAAGGCAGCACTTGCAACTGCATACTGCCGTTTATTACTCACATAGCTATATACTCGCAGTGATCAGATAAACATAACAATGTATACTTAAAGTATCAAGCCAACATCCCTGAAGTGAAATATACACGAAATGCAATAAGAACAAAATACATCCTGTTTATGCTTGCAGAATAAAGAATTCTCTTAGCCATCCTTCCTTTGGAGACAACATGTTCTTTGTCTTTAGAAAGAACACTTCTGATTAGAAAGACACACTTTAAGCGAGGCAAGAGCCACTTCCTGCTGATCCAGGCATTTAGGCCTTGCAACATGAGGTAAGGGGAAGAGAACATTTTCTCCTCCTGGCCTAGGCCTGCCTGGCCCACCTTAACCTCACTGCAGTCCTCAAATGATCTGGGCCTGCAAGGGGCTTACAAGCCTACACCATCTCATAGATAGATAGATAGATAGATAGATAGATAGATAGATAGATAGATAGATAGATAGATAGATAGATAGATAGATAGATAGATAGATAGAATTTCTCATCTTACTAATACTGGGCAACATGAAGTCTTTAAGAATGAAAAGATTCTGGATAGAGTATGTCTCCTACATTACATGTGTTCAGATTCTATTTGATAAATAAATGGATTGAAAGAGTAGATAAATACAGTTGGAGAGTTCAATATTTTTTAAAGATTTATTTCTTTTAGAGAAAAAGAGCGAGTATGCACAAGCGGGGGGAAGGGCAGAAGGAGAGGGAGAGAATCTCAAGCAGTCTCCCCACCAAGCATGGAGCCCGACATGGGGCTCCACCCCCCAACCCCGAGATCACGACCCACGCCGAATTCAACACTCTGATGCTCAACCGATTATGCCACCCAGGCACCCCAGAGTTCAGTATTTTTAAAGAAAACTTTTATAAAGTAAAGCAATACATCTGAAATTGCAACAATCATTTATATTTCCTATTTTTGATTTTTTTCATAAGGACACAACTAAAATTTTACATACTTTTATAGTATCATTTATATTATTTATTTTCATAAGGATGTAACTAAAATAAAATGATTAATCTATAATCACCTATATGTAATAAAGCTACACACAACAAAAAAATGTATATATTTAATGTATGAATAAAATCGACAAGTACAGGTAAAAACATTCCCTTTACTTCTGAAGAGGTTAAACGTTGTCAGAAGATACCAATCCCCACCCGCAGTCCCCAATTTTTTTTAAATAGAAAGTAAGAGGGGCACCTGGGTGGCTCAGTCAGTTAAGTGCTTGCCTTCATCTCAGGTCATGTTCCCAGGGTCCTGAGATCGAGCCCTGCATCGGGCTCCCTGCCCAGCAGGGAGCCTGCTTCTCCCTCTCCCACTCCCCCTGCTTGTGTTCCCTCTCTCGCTGTCTCTCTCTCTCTCTCTGTCAAATAAATAAATAAATAAAATCTTAAAAAAAACAAAAACAAAAACCTGTCTGTAAAGTGGTCTACCCGGGGAATTATGAGTGGGTCCAAAGGCAGCTGAAGCTTTCGTTTTCGTGCTCCGACAGCCGGCCTGGGCGCTACACCCCTGCTGGGGGCCTCAGGAGGGAAGACCGCAAAGCGCCCTCGGTGACAGGGGGGCTCCGCTCCACAGGCGGAGCCCGGGAAGGTGCGCGCTTCTCCCGGTCCGCCCCACCTCCTCCCCGCCGTCTCCGGCAGCCGGCCTCCAAGTCCCTATTACCTGTTCATCTGGTCTCTTTCGTCCACGCCGTGTTTCCCGGAAAGTAGAATCTCCTGCAGTTTCCTTACGTTGCCCATGCTGGCAACTTTGTGGATCTTTCTGAGATCTTTGTCTCGGATGTTGTACCCCCACCCGAAGCTGCTGGTTCCAATTCTCCTCTCACGCAGGATGCCCGGGCCGTCCCTCAGCGAGCTGGTAACGCGAAAGGACGACCCGCCCTTCTTACTCCCGAAGCTAAAAAACTTCTTCACCGCAAAGCCTGGAGGCTTCACAAACACTTCCCCTTCCCCTCGGCTTTTCACCGCCTCTAGAGCCCAACACTAGCGCTAGAGATAAGCCAAACCCGCCTCGCCACTACATCACAGTAGCGAAATTCCGAGGTCTGGAATCTTTGAGCGCAGCATAATGTAACCAAGCAACGATGCCAAACACAGATGCGCTTGCGCGCCTCACAAACCGGCGTCGCTGGGCCTGCGCGCAGAGGGCGGGCGGCCAAGGGTGCCCAAAGCGCATGTGCGAGGTCCAAGTCTCTCAAATCTCAGCGATCGTTTGTGAGCCGGCTGGGTTCCCCTTCAAACATTGGCGAGAGTTGGCTGAGCGTTTCTGAACCTTTGCAGAAGTTAGACTCGCCGGTGGGGAAAGGCACTCTTCCTATACTACTGGGGCTAGAGAGCATGAAACTTCAGGATGCTGAATGCCTCATCCCCCAGAAAACTTGCCTAAAAAAAGCTCTCCCTCAGTTTATTCCTCTTCCATATCCCTCTGGGCCCCAGACGGTCTCCATGCAATTGAGCAGATGCAGCAATAGAAAGTCGTTTTCAGGGGCTCCGGGGTGGCTCAGGTGGTTGGGCTTCTGCCTTCCCCAGGGGATGATCCCGGGGTCCTGGAATCGAGCCCCAGGTTGGGCTCCCGGCTCAGCAGGAAGCCTGCTTCTCCCTCTGCCTCTGCCTGATGCTCCTCCTTGCTTGTTCTCTCTCTCTAATAATTAAAATCGTAAAAAAGAGAATATACTATAGAAGATGTAGAGAATGATGCAGTTCATCAGGTTCTTTAACAGGTAAACAGAAAATTACTACATGACCCAGCAATTTCAATCATAGAAGTCTATCCAAGAAAAATAAAAACATGCATCTGCACAAAGACATGTATACATCCAGGGAGAAGTAAGGAAGGAGAGAGGGAGAGGGAAGGAGAAGAGAAAAGGGAAAGGGAGGTGGGCAATTAAAAAATGGGATGATGAATGTGGACCAAGGGTATATGGGAGTTCCTTGTATTATTCCAGTAACATTTCTGTAAGTCTGAAATTAGATCAAAATTTAAAATTATAAAAAAAAAAGAGGCGAGGATATTGTATAGCAAACTCCCTCTATTAACTTCTTCAATGAAGACCATATACAGCTTAAAAGTTATTAGAAAACTGTAGGTAATTTTAATAAAATCACTTCAAGAATATAATTTGGTTGTAAAACCAATACAATGAGCTCTAAAATAATTTTTCTATTGAGTTAAATAAAGTCATCTGTAAATCCTGTAACAACATGTTCATATTCACAAAATCCAAATGAAAAGCAAACACAACTTTCCATTTCTAACATAGGGTAATTCAAAGTTCACTTTGAAGGGACTGAGATTTTGGGTTAATTTTTCTTTTAATACCAAGCATAATTATAGTTATTTAGATTTTGAAGTGACTCACTTTTTATTTAACAAAACACTTGTAGCTCTGAAATAAATTTCATTAGTAAGAATGATAATGATGTTTAAAAGAAAAAAGACCATGAAAATGCAAGCTGCATTTCCAAAAGGTTATAATCATTTAAATTCTGATTATATCTGTACATTTACAATTCTCTACTCTTAGGCAAAAACAAAAAGAACTATTTTATATATGGACACTCTGGAGCATAATTAAGTGCATCTTAATGAAGTTTCCACTGACCTATATAGAAATATGGTTCACCGATAGCCAAACGGCAGCATATCTTTAACAAAGATAAAAGGTACTATCTAAAAACAAAGACAATCCTTCAACAATTTTACTTTGCCAAGTAAAAATACTTCCAAAGAGCTAAAGGCACAATTTTTATTCACGTCTAGTAGAGGAACCAACCATAAAATCACTACTTATTTTCAAATGAATAACTTATTGACATTTCTCAAACAAGCTGTTTCCAATCCTAATAGTTCTTTATTTTCTTTAACATATTTATTATGGGTTGATAATTTGCAATAGGTGTCATTATGAGAATAACCAAAATTAGATTAAACATGACAAAAGAGAGACAAAGTGTTTCACACCCTTGAGTGACACCAAGGCAAGAATGGGAGAAAAGCATTGCAAAAGACTACTGAAATGCTACTTATATATTCTTGCAGTAAAACCAGCAATGCATCCATTTTAAGAGTTATCATCTCACTTCCAATTTCTTTCCCTCAAGAACAATTTGAATCTCTTTGGCATCCAAAGTCTCATAGGTTAGTAAAGCTTCTGCTAGATTCTTATGCTCTTTTGCATGAGTCTTCAAGATATGTTTCGCTCGTTCGTATGAGTCCTGAAATGAAAAAAGCAGGTATCTAAGAGGCAGAAAACTTAGGAGAAGCAAAAACCATAAATAAGAAAAAAAAATGTACATGCCTTAAAAAATATGAAATATATTCATTTCTACTTACAAAAGATAAAAGCACTGGGCTCCATGCTGGGCATGGAGCCTACTTGATAGATGATAGATAGATAGATAGATAGAGATAGGGCAAGCTTGGTTCTCAAAGAGAAGTTTCGTATTTGCAAATGTTCTATTTTTAACCTCAAAATCTATCACATTGATAAATGAGGATTACTTAGGGAGCTACTTAAAGATATAAAAGTATGTATTATACTTATCTGCATTTTAAATAAGGTCTGTGAACAAAGAAATCTATTTCTCTATTCAATATACATGTTAAAAAGGAAAGGGAGGTTTGCTCCTTTTGCCTTGAGATTTCAGCAGAAAAGATCTACTTTTCTATTGTGTTACTTGATAACAACTCTGTCAGCCTGTGACAACTATACCACTGTAAAATGAGTTTACCAACATCAAGAAGCATAAGTCATATAAACATAACACAATTATTAAAAATAAACATCATTAGACATTCTGAACAAAACCGTTACGGTCAAGTGAAATCATCAAATTAAAGAAAACATATAAAGTATTATAAATATGTCATGGAATATTGAAACTAATATCCAAGGATGAATTAGTATTAACTTTAAAAACTTCATTGGAATGAAATCCTTACATTGTAACATGAAAGACTACGATAAGGTTTTCATATTTTTAAGTTTCATAAACATTTGAACCTAAAATGTATACTAGGCTAGTCATCATTTCCCTTAATAACAATGTAAGCATGCCATCTAGTGGAAAGAGTACCTACAGCCTTCCCAAGCTTAACATTTCAGAAAAATACTAGAGCAAAGAAAGAGTATTTCCAATGCCCTAAGAATACTAGAGTATAGATTTACTCAACATAAATAGTAAAGGAAAGAGAATGAAGATTCAGGGAAGGAAGGCAGAGAGAATTCCTCTTCTGAAACACCTTCTAAACCTTTCCATTATATAAACTTTTCATATACTTAATGACTTTAAACCATTTTCTACCTCCTTAAGTTAATCAAAACCTCGCCCTCCTGGGGGAGACTCCTGAGCCCTCAAGTGGCAGCTATTGATTCTTATCCCAGATATTTCAGGGTAAAGAGGTGAACTCTTTGTTCCCCTCACCGCTGACAGACCATTACTATGCTTCCATAAAGCACGATTCCTTTGAAGTTTACACCATCTGACTAGCCCTATTCAACATCCTTGATTTTGCAATCTACTACCCTAATTACAGTTCTCATTCACTAGACTTTCTGGAATTTAGCTCTGTCTTTTCCATTCCAAGACCTGCCTTCATGCACATCTAAATGGAATGCACATATCGAACCTCTGCACTAAGCACCAGGTCCACGTAGCTCCCTCAACTTGAAATCTTCACTAAGACACCTCAAATTCAGGAGCACCTGGGTGGCTCAGTTGGTTAAGCGTCTGCCTTCAGCTCAGGTCATGATCCCAGAGTCCAGAGATCAAACCCCACGTCAGAATCCCTGCTCAGCAGGCAGTCTGCTTCTCCCTCTGCCCCTCACCCGCCCCACTCACGCTCACTCTCTCGTTCTCTCTCTCAAATTAACAAATAAAATTTTTAAAAAAAGACACCTCAAATTCAATATGTATAAAATTCAGCTCATAATCTACATACTTCCCCACCTTAGGCCATCATCAGTGTTTTCTCAGTAAATGGCACACACAACTATACAGCTGCATGAGGCAGAAACAGCTTTGTATTTAATTTAGCTGCTCTCTCACCCAAACATCAAAAAGGCATTTTGATTCCACTAGATCAGTATCTCTTGAACGCATTTTCTCAATTTCTACACTCACTGCCCTAATCCAAGCATCTGCTGTACCATGAGGAGACTCCACAGTAACTACCAACTGATCTCACTGAGTCTATGCTCACATATTCTGTACTGCACACTGCAATCAAAAAGACTTTTGTTTTCAAAGAACTTTGTGCTTCATTCTCAGCACATGCATGCAGCTAGGCACAAAGCAAATAATATTTGTTGAATAAAATATATGTCAGAGTGAAAAACCAATAAAGACTCAAATAATCAATATCCCCTATTCTAACAACTCTATGGTTTTACAGCTTAAGTAGAATACTTATAATTACTGATATTAACTGTTCCTAGCCTATAGCCAGAATAAAATATTCAGTCTATGACCAGAGGCTCCCAAACAACATATTGAAATCATGGTTTCAACGGTGCACTTACTCTCTTTATTATACATAGTGACATTTCTAAACAGGGGATAACCATTATCTTCTGGTAGTACCTAACTATTGAGGCACATTATGACCAGACAAATAAATAAGCATATAAAAATATGATCATTACCCTTAGAAGGATTCTAATTTCTTGTTCAATAGCAGATTGAGTTTCTGGACTCAGTTTCCCAGTATCACTGTAGGTCATAACTCCAAGCTAAAACAAACGAAAAGAAATTGAACAGAAAAACCCTAAACCACTAATAAATGTAACAGAGAAAGTACTATCCTATACTTAAGGAAACATCATGGGGACAAGGAAGAAATTGAATATAAAAACACCCTTGAGGGCAAAGAAATTTCATCATTCTTCTGAAAGTATAAGACTAAAATTAAAAATATAAGAGAAAAAATTTAAAATAATAAGTATGGCTCTGAGTACCTTCTTCGAAAACCTTTGCAGCTATTCCAAATCCAGAAATCCACAATGTAATGTATTAGAAATGATTCATGAAGCCACAGTGATAATGTAGGAGAGTGAAATATGTGGAAAGGGTAAAGTAAGCAAGCTCAGCAAATAGGTGTTTTATGTCATAAGAACAGAAAATAGAGTATCTTATCATTTGCTTAACTCATGAGATACTGTTATTATCCAAGCAGCCAGAATGGAAAGTGAATACTATATGTTATTACTCAAAAAACAAAAACAGTTTAGTTTAGAATAAGCTGTGACAAATCTACTTGAAATGAGACGGGCGAGCGGGAAGTAAATGTTACCAATCTATAATGAGAACCCTCTCTCATAGGGTGCCTGGGTAGCTCAGTTATTTAAGCGACTGCCTTCGGCTCAGGTCATGGTCCCAGAGTCCCGGGACTGAAGTCCTGCATCGGGTTCCCTGCTCCCTCTGACCCTCCCCCGTCTCGTGCTTTCTCTCTCTCTCGCTCGCTCTCTCTCAAATAAAATCTTAAAAAAAAAAAAAAAAAAACCCTCTCATAAACAGACACTTGGCAAATCATCATTTGATACATGAGGAAGGGTTAAAATTAGCTATTACCTTTTCACTCATTCCAAATTTGGTAACCATCCGCTTTGCTATTTTAGTTGCATTATCAAAATCACTGGAAGCACCTAAAATTTTAAAATATACATAGAACTCAATTTTTTAAAGTATTTTTAAATCAGCAAGCACAATTTGAACTAAAGCCATTCTTTACAGCCAACCTGTTGTGATATGGTCAGTTCCAAATATAAGCTCCTCAGCTACTCTTCCTCCCATACTAACGTCCATCTGTGCAAGCAACTGAGCTCTAGTTTCATTCCATCTGTCATTCTCAGGCAAAAGGGACACCTAGACAATTGAAAACAAAGAAAAACTTCAGACACAGTTTGAAATACCTATATTAATAACCAGAATTATCATTTGGCTCCTGCTATAGTACTTAATATCATGATGCTGACAGCTCAAAAAAATTTAGTAGAGATGGTCTCAGGCGACTAATGACAAAACTGGAAATATACAAAATAAGAAAAATTCTTTATAAGGCAAAAGTTCATTTTATATGTAATACGTATATGATGCTGCAAGAGGATGGACTTATACCCAGGTGCACAAAAATGCTTAAAATGTCTATCATTAGAAAGGTATGAAAATGAAACTTGTACTCGATAAGAAAAATCTTAGAAAAACTACGGAACCACTGACATAGTTTCTTTGTGGAGGGAAAAGAGCAATTACCTATTTAAGAATGATACTTTGTTGTCATTCCAGATTTAAATTTCATAACGTAAATATATAATATTTGAAATATTAGTATTCTTTATTAGCAGATGTTTCACCAGTATCTCTGATTTCACAATGGTTCAGAATGTTAAAGAAGAAAGTTCTCAGCAAACTTAGGAATTAGTTGAATTTTCTTTTTAATTATTTTCATCAATAATTTCCTACATAAGTTTTTGGAGAGTGTTACTTGAAAGAAAAGAAAAAAAAACTACAAGATACTTACATGTCCAAGTGTTGGCCCTCGTGGCATGATTGTAGCTTTGTTGATAGGCATTGCATCTTTAGTATAATATGCAATAATAGCATGACCAGATTCATGATATGCTGTGATGGTTTTGTTTTTGTTATCAATTTCCACACTTCTACGTTCAGGCCCTAAGGATAAAAATTTAACTGAATAAAATTATTCTGTTAGGAAAGTATATTTAGATGAATGAAACCCACTTGCCTTTAAGTAATTCTTAGGGTGACATGACTTAATATCATTAACAAATATTTTAAACCACAATAACTTGACAAATGACAACCAAAATTGTAAGAGCTGTCATCTTACTCCTTACTATCAACAAGGAAAAAGTTTAATTCTATTTCCAGAAAATAAATTTAAAGAAGAAATGTCATAACTAACCTGTTCTGAAGCCAATTCAAGATTTAAATCAAATACTGAAAATTAGTAAAATTATTCTTTTATCAGCAATATCAGACAAGAGGAAACACATGGGCACCCCTGCCCCCAAAGAGTATAATCATACAAACTATATTTGTTCTGTAAGAGGCCCAACTGTGTGGCTATTTTTGAGTATGTGTTTTCTTACTCCTGTACCTTTCTTTTTTATAACCTTTTTCTCAAAAAGAATTTATTCTTTAACATAATGAACAGTGTTAAGACAGGGAAAAAGAAAAAAGGGGAGAGAAAACCTACCCATTAGAATTTTATCTTTGGAAAACTCTAGTTCCTTCATGGTAACCATTTCTTTTCCATCAACAGCTGCCTTTAATGCAGCCTGGTTCACAAGATTCTCCAACTCTGCTCCAGAAAAGCCAACAGTACCTCGAGCTATAATTTCTGGATCAACAGCTACACAGACAAACACAATATTAAAATTCCAGAACAACTCTTCAGAAACAACTCGCATTCCAAAAGAAAAAAGAAAACAGCTATCCTGAACTAGAACTTAAAATATTTATTTCACTATAACTATAAAATAAACTTATTTTTCTAAAGGAAAAAGACAAAATTGCCATTAAATGTATCATTAAAACTACCAGAGGGACAAATCACAGAAGTTCTTAAAGAACTTTGTGGAAAAAAAAAACCAAAGAAATTCAGAGTTGCCAGACTTGATTTATAAACCTTCAAATTATAACCTAAATTGTTACTAGCCTAAGCACAAACTGAAAATTTATACTCAGACAACAGTTTATTGGGGCACCTGGGTGGCTCAGTCGTTAAGCGTCTGCCTTTGGCTCAGGTCATGATCCCAGGGTCCTGGGATCGAGCCCTACATCGGACTCCCTGCTCAGCGGGAGGCCTGCTTCTCCCTCTCCCACTCCCCCTGCTTGTGTTCCTGCTCTTGCTGTCTCTCTCTGTCAAATAAATAAATAAAATCTTTAAAAAAAAAAAAAAGACATTTTGTTTTCTGAATTTCATCTTGAAATACTTTATACGTAAGTACTCAGTATTTTATGTACATTTATAAAAGCTCCCATTATAAGAAACATATCTGGTTTTACAAATTGATTCACCTATCTTTGAAAATACTGCAGCTTAATAGCTGCATTTATTACTTAAGTGGGTCCATAATATTTTCATGTGTTTTGTTTTACAGTTTGCTTCTTTTGGGCCCAAAGTGATTATATGTGTTTTTTCTACTATTACATTCATCTTAAAAACAGTTATATATATATTTATCTTCAAGTATTATTTATCTAAATAATCTAAAGAAAACAGTCTTTTTTTTTTTTTTTAAGATTTTATTTATTTCTTTGAGAGAGTGAGTGAGAAAGAGAACATGAACAGGGGCAGCGGGAAATGGAGAATCAGACTCCCCTGCTGAGCAGAAAATCCTATTCAGGGCTCAATCCCAGGACCCTGGGATTACGACCTGAGCCAAAGGCAGCTGCTTAACAGACTGAGCCACCCAAGTGCCCCAAGAAATAAACTTTTTAAAAAGGACATATAAGGGGAGCCTGGGTGGCTCAGTTGTTAAGCGTCTGCCTTTGGCTCAGGTCATGATCCCAAGGTCCTGGGATCGAGCCCCGCATCGGGCTCCCTGCTCTGTGGGAAGCCTGCTTCTCCTTCTCCCACTCCCCCTGCTTGTGTTCCCTCTCTCGCTGTGTCTCTCTCTGTCAAATAAATAAATAAAATCTTTAAAAAAAGGACATATAAATGGAGAGAAAAAAAGGACATATAAAAAACTGGTCTTTTGAGACATTTGTCAAGTAACCACAAACAGGGCAGAATGAAATATTACCATTTTATAGAGATAATAATAAAGTTTATTACTAGAATCAGACTTACACTGATCAAACTTTATTTTATTGAGATACCATTTCAAAATTTCTGTTCGACCTTTTACATCTGGTCTTGGAACTGTAACCTGCATGTCAAAACGACCAGGACGTATTAAGGCACTAAAGGGAGAAGAAGAAAATATAAATTAATAATCTGAGTACACTGAAGGTCAAATTAAATAGGACTGACACTCTAAAGTCAAGATGGAAGGATAATGGCAACCAGAGGTGAGACTGGAGTTTTGGTTTTTATTTTAATTCCAGGACAGTTAATATACAGTGCTGTATTAGTTTCAGGTATACAATATAGTGATTCAACAGTTCCACACATCACCCAGTGCTCATCACAACAGGTGCACTCCCTAATCCCCATCACCTATTTCACCCTAGATTGGAGTTTTGAACATAAATATTCAGATAACTCCTTGTAAAACATGACTCAAGTAACAGTTTCAATAACTAGAAGGCAGAACAAAGGTTGACAGAGAGAGGTAATACACAACCCTCAAAAACAAAAACACGCAAGCCAGTCACTCAAGGAAAAATAATTCTAGAGCAGTCTATTATGAGAGCTACACTGTGATACCTTCCTATAACAACTGCTGTAAGTACAGAATGTTAAACTACAGACTCAGGCAAAGATAAAACTATTAGATCAAATTAAAATATGAGTAACTTCTACGATAAAATCAAAAATTTTAAACTCTAATAAATTTTATTTTAAAAATGCTCTCCACCACCCCCAAATTCTGTGATATAAAGTTGTCAGAAGATTAATGACTTTACTGAAATTTAAATCACGTTATCACAGAATCTCAAGTAGATAATCCAGTGGTTTTTAATATATTCAAAGTTGTGCAATTATCAACAATCTAACTCAAGAATATTTTTATTCCCCCACCCCAAAAGAAACCCCACAGCCACCAACAGTCACTACTCTCCATTCTTCCTACCCTCTGGCAACCACTAATCTACTTTCTGTTGCCACCGATTTGCTTATTCTGGACATTTCATATAAAAAGAATCATATGTGATGTTTTGTGATGAGCTTCTTTCTCTTTTAAAGTTCATCCATGGTTCAGTATGCATCAGTACTTGTCAAAAAAGTCTTTTAATACGTACTTATCTAATGCCTCTGGGAAGTTTGTGGCTCCTATTATGATAACTCCTTCATTGGGTTTAAAACTATTAAAAAAGAAAAAAAGTAACGTTTCACTGAATATTAAGAGTACACATATAGAAATGCTCTACACAAAACTGTTTATCATTAAACGTAGTAACAGCAAAGAAGAGGGACTGATCTTTTTTATACCCAAAGTGATAAGACATCTCTATTATTTTTTAAAAGGAACAAATGTTATTAGGCCAGTACACTTCAATAAAAATGCTAATAATAAGTCACAAAGTCATCTATGATTACATGCCTTCACGGTATTTGTTCTACTTAGGAAGACATGACCTGACAGGAAAGGCTTGGGTAGGGGTGCCTGGGTGGCTCAGTCGTTAAGCATCTGCCTTCGGCTCAGGTCATGATCTCAGGGTCCTGGGATCGAGCCCCGCATCGGGCTTCCTGCTCGGCGGGGAGCCTGCTTCTCCCTCTCCCACTTCCCCTGCTTGTGTTCCTTCTCTGGCTGTGTCTCTCTCTGTCAAATAAATAAATAAAATCTTAAAAAAAAAAAAAAAAGAAAAGGCTTGGGTACCTCATTTGTGAAAAATTATTCTCAAGTTTACAAATTCAAATTATTTCCTCCTAGACTTCCTGTTTGGTTCCAAAATGTCTTATATGGTTTTAAGAAGTTTTTCCTTCTTTCAAAGCAATCCCACATCTTGCTCTTTATATTATAAAAACTGATACAAACTTTTAATCTACCACAACACTAATACCTAGTCACAAATTGTGTAGGAACCAGCATACACTCTTTACATCTCCAAATAGACTAGTATTCTCAACTGGAATCATCACTTTCCTGTCATCATACAATTAATGAAAAAAGGTATAGAGATCACCAATTAAGAAGAGTTGATATGTCAATCACTCCATTAGTAATGCAAAGAACACAATACAGAGAATGCAGCTTGTCTTGACTTCTTGCACAGGGACTACTCTGTTGCCTACATTTTTTTTATTTCTTTCTCTTTAAGATTTTATTTTTAAGAAATCTCTATACCCCATGTGGGGCTCAAACACACAACTACGAGATCAAGAGCTGCATGCTCCACTGACTGAGCCAGCCAGACACCCCGCTATTTCTCGAATGTTACCAAATATATCACCATATACCAAAGACAGAGGACGATTCAATTACCCATCCATTTCAGCAAGAAGTTGATTTATAGTCTGCCTTGAATATGGGTGCATTGGAGACTCAATTCGCTTCCCACCAACAGAATCTAATTCATCAATAAATATAACACAGGGAGCATTTGCTTTTGCTTCCCCTAGGAAAAGAGAAAAGATTCAAGTAAGTTTAATGAAATCAATACTTTTTGAACAAAATCATGTAAGTATTAAAAACCTGTAAGCCTGTCAAAAGCCAACAGAAGACATTCATTAAGGAGAAAATACACAAAAGGAGATCTTTCTTTCTTTTAAAACTGATATAAGAACAGTAGCCTCGGGAAAAAAAACTGTACCATAGAAAATGATATATAATAAAAACTGAGTATTCATTCTTCCACTGTACAAACCATATACAATCAGACTGGAGGCTAATTATTCTTTAATTACATGCTATTGAATTGATGAATAAGATAAAAAGGATAACAACAACAAAAAAAAACCCAGCTTTTCAACAGGCCCCAACCTCATCTAACACTTCTAGCTCTTCTATTTGGGGAAAAAGCACGGTTCTGTTTTAGCTCACACATTAAATTACCTACAACCAAAACCCCACAATGGCTAGGTCAGCTATCAATCATAATCAAGTAGCAAATAAAAGGTAAGAAGCCCTCTTTCCCTTAAATTAACAAAATTTCATATTATATGAAAGATACATTAAAACATACTAAATAGATTTCTGATACGGCTGGCTCCCACACCCACAAACATTTCATCAAATTCTGATCCAGAAGCATAATAAAAAGGAACATCAGCTTCTCCAGCCACAGCTCGAGCAAGAAGTGTCTTCCCTGTCCCTGGTGGTCCAACTAAAAGTATTCCTAAAAGAAAAAATAAATAGAATGGGTCAAATTAAAAAATAAAAATAAACCCTGATGTGAACCTATAAAAGTTATTAATGTATATATAGTTTTGAGGTTGAAGGCACATGACCAATATTTTGAAACAAAACATACGTCTCTAGTAATGATTCACTTCAGGATCTTCAAAACTAATTTTTCTCTACCATTTCTATCTTGAGAGAATGGAATATAATAAACTTATTTATCACTAAACAAGATAAAACTCACATAAACACAGATTAAGAGATTAAACAACCAAATGTGACACATGAACCCTTGACTTGATGCTCTTCCATAAAAAACATTTAAGAAATTCTAGGGACATCTGATGCAAATTTGAAAAAATACTGGAGTACAAGATATTAAGGAAATAGTATTTAGTTTTATTTGGTAGGATAAATTATTCTCTTTAGGATAATGTCCTTAGTCTTAGGTGATACACAGCAAAGTATTTAGATGTATAAAGTAATTAATGTCTACAGCTTTGTAACTATTCCATATGTTTGAAAATCTTCCTAACAGCAGTATGTTTTTCATAAGTGGGAATAACAGAATTCTCTGGTTTCCACAACTTTTCATTTTTCATGTAAAAAAAAAAACTGTATTAATGCTATATTTTAACATAAAACTCTTTTTAAAGGAAAGTTGCTGAAAAATACCCTTAAGACTATCCTCTTGTATTGCCATGTTATTGTTACTCTTAGCTGGTTTAAATCATCATATCAATTTCTGTAGGATCTATTTTGCTCCTGAGAATTTTCCCACAATTTTATAAAATATCCCTTGTGATTAGAAAAAGTGTAACTACTTTATGACTTTAAACGTGTTCTTTATGATGTTATAGTATTGACTTTAATAAATGAATCCCAAATTAGCAGAGATTCATGCAAACATTTTTATATACTGCTGAACACTGTCAGTAGAGATAGTGGGCAGCATAAAAACAAACCTTAAATATGAATCCCCCCTTTAACTCACCAATTCCATTTCTAGAATTGGAATCTAGAATAATAATAAATAAATGAGTAAATATAGAATTTATTCTAAGGAGATAATTAAGCATGTGGGCAAAGCCTTGAGATATTAAGATGATTATCACAGTGCTGATTTTATTATTTTAATTAAAAACTGTTTTAGTTGATACACAGTTACATTAATTTCAGATGTACAACATAGTGATTTGACAAGTTTATACATTATGCTGTGCTCACCACAAGTGTTTAGCTACCATCTGTCACCATACAATACTATTACAGTATCACTGACTATATTTCCTATGCCTTTTATTCCTCTGACTTACCCATTCGACAACTGGAAGCACGTTTCTCCCTTTCCCCTTCACCCATTTTGCCCAGCCCTCACATTGCTAATTTTAAGAGCAAAACATTGGAAACCATAAAAGTTTAATATAAGTGGTTAAAGTATAGTACAATCCTACGGTACAAGGACACCACAAAGTCATTACAATCTTGTACCCAGTTCCAGCATATGGTTTTCCCTCACACCCACAAACAGTTCTCCAACACCAGATGGGCATCTTAATATTCAACTCAATTCTGATGCTACCTACCTGGAGATAGCATCAAATACTGTAAGTTAAGGACTTGGTCCCAAAAGACGGCCTCTATCCCCAACCCTCACCATGTCATCTGCAAGACCAGGTTGTTACCTGTGCTTCTGACTGACAGATCATAGACAGGAGGTTCCAGGGACCCCTTCCTTGGATTTGATTAATTTGCTAGAATAGCTCAAAGAACTCAGAGAAACGTTCTACTTACTCGATTACTGGTTTATTAGAGAAGGATACAATTCAGGAACAGTCAGTCAGATGGAAGAGATGCATAGGGCAAGGAAAGGGAAAAGGATTGCTGAGCTGCTATGCCCTCTCTGGATATGCCACTCTTCCCACATCTCCACATGTTCACCAACCTAGAAGCTCTCTGAATCCTATCCTTTTGGGTTTTAGTGGAGGCCTCATTACATAGGCATGGCTGACTCAGCCTCCAGCCACTCTCCCCTCCTAGTCAGGAGGGTAAGACTGAAAGTTCCAGCCCTCTAATCACATGGCTGATTCTCCTGGCAACCAGCTCCTAACCTTAGGTGTGTTCTAAAAGTCGCCTCATCAACACAACAGAAGACAAATCTATTGCTGTCATCACCATGAAACTACAAGAACGGGACTAACACTAAATATATATTTCTTATTATAAATCACAAGAGTCATTAAAAATCATATTAACTGTGAGAAAACATGAGACAAAGACAAACCGAGGAACATTCCACAAATTAGTATGTATTCTGCACAATTTTTAAGGTCATGAAAGATCCACACACACTCCCATAAGAAAAGGCTGAGGAGGTGAGCCTGGGTGGCTCAGTCAGTTAAACATCTGACTTCGGCTCAGATCACGATAAGGTCGTTAAGATTGAGCCCCACGTGGGGCTCCACACTCAGTGTCTGCTTTAGATTCTCTCTCCTCCTGCCCTCCCCCAGACCAACTCCTGTGCTTGCATGTGTGCTCACTCTCTCACATAAATAAATAGACAGATAGCTAGCTAGCTAGACAGACAGACAGAAAGACAGGCAGGCTGAGGAATTTTTTCAGGTTAAAAGAAAAATCTAAGGGTGCGTGGGTGGCTCAGTAGGTTAGGCAGCCAACCCTTGATTCTGGCTCAGGTCATGCTCTCAGGCTCCTGGGATTGAGCCCCATGGCTGCTCTGCACTCAGGAGGGAGTCTGCTTGAGGATTCTCTCTCTCCCTCTGCTCCTCCCCCCACCTGCTCTACCTCTCTCTCTCTTTCTCTAAAACAAATTGATTTAAAAAAAAAAGATTAAAGAAAAATCTAAATGTGTAAACCTGGATTGAGTCTAAACCTGGGGTTGGGGGTGGGGGATGGGAGGACCCCACTACAAAAGATATTATTAAGAGAAATGCAGAAATTTGAATATAACTGAATTTCATCATAGTTCTGAAACCATGTTAAATGTCCTCATTTTAATAACTATGTTGGAGTTACATAATAGAATTTCTTATTTATAGGAAATACATAATGAGGTATTTGGGGTTAAAGGAGCATGATATCTACAATTTACTCTTAAACAGTTTAAAAATACATTTATGTAGCAGCGCCTGGATGGCTCAGTCGTTAGGCATCTGCCTTCAGCTCAGGTCATGATCCCAGGATCCTAGGATCGAGCCCCACATCGGGCTCCCTGCTCAGTAGGAAGCCTGCTTCTCCCTCTCCCACTCCCCTGCTTGTGTTCCCTCTCTCGCTGTGTCTCTGTCAAATAAATAAAATCTTAAAAAAAAAATACATTTATGTAAAGAAAGTGAGCAAATGGGACAAAGTGCTAAAAAACTATTGAGTTTTGTTAAGAGTACAGAGAGTTCTCTGCACTATTCTCACAACTGAAATTGTTAACAAAACTCAAAATCCCCTTCCCCTCAAAAAAGGTTATACAACGTTCAGAATGAAGACTTATTTGTAAAATAGCAATTAAGAACTAAACTTTAAGCTTTTAAATTGGTAAAGATTAAATTAGTAATGGATTACAGTATTTTTTTGACGTCAAGTCATGGTAAAGGGAAGATATCTTACCTTTTGGAAGTTTACCTCCAAGCACGGTAAATTTTTGTGGATTTTTCAGGAATTCAACAACCTCCTGTAATTCTTGTTTAGCTTCCTCCACCTAAAGTGATATAATTTATCAAACAATTTTAAGTAATGATTAGATTATCAAGGCCTCCTCTTTGAAAATAGTAAATTTAACTGGAAATTAACTTGAAGGCTCCCTTATCAATGCACACACAAAAGGGATTTCACCCAACTCTTTTTGCCAATTATGAGGTCTCCTTACATATCTCAACAAAAAACATTAACTTCTTACATTTTTTTTTAAGATTTTATTTATTTATCTGACAGAAAGAGACACAGCGAGAGAGGGAACACAAGCAGGGGGAGTGGGAGAGGGGGAAGCAGGTCTCCCGCAGAGCAGGGAGCCCGATGCGGGGCTCGATCCCAGGACTCTGGGATCCTGACCCGAGCCAAAGGCAGACGCTTAATGACTGAGCCACCCAGGTACCCCAACTTCTTACATTTTCAAGTAGTGCTTCCCCCAGTTAACAAGGACTTATATTCACAACTCGAGTTGAATGTGTCAGCAGCATATGGTATAAACAGAAAGACTCACCTACCAAGTTTCAAATCCAGAACTTTTGACCTGGTTTATAAGCTTCAAGGGCAAATTATGTGAGCTTAATACATATCAATGAAAAGGGAGTCTGTGTTTAAGTTCTAACATTAATTTATGATTAATTATTAGATTATTTTCATTATAAGGAATTACCACTAGATTATAAATGACTTAGTTCCTTACAAATGCCAAAGGGTGGAGACTAAAATTAAGCCAAAGTGCACGGATACTGCTTTGTAAATGGTTCTGGCAAAAAATGTTCAAAAGATTTAATCCCCCAAATACAAAAACCATGTATAATTAAGGTCTCTCGCAAGAATAAAGCCCAATCTGGTCAAGAAAGATGGCATGGAGAGTATTAGCTCAACTTTAAAAACTCTGATATAAGATTAAGAAAGCTGCCTATCAGGGGTGCCTGGGCGGCTCAGTTGGTTAAGCGTCTGCTTTCGGCTCAGGTCATAATCTCAGGGTCCCTGGATATCAGGCCCTCCATTCAGTGGCAGATCTGCTTCTCCCTCTCCCTCTATGATGTCTCTCTCTCAAATAAATAAAAGTCTTAAAAAAAAAAAAATTGCCTATCAGAAATTAGTTAGCATACAACCAGAAGTAACAAATACAAGTACCTAGAGCCAGAATGATATCAAAGATGAGTGCAGAAGACACAGATATAAAATAACAGTGGTGGCAGTATGCTGAACTGGAAAGCAAAGACCCTTAGAGAGGACAAACCACCATGACTTGGCTCTACCACAGAATATAGACCTAGTGTTCTAGACTTCAATTTTTCAAGAAAAAAACAGACATTAAAAATGTTAGCTATCAATTTAAATTAAAAGCACATTTATGTGTGTACTTTCATGTATTTATTTTGAATTACACTGGCCTAATAATACATTTGTAGCCAATTTGCAACCCTACATTAGACAACTTTAAATAGTTCTCAGTGGGAAAAAAAGAACTCAAGTACATTGGTCAGGGTTAAAAAGAAACTACCTGACAAGAAGTGTACTAAAACATGAAACATCTCCGGGCTGAAGGGCATTATTAAAATCTAGAATTAAACTCATGACTCTCTTAGATTCCTAGATAATTTTCTAGGACGATTTCTAGGAAGTATACAATCATTAAAGAGTAAACAGTTTTTTAAATTAGGCTTAGAATAGTCTTTGAAAGTTATTGATTACATTATTAAAACTTAATAAAATGTTTGTAAAGTTAACAGTTGTAAGTAAAGCTCTATCCACTCCTAAGGAGAAATGCGTACATATGTTCACCAAGAAACGTAAAAAAAATTCACAATAGCACTCTTTACGCCAAAACTAGGAACAACCCAATTTCTACCTAATGTGGAATATACAATATTCTGATATTCATAGAATACTATGCAATGGGAATGAATGAAGTACAACTTTATGTAAAAACATGGATGGATCTCACAAACATCATGTTGAGTGAAAGAAGCCATATACACTATGTAAAAATCAAAAGCAGGCCAAATTAATGTATGTTATGAGACAGAACAACGATTATGCTTGCAGTGGGAAAAAGGGACACTAGGAAGTTTCTGGTAATATTTTATTTCCTGAGCTGGGTGCCAATAATATACTGAGTTCACTGTGTGAAAATTTATTAGGGTATAGATTTGTGATTCGCGCAGTTTTGTGTGAATGCTAAGCTTCAATAAAATTTATGTTTATAAAGAGATTTGGGGGGCACCTGGGTGGCTCCTGGGATCGAACCCCACATTGGGCTCCCTGCTCAGTGGGATTCAGCTTCTCCCTCTCCCTCTGCCCCTCCCCCACTCGTGCTTGCTCTCTCTCTCAAATAAATAAAAATCTTTAAAAATATATATGTATATACATATAAAAGAGATTTGGCTCTTTATCTATTAAAATAAGCTTTTTAAACATTCAAAGATACCCATATACTAAAAGAAGGCCAAGGTACATTTCGTCAAGGTAACAAATAACTTTCCATTGGAGGAAAAGGAAAACAAATTAGCTGTCACCTACTAATCAAACTACATTTTCTCTGCCCAAACTCTGTGTCAGGAAAATTACCAATTGAGGTATATAAAATCTATACAGGAAAATAGAGTTTAGGGAACAAGGCAATGAATAAAGTTATAAAAGCCCTTATTAGTATTTTTATGGCAGCTATATATAAAATTATTCCTACATAACCAGAAATTCTAGGCAAGGAAATGACATTCCTATACTAGCTCTTTAAGATTTGGTAAAACTGATCACAGGTACCACCTACTGGCATACCTATTTTAGTAAATGTTATAAATTACTTTGGTGTACATAAATTTAGATTTTATAGCAATGAGAGCAATATAAAATTATAACAGTAATTATATTTGTTTAGATTAGCACAGGAAACTGTGACAATCTAAAAACTTTGTGATGTCCCCATTTCTAGTATTATCAGCATGTCTTCTTTAGCTTCGTAATCAGAATTGGACTCATTCCAAAAGAAGTGTAGTATATTGAGTAACTGAAGTATATACATTGCAGGGAGAAAGTAAGAATGCCTTGCTGACCATAATCTCAGCACAGGTTCAATGTAGAGCAGGCTGACTGCACATCTTAAAACAAAATGGGAAGAGCCCTCTGCACTAATGAGTCAAGTTTTCAAATACTCACTGCACTAACCTCTTCCCCAATTATTCTCTTTCTGCAACTCCAAGAGGGTTCACAGCTGTTTAAATTCCAAAGGGAAGGGAAGGAATACTTGGTATAAAACTATCATAGTGACCCCTGATACTTAATTCCCTAATAGTCGAGGCTGTGAAAAATATTTATGCATAGATAGGGAAGAGTGTGGAAAAAGGAAGAGCTCTCAGTCTATTCTATATTAAAGTGGCCTTTTTATTGGTCGGCAAACAAGTCAGGCACATTAACTCTTCAGGATCTTTTTCTCTCTTTCTCTGGCTAGAAGTGTTCTTTGCTCAAATACATGCATGGTTTAGGCACACCTGGCTGCCTCAGTCAGTAAAGCATGTGATTCTTGATCACAGGGTTGTAAGTTCGAGCCTCACACTGGGTGTACAGATTACTTAAAAATAAAATCTTATAGGGCGCCTGGGTGGCTCAGTTGGTTGGGCGACTGCCTTCGGCTCAGGTCATGATCCTGGAGTCCCAGGATCGAGTCCCGCATCGGGCTCCCTGCTCAGTGGGGAGTCTGCTTCTCCCTCTGACCCTCCTCCCTCTCATGTGCTCTCTCTCTCTCTCTCATTCTCTCTCTCAAAAAAATAAATAAAATCTTTAAAAAAATAAAATAAAATCTTATAAAAAAAGATACATGCATGGTTTACCCCATCATCTTCAAATCTTCACTCAAATGTCACCTTCTCAGTCAATCATACACTGAATATCCCCATTTAAAACTGTGACCTTTCTCTCAAAACTCCCAATCCTCTTTATGCTGCTCCGTCTTTCTCCCATCACTTTTGAACATACTCTAGTATTTCCTTATATACAATATCATGGTCTAGTTTCTGTTAGAACTAAAAATCCATGACAGCAGAGATTTATTTATTCTATCCCAGTATCTAAAAGAGGTCTGGAGAATATGCGGTGAAGCTAAAAGGTCCAAGGTTCTAATCATGGCTTGGTCTGTTCTAGTGTCCATCCCCGATTCAGAAGCCCACCCAGAGTGGCCTCAGTACAAAAGACAGTGCTATCACCCAGGAAATTCCTAGGGACTTAGAAGCCCTGTGTTAGACATCAGGATCAAAGACCAAACTATAGAACCAAAGATGCACCCAATGCTCTTGTCACTTAGGGAATTACAAGAGTTTTAGCGCCTGGAACTGGAGGTAGAGACAAATATATATTTATTTTCTATTTTACACCTTTAAAATCAAATACTGGCCTTACATAATTAGATAATAGAGAGTAGGGTAAATTTTTTAACTTACTCCTTTAACATGTTCAAAGGTGACATTTTTCATCTGGACAGGATCTACTGCAGAATCAAGCCCCGTCGTTGTCCGGAAGCGGACTAAAGAAGAAAAAAAAGAAATGTTTATATATTTCATAGATTCATAAAATTCCAACCACCTTATTATTCAGAGGTAAGAAAGTAGAGAAAAAAAATAATATATTTAAGTATTACATACATACATTCATAGTGAAGTAACAGAAAGTACATCTTCTGGATTTCTAGACCATGTTCAAGGAATAAATGACTCACATTAAAATGACATCTTTATACCTTCCAATTAAAATGAAAAATTGGGGCGCCTGGGTGGCTCAGTTGGTTAAGCGACTGCCTTCGGCTCAGGTCATGATCCCGGAGTCCCAGGATTGAGTCTCGCATCGGGCTCCCTGATCGGCAGGGAGCCTGCTTCTGCCTCTGACCACCCCCCCCCATGTGCTCTCTCTCTCTCGTTCTCTCTGTCTCAAATAAATAAATTTTAAAAATCTTTAAAATGAAAAATTATTTCCCTCTTCTATAATATCTAACAAGAGAAATTTACACCAATCATTCTCAAACTCCACCGTGCCTAAAAATCACTTGAGAAATGTAGTAATGCAAGTTCCCAGGCCATGGCCCAGAATTTCTGGTTGGTAGATTTAGGAAAAGGCCCAGGAGTTTGCAGTTAAAGATTTTATTTCTTTATTTGACAGAGAGATTGAAAGTACAAGCAGGGGGAGTGGTAGGCAGAGAGAGGGAGAAGCAGACTCCCTGCTGAGCAGGGAGCCCGATGCACGGCTCGATCCCAGGACCCTGGGATCATGACCTGAGCCGAAGGCAGACGCTTAACCAACTGAGCCACCCAGGTGCCCCAGGAGTTTCCATTTTTAACAAACACTCTAAATTATCCTGATACAACTGGTCAGGGATGCACACCATGAAATACATTGCCTTAAACCTAGCATAAGAACTGGCACTGGCTTTTTTTTTAAAAAAAGGGTAAACCTTAAAAGAGATTATTTCACTTTTCATGTAGCCTCCTCCTCTAGCAACTGTTATTACTTGCCCTCAGATGATATATGTCAGTAATGACATCATTAAGAAAGTGTAAGTTTGGGGGCGCCTGGGTGGCTCAGTTGGTTAAGCGACTGCCTTCGGCTCAGGTCATGATCCTGGAGTCCCTGGATCGAGTCCCGCATTGGGCTCCCTGCTCTGCAGGGAGCCTGCTTCTGCCTCTGACCCTCCCCCCTCTCATGTGCTCTCTCTCTCTCATTCTCTCTGTCTCAAATAAAAAAAAAAAAAAGAAAGTGAAAGTTTGGAAGGAGAGTAAAATACTTAGAATGAACTACAGAGAATTATTACAAAGCTTTCTTAAAATCTCTCCCCTTTGGTTAAACTTCCCTACTAAAAAGATATAAGTGAGTAAATAGAGCAATTTCTAATTTCCTCAGAAGACAAAAAATATTGTCTTTAAGACAGAAATTTAGATGCAAAAAGAATCAACACAGGCAAAATAGACAGTTTTGTTGAAAACACTTAGCATATCAAGAATATACAAGTTAGGGGTGCCTGGGTGGCTCAGTCGTTAAGCGTCTGCCTTCGGCGCAGGTCATGATCCCAGGGTCCTAGGATTGAGCCCCGCATCGGGCTCCCTGCTTGGTGGGAAGCCTGCTTCTCCCTCTCCCACTCCCCCTGATTGTGTTCCCTCTCTCGCCGTGTCTCCCTCTGTCAAATAAATAAATAAAATCTTAAAAAAAAAAAAGTTGGAAGAGCAAATGTAATATAGTAATTCTACAATGGACACTAATAGTTTTAGCCCACTAAATTGTTTATTCAAGGATCTACACAGATGGGCTTAATAAATAATACAAATTAAATTTGTAGCCAAACCACTTGAAACTTGTAAGAAATTATAAGGCAATGCACTTCATATTTTGATATATATTTTGCTTAATGTAAAAAATTAAGAAACATAAAATAGTAACCACAGCTAATCCCACCCCTCCAATATCACACAGTGTCCCTACACTGGTTCTGTTTTGAAAATAAGTAGACAAAATAAGATGACTCTAGCTATATAAAGAATATTCTGGGGCGCCTGGGTGGCTCAGTCAGTTAAGCGTCTGCCTTTGGCTCAGGTCATGATCTCAGGGTCCTGGGATCGAGTCCCACATGGGGAGCCTGCTTCTCCCTCTGCCTGCCGCTCCCCCTGCTTGTGCTCTCTCTGTCAAATAAATAAAATCTTTAAAAAAAAATAAAAATAAAAAATAATATTCCTGGATGTTAAAATCTCATCTCAGGTTTTATTCCACAAAAAACTTAAAATACTGGGGTTACATGCAAGTTCTGGGATAAAGTCCTGACCCAGATCAACTGATATTCTTTAATTGTATACCAGTTTTTTCCTCTCAAGGTAATCAATCATAAAGACCATAGAGAACCCAGGGTAAAAACCGAAGAGCTGAGAATGCAACAGGAACCACTTAAAATGGACATTATTCATTTTAGACTGGCAAACTGAGAAAATATGAGACTCATTTAAGGCAATTTTTAATTGTATACTAAATTTGTATATATATTTTTTTTTAAGATTTTATTTATTTATTTGAGAAGGGGAGAGAGAAAGCACACAAGTGGGAGGAGGGGCAAGGCAGAAGCAGAAGCAAACTCCCCACTGAGCAGGGAGCCCAATGTAGGGCTCAATCCCAGCATCCTGGAATCATGACCTGAGCCGAAGACGGACGCTTAACTGACTGAGCCACCCAGGTGCCCCAAATTTTTATGTATTTATATATTATACATAAATTTTCATAAATTTATTAGTGTGTCTTTGAAATAGGGGACTATTTCACTTTGTATTGCTATTATAAAATTCTTCTATAAAATTGGACAGGTATAACTTTCTAAAAGTCTAGAAAAAGAACCACTAATAGAAGCTAATCTAACATTTTTGCTATAACATAATCCTTGGAACTTTAACAAAATATTATTGTCTCAAAAATAAAACTTGAAATATGTACAGTGTCTGAAGGAACTTTTCCTGTAATCCACAAAGCAATGTAAATATAATGAGCCCTGAGAATACAGATGGCATATAACCATAACAGATTAAAACTTTTCTACTTTAATACAAAAAAGCAATCTCAAATTGACCCAATCTGTGAAGTGCTGACTTAGGAAAGAAAGGCCTAGACACTAGAACGGTAAATGCTTCCTCTCTCCTAAGTCTAAGGCAGACTAACTATGAAAAAAAAAATTGAGTATTTAAAAGATACAAAAAAAAAGTCAGATAAATGAAAAGAGCCTTTACCAGATAAAAATGGGTTTTTTAAGAGTCCATAAATGCCAAATAGCAGCAGAACGAAGAGAATCAGACGAGTTCGTCTCAGAGAATCTGGAGGAGAAAAAAAAAAAACCTTAAGTCAAATGACAACAATGACAAGTGACAGCTTGATGAAAAGTAAGCATTAGGTTATTGATAGTAATCATATTCTATCACATGCAATTTTGGAACCTGGCATTCCTTTGTATAATTGCCATGATTTCCTTTCAGCACCCTGTGACCAAAAACCTCATCGAGGCACTCATGCTTCTGTCCTTGACGTTGCTTCTCATTTGAGAAAAGGGAGAGTGCCAATAGATTTTCCATTTTGACACAGCTTAAGTTACAAATATAATGGAATATAACCAATGAAAAGGTGCATACTTGTTAGAAAAAATATTTGTAATCACTTAAAGGTAGGACTATGACTTCCTTTTAGATATTCTTCCCAAATATGGATGGTGTCAAATCAACTTACCATTGGTTTTTTGCGTTAGTGCTTGAGCTTTCAGAAAACCCTCTGCAAAACCAGTTTTAAATGCATCTTGGTGAGCTTCAGGTATATTTTTGGTTTTCATGAGTTTGTCCAAACTCTCAATATCTGATCCTCTGTCCCGCAAAAGGAACCCCTAAATACACAAACAATGCATCAGTACTGACTATATAGATAACACTGCCCAACAATATAATGATCACTCACAAAAAAATTCATTCAAAAACTCTAGAATTTCTAATTTTTATTGTCCATCAGAAGAATTACACTAAGATTCAACAATAAATTACTTAATCAATGGCTAAGAAACTACCTTTGGACTTTACACTTGCATCAATCAATTAATATAAAGGAACTCTCTGTAAGAATACTATACTGAAAACAATAGGTCACCTGTGGACTTTAGGGTTCTAATGGTTTGATGTTCACACTCCTTTATCTCTACTAGACAAAAAACCTCATTAAGTTATTAAATGTTTACTGAGTACCTTTTATACACTTGGCCTTGTGTAAGTTCTGAAAATGTAAAGATAAATAACCAATGATCTGAATGTTCTCAGTCTACTAGGGAGAGATACACAAATAACTAATTTTTTGAAATCATTTTGATATTATGTTAGAAGTTCTAGGTCTGGGGACACCTGGGTGGCTCAGTCGGTTAAGCATCCGACTCTTGCTTTCGGCTCAGGTCATGATCTCAGTCATGGGATCAAGCCCAACATTGGGCTCTGAACTCAGCAAGGAGTCTGCTGAAGATTTTTTCCCCTTCCTTCCCCGCCCCCACCCTGCTCCTCTCCCGCTCGCATGCATTCTCTCTCAAATCAATCAATAAATAAAGTCTTAAAAAAAAAAAGAGGTTCTAGGTCTGGTGGTAAAATAAATGCTACCTCAGGAAGCTAGGAAAGGCATTACAGAGAAATAGGATTTCTAAACCAAAGGAAATGCAAAGCATAAACAATCTGACATAGCCATGAAGTAAAAGGCTTTAGCACTCAGGAACTGCAAGCTATCTTTTATGACACGACTTTAAAATGCCAAGAGACAAGTAGAGTAGAGGTTCAGAAGGAGTGCCATATTAAAGATAAGAACAGAAAAATGATAGGCAGAGGCCTAATGGATACTACAGCAGGAATCTGACAATAAATCAGAGGAATATATTACATTAAAACATTTTAGACAGATGGTGGGTTGGTGGCAGTCTGAAAGCTGGACTGAAGGTAACAAAACTAAAGGCAAGGAGACTAAGGGGCGCCTGGGTGGCTCAGTAAGTTAAGCATCCGACTCGACTTCCACTCAGGTCATGATCTCAGAGTCGTGAGATCAAGCCTCACGTCGGGCTCCATGCTTGGTCGGGCTACACCCACTGATGATTTATACACCCACAGAGTCTGCCTGAGATTCTCTCTCTCCCTCTCCCTGCCCCTCCCAAAATCCATCCCTGTGCGCTCTCCCTCTCTAATAAATTCTTTAAAAAAAATAAAGGCAAGGAGACTAAATGAATGTTTACTAGAGTCCTTTAGGCAAGAAATGGTTATACTCCATCTATGCAGTGGAACTGGGAATGAAAAGAGACAGATCTAAGAAATATTTAAGAGGCTGGATCAATAGGACTTTAGTGATTAACGGATGTGATGATTAATGGATGTGACAGGAGAGAAAAGATGAACAAATCAAAGTTGATCAACAGGTTTCTAGCTTGGGTGGATGCTATTCTAGAGAACACACAGGTAGATGTGTAGGAAAAAAAAAACAAAAGGAGATGTCTAATAGGCCAAAGGAGAGACATGACTGGGGGACTCAGAAGAGTTGTAGGTGTAATGATTACACAGGTAATTAATCCTTTAGAAAATCAACTGACCAATAAAAGAAATCAGATATTGAATGTTCTCATTTTAATAATTTGAAAATTACTGCTTTTTCAAACAACAAAAAATGTCTAATTACCTTTACAAATGATGGTGTTATATGCTGTGTCTCTGTCAATCTTTCAGAGGTGGACTGTAAACGTCGAGTTCTTGATTTCAAAGTTTTAAAACCCCGAGACTGTATGAAAACTGAACGGAACAGTATCACATTTACTTCTCGTTGCACATTTTTATAAGAAAAATGACTAGGATTCAAAACTGACACCAAGCCCATACAACCTAAGTTTATTATCCCATTTTTTAACATAGTCCTTTGCCTGACATTTCACTACCCTGGTAATTAAAGTCATTAAAATGGATTGAATCTATAAAATAACTGTATAGTCTCTTGGTAATTTTAAAATGTGAAAAAAAAACAAACAAACCCACTGATGAGTATCAAATAAAAGTCAGTGTCTAATTCCTCAAACCCCAATCCCACTTCCCCAGAAGTGACCACTGTTAACAATTTCACGACTGGGATGCCTGGGTGGCTCAGTCAGTTAAGTGTCCGACCCTTGATTTCAGCTCAAGTCTTGTTCTCAGGGTTGTGAGTTCAAGCCCGCACTGGGCTGCACACTGGGCATGGAGCCTACTTTAAAAAAAATTTTAAATGAAAGAATAAAAGTTTTGAAGAATGCCTGGGTGGCTCAGTCAGTTAAACGTCTGCCTTCGGTTCAGGTCATGATCCCAGGGTCCTGGGATCAAGTCCCACACAGGGCTCCCTGCTCAGCAGGGAGTCTGCTTCTTCCTCTGCCTGCAGCTTCCCAAGTTTGTACTCTCTCTCTGACAAATAAATAAAATCTTAAAAAAAAAAAAAAGCTTTAAAGAATAAAAGCTAAGGGATGCCTGGGCAGCTCAGTTGGTTAAGCGTCTGCCTTCGGCTCAGGTCATGATCCCAGGGTCTTGGGATCGAGTCCCGCATTGGGCTCCTTGCTCGGTGGGGAGCCTGCTTCTCCCTCTGCCTGCCGCTCCCCGCTTGTGCTCATTCTCTCTCTGACAAATAAATAAATAAAATCTTGAAAAAAAAAAAATAAAATAAAAAATAAAAGCTTTGAAAAACAATTTCATGACTACACTTCTATGTATTTAAACATATGCTCTTTCTATAAAAATAGTATATAATTTTTTGCAATTATCTTCTTGCACTTAACAAGAAATATTATCACGGATATTTTTCAGAACAGGTCAGATAGTACATTCAATTTAATGGCTGTTAATATTTTTCCAATTTATCAGTGTATAGCAATTTGAATATTCAACCACTTTTCTACTATGGACATTAGTTGTTTCCTGTTTTCTTATTGCTAAAAATGGTTCAGTTAAAATTCTTTCAGCATGTGTAGACTAAATTCTTAAAAGTGAAACCATGAGGTTTGAATTATTTAACACTAAGAAACTGCCCTCTAAAAGGTTGTTATTGATTTATACACCCACTGATGAATAGGAGTATCCTTTACTCCACATCCTTTGCAACACAGATTAATATACATTTTTTTAAAAATTTTAAGGATTTTATTTATTTGTCAGAGAGAGCACAAGCAGCGGGAGCAACAGGCAGAGGGAGAAGCAGGCTCTCCGTTGAACAGGCAGCGCGATGCGGGACTCGATCCCAGGACCCTGGGATCATGACCTGAGCTGAAGGCAGCCGCTTAACTGACTGAGCCACCCAGGCGTCCCTATAAATTTTTTTAATTTATACAGATCTGATAGGCAAAAAGCAGTGTCTTGTTTTAATTTGCATTTCAGATTAGAAATGAGGGAAAATTTTGAAAAACACTTTTACTTTCCTTGAATATTTTCTTTAGTAAATTGTTAATCACTCATAACCTTTCCCATTTTCATGAATAAAAGGATGCGTGCTATGTATACTAACTTTAAGGCACATATATTTGAAACATTTAATGCCTTGTCTTTGTATGCAGCAATTTATAAAGTTAATATAGTTTTATCTTTTAATCTTTAGTATTTTCTGCATTGTGTTTTGATTAGAGAGCCTCACCCCCAAACTGTGATTTTAAGAGTCTACTGGGGCACCTGGGTGGCTCAGTCAGTCGAGTGCCCAACTCTTGGTTTTGGCTCAGGTCCTGTTCTCGGGGTCATGGGATCGTCAGACTCCACATTGGGCACGGAGTCAGCTTGGGATTCTACCTCTCCCTTTCCCTCTGCCCCTCCTCTCCCTCTCTTCCTCTCCAAATAAGTAAATCTTAAAAAAAAAAAAAAAAAAAAGAGTCTACTGACTTTCAACTTCGTTCAGACCTTTACCTATTTGCAACTTTTTTTTTTAAGATTTTATTTATTTATTTGACAGAGAGATACATAGTGAGAGAGGGAACACAAGCAAGGGGAGTGGGAGAGGGAGAAGCAGGCTCCCCGCAGAGCAGGGAGCCGGATGTGGGACTCGATCCCAGGACCCTGGGATCATGATCTGAGCCGAAGGCAGTCGCTTAACCAACTGAGCCACCCAGGCGCCCTATTTGCAACTTTTTTAAGATTAAAAAAAGAATCTGATTCTCGTTAGGCCCAAGTTTATTTTTTTATTTTTAAGTAATCTCTACACCTGACTTGGGGCTTGAACTCACAACCCCAGATCAAGCATTGGATGTTCTACTGACTAAGCCAGCCAGGTGCCCCATTTTACGCCCAAGTTTAAAATCAACTTCTTGGTTTTCATAGCAAGTGTTTAGGGTTTTGAACAGGGTTGCAGTGAATTAATAAATCTGGACGTAAATTAAAACTGTTACAGTACCGAGTCCTTTTAAAGAGGATTATGGCATTCTCTCATTTTATTTTACTCAGCTCTTGTATTTCCTTCAGTGAAGTTTCACATGCATATGTGTGTGTGTGTGTGTGTGTGTGTGTTTCTCGTCAGGATAAAAGGTTAAATGGGTTTGGAGGAAACTATAAATAAAATCCGTTGCTAGAATATAAGAAAGATACTGATTTTTACGCATTTATCTTATATGATACCAGAGTAGCCTTTCAGTTGATTTCCTTAAGTTTTCTGGTAAGCAAACATATTACCTGGTAAGCAAAAACAATTATAATTTTGCCCCTTCCATAAACTTCTATAACTCCTTTTTTTTTTTAAGATTTTATTTATTTATTTGACACAGAGAGAGCACAAGCAGAAGGAGCGGGAGAAGCGGGCTCCTGCTGAACAGGGAGCCTGATGCAGGACCCAATCCAGGACCCCGGGATCATGACCTGAGCCGAAGGTAGACACCTAACCAACTGAGCCACCGAGGCGCCCTCTATAACTCCTTTTAAAGCACATTGTTTAAAACTTCCAAATTACTCGTAACAAAAACAGGCTATACATATCTTATTTCCCATATTAATAAGATCCTAATAGATTTCCTTAATAAATTTTAAAACTTCCTATTCTAGTTTTCTACAACTTTGTAGGAAGTGTGACAATTAAAATCTATCACATGCCTTTTTCATACACTTGAAATAATATTGTTCTTTTCTAATCTATTAACATAAATTAACATACTTCCTAATATTAAATCACTCATATTCCTTAATCATATTTTAGAGCACATTTCTGTACTTCCTTTTTCAGATTTTATTTAGGATTTCTGTATTTATATTATTACGTGAAATTGCAATCTATTATATTTTTTATGCTAATATTTTAGTATCAGTAATCTCGTGGAATAAACAGGAAAGCCTATTCTACCTTCTTCTTTATTTTGGTCCTGGAAAACAGAACCCATAAACCATAAAACCATCTGAGCCTAGATGCCTCTGGGACAACGGGGTTATATTTGAAAAATATTATCTTTCAAATTTTATAGTTACTGTCTTATGTCTCTTCTTGAGTCAATGTTGTTAATTTATAACTTGGATAATTGTTTCAACATGTTTTTATTTATACATACTCTTAAAAGTTTTAAATCTTCATTATCTGTGGCTGTTACCACTTTTCACTTCAATATTTTTGCAATGTTTTAATCAGACTGTTCTATTTTCTTGTTTTCTCAAATTAAATCTGTTCATTTAAGTATAACTTTCTTCGTGTTGTATTCATTTAATGTTTTATACATATTAATTTCTCACATTCATTTAAAGAATTCTCAAAATGAATGTTTAATCAATTTATTTTCTTTCTTATTTCCTAATAAATTATACAATGCCCTCATAGCATCAGTTGGCCCTCAACTCAAAGATTTTGATGTTGATTTTCACTGTGGTTCATTACTAATTGTCTGTAATTTCAGTTTCTCTTTCCCTCAGCCACAAGACACTTAGAAAAGTATCTTTAGGGCGCCTGGGTGGCTCAGTTGGTTAAGCGACTGCCTTCGGCTCAGGTCATGATCCTGGAGTCCCAGGATCGAGTCCCGCATCGGGCACCTTGCTCAGCGAGGAGTCTGCTTCACCCTGACCCTCCCCCCCCCATGCTCTCTCTCTCTCTCATTTTCTCTCTCTCAAATAAAAAAAAAAGTATCTTTAAATTTCCATGGAGTTAGGAATTTTTTAAGCTACCTTTTCTGTTATTTGATTTCAATATTATATGATCAGAGAACCTGACCCTGGGTTATATAACTTTCTGAAAATTAAGATATTCCTTATACCCTAATACATGCTCAGTTTTTATAAGTCTTCCATGAAGACTTCCATTTGTAAATATATCATCCTTCTTTAAGAATTCTTCTGTCTTCTGCATTAACCATTTTTTTTCAGGGCATTACTGATCTCTGTGCCCTACTTGGCACCTCTCTTTCATGTTACAAGTTTTCCTCAACATGTGGAGATTCTTGCTGATCCAGTTGTAATTGTAAAGAGAATACAGTAATCAGTACTGATTGTAGATAGGTTTCCTCAAAACTACGAAGGTGGCATGGACTTATCATGAGTAAGCACGGTACATTTAGTGTATGATTCAGATCCATTATTTTTCCCCTTGGCCTCAATGCTCATACACAATCTTCAGAGACAGACTTCTCTACACACACACACACACACACACACACCCTTTATTACCAATGTGTCTTGTGCCAATTGTAGCATAAAAGTTACAAGCCCTATCTACTCTGGGACTGGCCCACTTTTGGCAATCTTTCAGTTCACCTGTCATGAATCATCCCAGAGCCCACTCTTATTGACTTGGAAATGGGGTTTTTTCCTAACTCCTACCGGAAATAACAGCACACACCTCTTTTGTGTCACTCCACTTAAGTTCCACGAAGGTGGGTAACATATGTCTTTTTCATTTATAATTATCACTGTTACCTAACAGCTATCAGTAGTGTCTGGTATTAAATAAATATAAATGTATGCATATTTGATTTTGCTATCAATGTGATGTCATCTATTTCTTACCTTATGGAAAGTCCTCAAATTTCTGATCCACTGACGAAACCCCTCTGCTGCTGCCCTGACTTTTTCTGCATTTTAAATTTTTTTCTGTCCTTACAGTTGATTGGAACAATTTTGAAAATGAAATTTTAAAAATATAGGGAAGTAAACAAATGTGCTTAGTTAATTATGTTGAAGGTATAGATAAGTTCCCTGAAGTTTGATTTACTGTGCCACTTATCACTCACATTCAAAATTCAGCTACTATATATTTTCCAAATTAAAAAATAAACATACCCAAACTAATTGACTCTAAATACTCTATCAGTTCTACCATGAGCTACAAATGACTGTTTATAACATTAATATGATTAAGAAAGATAAATCAGAATCTGTTAAATAAATCTATCATTTTTTTCAAAATAAATACAGTTGTTGTTTCATACCTGGCCAGCACTGAAGATCTGAACAAATACTTTTAAGAGTTCTTGAATGTTGTCTGTACAAGCAAGAGGAACGTAAAGTACGAAACATATCTAAGTAACCTGGAGGAAAATTGAAAAAAGTGAATTTTCTATTTACCAAGCTACAAAAAAGTCACAAAATACAGTAATTTTACCAAATATTACAAAAACAAAAGTATGAGTTTAGCCTTTTATTTGCTCATATGGCTTTGCTTTTAGGAGTTTTTAAAAACACTGCTAATCTAATTATAGTTCTTCATCTCTTTACTATCTATCAGTCATCCATTATATTATCTTTTTTATCTGATATATGACAAGAGCTGCCAATGAAATTAAATTCAAACCAAAAGGTAAAAGATACATATATTTACCTAAAGTAACTTTTTGTTAACAGTATGAAGAGATAAAGAACTGCTACCTCCTAGGGATGATTTCAAAAACTAACAAATAATGTGATTAAACACTGTAAGCCAGAAGCATAGTTATCTTTCTCTCTCAAAGCTTCCAGTCAATGGGTTGGAAAACAGTTCCTTTCATAGCTGGAAGCCATCAACTTTGGTGATCCTTTGAATTCCCATTGTTGACTAATGGGCCCCATCCTACTTTACACCCATGATCCTAGGGAAAAAGTAAACAGGAGCAACAGAAACTGGTTCCCAATATCCCAGTCAGAATTCAGGGATTTTCCTAGGAATCAACAAACCCCTTCCTAATACCTCTGCCTGCTTAAGCCAAGAAAAGAGCATCAAGGAACCTTAAAAGGAAATGTAAATATGCAGACCAGAAGAGCAATACTACTACAACTACACAACGAGAGTAACAAAAATTTTACTCTACTGAACACTTACTATGAGCCAAGTAGCATAGTATGGGCTAAATAAACTATTTAGATTATTTCATTTGATCCTGCAAAGTGAGATAAGGAGTTTTTCCTCATGCTTCATATGAGAAAACAGCAGTTTAGAGGAATAAAGTAAATGCCACAGCCACTCAGTGGCAGGACTGAGTCTGATCTTCGTCTGCACCTCACCCGTAACCATTGAGCCTCAGGACTTCTCTCAGGAAGGAGGTAATAGAACATAAAAAATAATAGAAGCAGGTTTTTAATCCAAGTCCCCAAGCTCAAAAACTTCATTTTTCTCACTCTTGAATTCTTTACTTATCCTACAACCCATTTTTGAAATAAAGGCAATAGAATGATTAGTAAATGAATTAAGTTTGTACAAAGTATGGCTTCAAACCTTTACCACAAAACTAATTAAACTTGCACTTTTCTTTCTGGGCTGTTATAGCTTGTACTGATTTTTAAAATCTGTTCTTCCATCAATAAAAAAACAAGTATTTTGATAAGTTCTAACATTCATTGTTTAAGTATCATGCAAAAAGAAATGCATGAAGCTGAAACCCCTTCTACAAACTACACACTTCTTGTTAACACCTGACTGTTACAAGACTTAAATAAGAAAATATAGACATTCTTTTAAAAAAAAGGACTATGACTATTTCTTCAATGTATTCTCAGAAACCAGTACGGTTCTTGGATCTAATGTTTGTCACGTAAAATTAAAACAATACTCCGCTATTCCACAATCTGTGTAGTATGCTATAGTAGATCCTGGGACAAATAAAGAACCCTAGTGGAAAAACTAGTAATTTAGGAAGATTAAATTTCATTTGGTAAAGTCTAAATACAGTCTATACTTTAGTTAAATGTATTGTACCAATGTTAATTTCTTAGTTTTGACAAACACACCATATTTAAGCAGGCAGTTAACATTAGAGGAAGCCAGGTAAAGGAAAAATAGGAACTCAGTACTATCTTTGCAACTTTTCTGTAAATCTGAAATTATTCCAATATGAAAAGTTATCAAGGAAAGGAAAGGAAAGGAAAGAGGAAAGGAAAAAGGAAAGGAAAAGAATGGAACGGAACTCAGGAAAGAACCTGACACACAGTAAATGTTAATAAATGCTATCTGTTAAATTATTAGTAACTACGACAGCTTACTTAAATTGGAACAAAAAACATACCAACCTACCATATTTATTTTCAAAGAAGGACTGTGCAGAGACATGAGATGTATGCCAATGGGAAGAAATGCTCTTGCCTTTACAAAATCCAGGAAGTAAACTGTCTACCAGTTGATCAATCTGTCCAATTTTTAATTCGGATAATCCAAGGTCTCTTAAATTAAGTACAGGCTGTAAAAGATTGAGTCAACAAAGTTAGCATTATTATCAAGATATTTAACTTAAAGAGTTCTTGTTAGTTGAAAAATTATGGATTTAAAAAAAATCTAACAAAGGTATTGATTCCTCTTTTCTTTCTAATATTTAAAAACTAAATTGAAAAAAAAAATAAATTGGTGCAAATATTTTTTTTACAGATTTTATTTATTTATTTGTCAGAGAAGAGAGAGAGAGCACAAGCAGGGGGAACGGCAGGCAAAGGGAGAAGCAAGTTCCCCGCTGAGCAAGGAGCCAGAAGTGGGACTCCATCCCAGGACCCTGGGATCATGACCTGAGCCAAAGGCAGACGCTTAACCCACTGAGCCACCCAGGTGTCCCTGGTGCAAATATTTTTCTAGTTCTAGTTTTATGGACGTCAGTCATGTAGGGTTTGATAAAGATTAAAAATATTTTCCAAATAGTGTCTCTAAGTTATGGACATTTAAAGCTTCCTTCAGTTTCTAATGTCCATAAACCAAAACCCATTTGATTAAAAAAAAAAAAGGGGGGGGGGTATGCTATTACCAGAGGACATCTCACTCCTCTGGTTTCAGTGCTGAGATCCTTCTTTGAACTGAGAGGTTCTATATTACCCATATCTAACTTCTAATAAGGAGGAAAACTGAACAAAGTAAAAAATGTGTGAAAACCAGGCAAGCAAATACACTCACATTAAAACCGTTCTAAACTAACTACAAATAGGATAGAAGTGAGTTATTTTCTTGTTCACAGGAGCTGTCAGGCAGACATGAAAGACAAATAAAAATAAGCCCCAGACAGCTAAAAGTTCAAGCAAGGGAAGCAAAAATAAACAGAACAAGTATCAGCTTCTGAAGACTGATGTGAAGTTAGATCCATAAAATTTCACACACAAAAAAATGAAGTTAGATCCATGGATTATATAGCTTTGGACTGATGTCCAGGGGTTTCTCACTTACTAGCTTTGTGAAAAATCATTCATAATCTTAGAATCAATTTCCTCATTAGTAAAATGCCTATGAAACATGCCCTGCCTATTTCACAACAAGATGGTATGGATCAATGGAAAAGATCATGCCATGCTCATCTGACATCCTAACACAAAGACAAGGATAGTTAAAGCATGATGAAATAAAATATTTAAAAGAGCTCTTTATTAAAAACTACACAATGTAAAGCATATTATTACAATGAAAACTGCAGGACTACAATACTCAAAAGCTACTTTTCAAAAGTTTTTTTTTTTTTAAAGATTTTATTTATTTGACAGAGAGAGACACAGAGAGAGAGGGGACACAAGCAGGGAGAGTGGGAGAGAGAGAAGCAGTTTTCCGCTGAGCAGAGAGCCCGATGTGGGGCTCGATCCCAGGACCTTGGGACCATGACCTGAGCCGAAGGCAGATGCTTAACAACTGAGCCACCCAGGCGCCCTCAAAAGTTATCTTTTATTATTATTTCTTTAAGTAGGCTCCACACCCAGCATGGAGTCCAACATGGAGACTAACGCAGGGCTTGAACTCGCGACCCTAAAATCAAGACCTGATTCAGCTCTGATCAAGAGTCAGATGCTTAGCCGAAGGGGCCACCCAGGCGCCCTTCAAAAGCTATCTTTTAAAATGGGAAGCCAAAACGTTTATTTACAATACAAAGACTTCAAAAGGGAAATGCAGATTCTTAACTTAAAATTATTTCCCTTTCTTACTGGCTGTCAGGTCCTTGGAATGTAAAGAGAAATAAGGTACATGTAAGCACAGCAATTATCATACAACATAATAACTGCTATTACAAAGATATTTAAAACAAAAGTGGTAAGAGAACAGAGAGCAACTAATTTCCTAAGTCAGATACAGCTGCACTGAGGTAACACCTACTTTGCAAAATGATGGGAAGCCTTGGGGTAAGGGACAAACAAAATATCATCAAAGCACCTGGAATGTTTCAGATGTTGTCCAAAGATTAGTGATGGAAGAATGAACTAGATGGGCAATGCTCAAATTGTAAAGAGGCTTGTCTGAATTTAATTCTATAGCTAATATGATCAGTTTTGTTTTATTGCAAGAAAATACAAGATAAAGATAGCAAACTGGATAAAAAATGGCTGATGGAACAAGAGAAAAATGGTACGAGCCTGAACCAAGCCCTAACTAAAAATAACAAATTACAGACAATAGACATACGAAAAAACCAATAGAGGATTGACAGGAAGAAGGGTTCTGAATGAACAATCTAGTTAATCAATTTATTGTCTCCTAGCTCCTCTTCATCCTTTCTGTTAGCTCCATGAACAATGAGCTGGGCTCTTTAAATATTTTTTCTTTGCCAGCTGGGACAATGTTAAGCTTTGTCAGTAAAGAGCACTGGAGACTCTGTAAGAGCAAAATGTCTTTGTTCCTGGTTCTGGTGTGCTCATTCAGCAGGCTCCTATCTGGAGCAACCATGGTTTCTCTAGCATCTGGCTGCCACTTGTGTAGCTTCTCCAAAACTCGGCCCCTACAGTCAACAGCGGCTAGCACTAGCAGCTTTTCAGTAAGGGACATTCCCATGAACAGCTTTCCCTGCTACCAGGAATGGCAGATTTCCAGCAAGTGCAGCGAGCGTGATACCAGTGACTTAGCCACTCAGGGAGCCAAGGCCATACCCTCTTCCAATAAGGTCAAGGCCTCAGCCCGCAGGTGAAGAACTCTTCCTGCCATGCTCCATCTCGGTTCTAAGAGTATTAGCTACTCCTTAAATCTTCTAGTACTGTGTATTTTAGAGTTTACTTATTACTAGCCAATCCCTAGTTATCCCGATCCCCTAAAAAAATAGGGTTTTAAAAATATTAAACTAAAAAATGACATTAATTTTTAGCATTAAACTTTCACTGTTCAAATAACTATGTGGTTTCTCTCTCCTGGTTGGAGCCAGACTGCTAAAGAGGGGCTAAATCCACTGTAAGTTCAAATATACTAGAAATGTGAGAATAGCCAAGTCTGGACATCTTAATTTTGAGGTCCCTGAAATTCTCTCCAGAGGGGTATTTTAACAAGGCACTAAATAAATGACTTCAAAGATTTAAAGTGAATTTAGGGTTGGAGATATCTTTGGGAGTTATCAGCATATATATACACACACATAGGTATGTGTGAATATGGGTAACATGACTTGGGAGAATGTGCGTAACAAAAATTAGATCAAGGATAAATGCACAGCACACCAAATATTTAAGGGGCTGGCAACAAAAAAAACCAGCCAGCAAAACAGAAAGAGAAAAACCATCATCAATGTAACATCACTCAATACATGGGAGTATTTTGAAAATAGTGAATGTTCAGCAAGACCAGATGCTAAGGAAATGTTTAAAAAGATGTGGCTTTTTTTTTTTTTTTTTAAGATTTTATTTATTTATTTGACAGATACAGCGAGAGAGGGAACACAAGCAGGGTGAGGGGCAGAGGGAGAAGCAGGCTTCCCGCCGAGCAGGGAGCCCGATGTGGGGCTCGATCCCAGGACCCTGGGATCATGACCCGAGCCGAAGGCAGTCGCTTAACCAACTGAGCCACCCAGGCGCCCCAAAAAGATGTGGCTTTTTAAAAAGGCCTGAATTTAGCGTGAAGGAATCAACGACTTTAGCAAAATAAGTCTGTAAAATGGTACAAAGTAATAGCCTAACTATGATGAGATGTAGTGTAAGAATAAAAGTTTAGCAAGTACAGTTACAAGTTCAGACTACTATTTCAAGTCTGAAAACAAAAGGAAAATAAGTCAGTAGCTTTTGAAGGAAGTTGAAAGGAAGGTTTTTAAAATTACATTGTGGAATGCATGTTTGGATAAGTAAGACTTGATGAAAGCAAAGCCACCACACAGCAAAGGAGGTGAGAGTAAAGATGAGGTAGGATGCTTAAGGAGAGGGGCTCCTGGGTGGCTCAGCTGATTAAGCGTCTGCCTTTGGCTTGAGTCATGATCCCAGGCTTCTGGGATCGAGCCCCACATCAGGCTCCCTGCTCAGCAGGAAGTCTGCTTCTCCCTCTCCCCACTTGTGCTCTCTCTCGCTCGCCCTGCTCTCTCTCTCTCAAATAAATAAATAAAATCTTTTAAAAGAAAAAAGGATGCTTGGGGTGCCTGGGTGGCTCAGTAATTAAGTGTCTGCTTTCGGCTCAAGTCATGATCCCAGGGTCCTGAGATCCAGGCCCATGTCGGGCTCCCTGCTCAGCGGGAAGTCTGTTTCTCCCTTTCTCACTCCCCCTGCTTGTGACAGCGAGAGAGAAAGAGAGAGAGAGAGAGAGAACACAAGCAGGGGGAGTCGGAGAGGGAGAACAGGCTTCCCGCTGAGCTGGGAGTCTGATGCAGGGCTCATGACCTGAGCGGAAGGCAGAGGCTTAACGCCTGAGCCACCCAGGCGCCGAAAATAAATAAAATCTTAAAAAACAACAAAAAAAGGATGCTTAAGGAGAAAGAAAAAGTTCTGTAAAGCAATAAAGAACACTCACTAAAGACAAACAACAGGACACCAATTCCGTATCTGAAACCACTAATCATAAGCCCAACACTGGCTTCTAGAGTTTAGCTACTTTTCAAGCCCCTAACCTAACAATTTCACTTAACGAAATAATCTTCAGTAACACAGACAGTAAAAGTGATGTTGTTTATAGCAATTAAAAATTGGGAACAATATCCAACAATGGGATATCATACAATGAACACTTTGAAGTCATTAAAAATATAGAAAATGGGGGCTCCTGGATGGCCCAGTCGGTTAAGTGTCTGCCTTCCGCTCAGGTCATGATCCCAGGGTCCTGGGATCGAGCCCTGCATCGGGCTCCCTGCTCAGTGTGGAGTCTGCTTCTCCCTCCCCCTGCTTGTGTGCTCTCTCTCTCTCATAAATAAATGAAATCTTTAAAAAATATAAAGAGAGAGAATGTATGGCATAACAAGTCCATAAAAACTATTAAATGAACAAAGCAGAATTTAAGTCAGCATATACAGAATCATCCAATTATAAAATTAAAAAGTACAGGGACGCCAGAGTGGCTCAGTTGGTTAAGCATCCAACTCCTGATCTTGGCTCCGGTCTCGATCTCATGGTCATGAGTTCAAGCACCACACTGGGCCCCATGTTGGGCCCATATGGAGCCTACTTAAAAAAAAAAGTGTAAGAGAAAAAGAGACTTGACATGTAAATACAAAATGTTAATAGCATTATCTCTGGGGAGCAGGATCACAGGAGAATTTTATTTCTTCTACCTATACAGTATTTTCCAAGATTTCTAAAAGGAACAGAATATTGCTATATGTAGCAATTTTGATACATGTATTTTCATCAGGCAGGCTCTCTTGGACTATAATTTGGGATAGGGTTATCACCACAGGAGAAAGACAATGGATTGCCTATAGAAAGAAGCAATAGGAATTAGGTAAATGTTATAAAAGGAAAGTCTAGAGACGTTGAAGAACAAACTTTTCATCTAACTAAAATTTTATCCCAAGACTGACTCCAACCTTCCCAAGAAGTGAACACTTTTTCAACTCCTCCTCTACTATTCTTTGCCATAGCCCCTGATATCAGGACTAAGAACATAAGTTACTTATGGATTAAAGAGGTTTTTAGGAAATTTAACTAGAAATGATGTTTTCTATGAAAAATGTATTCTGAGCTACATGCAGCTATCTTACTAATAAACCCTGTAAACACAAAGGTTCCTAGGCTGCGAATTCCCTGTATCCTAGGAAACACTGATTTTGTAATCCTCTGAATACCGAAAGTAGTTTCATAGTGTATGTATTTCACCTTTAGGTACCTATATTCTAACTGTTCAGCTACACTGAACACGCCCATAAGGCAGCAGATGGTAACTTCTTACTATTCCACCTTCCTTGAGACTTGGGAGGTAATTATGGTCAGTTAATTGTGGGTTCACTGCTACTGCTGGAGCAATACAAAATATCTAAATGGTATCACACAACTAGTAATCTAGGAAGTGAATACCAAATACACTTCCACATGAATTTTTTTTTTTTTTAAGGTAGGGTCCATGCCCAACGTAGGGCTCAAACTCACGACCCTGAGGATTAAGAGTCGCCTCCTCTACCAACTGAGCCAGGCAGGCACCACTGCCACAGGAAATTTTTAATAAATGTTAAAAAAATAAGACAAAGTAACTTTTCTATATGTACAATAAAGTCAGAATTAGACATCTTTAATCATAAAGGAGATAAGCTGAAGACAGGAACGACCTTGTCACAAGTACCTAACCATAGAAAGACATTTCAGACATGTTTCCAACATACTAAATCAAAAACACGGTAAAAACTATTTTTAGTTTCTCACACAATCAGGGTAAAAACTATTACCTCATTGCCAGCAGCCTCATGGTCAGGAACTACATCTCGATGGTGGTTTTGCGAAGCTGACACACTGACAGAAATAGATGTGTTTTTTGGTGAATGGAAGGCATTGATGAGGTGACTCAGAGGAACTGTAACCTAAAAGAAGGTAAAAGTTGAAATTCAGTAGTGTGCTTTTTAAAATTAAAACAGAGAAAATCTTTTTATTTTCAGGATCTGGGATTTGTAAAATGTAAAACATACACTGTATATCAGGACTATATATTAAAAAATGAAAACACTCAGATGTATTGCTAGCAGGAAAAAACAGGTAAATTCTTCCAGGACAGTACTCTGGCTATATGAATCAAAAGTATTAAAAATATATATTTTATTTCCCATTAATGTAATTTCTAGTAGTTTATTCTAAGGAAACAATCTGAAAAGTGCTTGTATATGCATAGATGACAATTTTCATTAAAACATTTAAAAAGCACTGGAAGAGGGGCGCCTGGGTGGCTCAGTCGTTAAGCGTCTGCTTCGGCTCAGGTCATGATCCCAGGGTCCTGGGATCGAGCCCCGCATCGGGCTCCCTGCTCCGCAGGAAGCCTGCTTCTCCCTCTTCTGCTCCCCGTGCTTGTGTTCCCTCTCTCGCTGTGTCTCTCTCTGTCAAATAAATAAATAAAATCTTAAAAAAAAAAAAAAAAAAAAAGCACTGGAAGAGCAGAAATGCCCACCATTAAAAGAGTGGGCTAAATAAATGATACCACCACAAAATGAAGTATTTCAGACTTAAAAAAAAAGTAAGCACATATCCAGAATTTTATTCTTCTCAACTTCCTCACTGCACCAACCTGTTCTCATCCTATTCTAAGTTACCATTATCTATATGCAGATTTTCACAATAGCCCTCCTAACTACTCTCCCTGAACCTGCTCTATTAAAAACAAAGTCAGGGGGCGCCTGGGTGGCTCAGTCGTTAAGCGTCTGCCTTCGGCTCAGGTCATGATCCCAGGGTCCTGGGATCGAGTCCCACATCGGGCTCCCTGCTCGGCAGGAAGCCCGCTTCTCCCTCTCCCACTCCCCCTGCCTGTGTTCCTGCTCTCGCTATCTCTCTGTCAAATAAATAAATAAAATATTAAAAAAAAAAAAAAACAAAGTCAGGGGCGCCTGGGTAGCTCAGTCTTTAAGCCTCTGCCTTGGGCTCAGGTCATGATCCCAGGGTCCTGGGATCAAGCCCGCATGGGCTCCCTGCTCAGCGGGAGGCCTGCTTCTAACACTCTCCCACTCCCCATGCTTGTGTTCCCTCTCTCACTGTCTGTCAAATAAATAAACAAATCTTTAAAAAAAAAAGAAAAAGTCAGATCTCATCGCTCCTCTGCTCAAAACCCTCCAATGGCTTCTCTTCCCACTCACAATAAAAGCAGAAGTCCTCAGCACTATGACACAGAAAGCCCTCTATGGTTATTACCTCTCCAAATTTATCCACCGCTATGTTCTTCATTCTCTTTCCTCCTGCCATATTGGCCTCCTTGCTGTTCCTGGAACACACCTAGCAAGCCCTCCCTCAAGGACTTTGCATTGTTTTATTCCCTTTTGTCTAGCCTGCTCTCTGACTTCCTTCAATTCTTAACTCAAATGTCATCTTTTGAGTCTTTTCCCTAGCCAACCTATTTAAAATTTCAACAACCCTCCCCTAAAAAATATTCCTTATCCCTTTTCACTACTCCATTTTCTCTTCTTGACACTTTCAGTATCTAACACACTTTATACCTAATCTACTTGTTTATCTATACGTTGTTTATTTCTCGTTTCTCTCTCTCAACCAATTCTGACACCAGCTGGTTGTCCAACAATCCAATTCTGAAATTAATTACCCAGTGTTACTGTAGAACCCATAAGTTAAAGGCTCAGCCCCGGGGTGCCTGGGTGGCTCAGATGGTTAAGCGTCTGCCTTCGGCTCAGGTCACGATCCCAGGGTCCTGGGATCGAGTCCCGCATTGGGCTCCCTGCTAGGCAGGGAGCCTGCTTCTCTCCCTCTGCCTCTGCCTCTCTCTCTCTGACTTTCATGAATAAATAAATTAAAAAAATAAAATAAAAAAAAAAAGCTCAACCCCACAAGTCTGTTCCCATTTCAGATACCAGTCACAAGTCCTAAGCCATTCATACTTCTGATCTACCAGCTATAAATCAGGGTTTCCTCAACCTCCTCCCCAGGTTTGATAATTTGCTAGAACAGCTTATAGAACTAGGGAATATACTTTACATTTACTGGTCTATTAAGGAAGGAAGAAGGAAGGAAGGAAGGAAGGAAGGAAGGAAGGAAGGAAGGAAGGAAGGAAGGAAGGAAAGAAGGAGGGAAGGAAGGAGGGAAGGAAGGAAAGGAGGGAGAGAGAAAGTGGGAGAGAGTAAGGAAGGAAGGAGAAGAAAATGAGAATGGAGAGGAGAGGAAAGGAAAGGAAAGGAAGGGAAGGGAAGGAAGGAAAGGAACGGGGTGCCTGGGTCGCTCAGTAGGTTGAGCATCTGCCTTCAGCTTGGGTCGTGATCTCAGGGTCCTGGGATGAAGCCCCGCATCAGGCTCTCCACTCAGCCGAGAAGTTGGCTTCTCCCTCTCCCTCTGTGATCGCTCTTGCTTTCGTGCTCTCTCAAATAAATAAATAAAATCTTAAAAAAAAAAAAAGGTAGGAAGGAAAGGCCAGATGAATAGGCACAGCCACAAGGGTGCAAAAGCACAAGATGTGGAGTGTACCACCCTTCTGCATGGTGAATCTTTGCACTAAATCTCACTGTTGAAGAGTTTCTATAGAGATCAATCCCTAGGCCAGCCCTCCCCTCCCAAAACCTAGGGAGTTAGGGCTGAGAGTTCCCATCTTCTAATCATTAGGTCTTTCAGGTGACCAGCTCAGCCCTGAGGCTGTCTAAAGACCCTATCCTAAGTCACCTCATAAGCGTAATTCCAGGTGTGATCCAAAGGGGTGCCTTAAGACACTCCTATCACATAGGAAATTCCAAGGGTTTCAGGAGCTTCATGCCAAGAAATGGAAACAAAGACCAAATATTTACTTTTTATTATATACCAGTCTCCCACCAAAATGTTAAGTCTGATGTGGCAAGGGATTTTTTTCTCTACTCTATTTTACTTTATTTATATAATTATTTAATGTAAAACTGTTAACAAAAAGAGTTAGGTGTCCCTGGAAAAAAGACATAACTTTCTTGACATAAGGCCCCCGAGCCATCTTATGAAAGAATATAAGAACAGCCACTATCAGGCCCGGAGTCTAATCTTTAATCTCATCAGGGACAATAAATCAGAGGTAAAGCTCCCAGAGTTCAAAAGTGAAGACTGACCTTCTTGAGTTATCTTTGCAGGATCTAAAATCCCTTTAACCCTCATATATTGAACTAACTGGAGCCAGAAAACTGATGATACTATCCTTTGCTGGCCCTTGTGACTCTGACCTGGACTCAGTCACTTTAAGATGACTTTTGCCCCAATTCCATGATGTATTCCCCATTCCACAAGCCTCGTCATGAATATGTATGAACCCTTACCCTAAAACTTTCCCAATTTTGTTATTCAGGGAGACACTGCTTTGGGAAAGATGCCTAATGTTCTCTTTTACTTGCTGCAAGTAAAACCTTCCCTTTTCCCATTCTTTGGCTTGGTTGTGTCTCTTGGTTTGACATTCACCAAGAGACAAACCCAGTTTTCAGTAACAAAATGTTTTTACACAATACTCACATAACTTACATACTTTAGATTTTCTTCTTTATTTTATCCATACTGTATCCCAGTGCAACAATAATGCACACACAGTAGATGCCAAATAAATATTTCTTGCATAAATGAATAAATTAAGTGGGTTCTTACCATACAGGCATACCTCATTTTATTGTGCTTCACTTTATTGCACTTTGCAAATACTGCATTTTTTTATAAATTGAAGGTTTGTGGTCACACTGCATCAAGCAAGTCTTTTGGCACCATTTTTCCAGTAGCATTTGCCCACTTCATGTCTCTTTGTCACATTTTGGTAATTCTCACAATATTTCAAACTTTTTCATTATTATTATATTCGTTACGGTTACCTATGATTAGTGATCTTTGATGTTAATACTGTAATTGTTTTGGGATGCCACGAACCACACCTATATAAGACACTGAGCTTAATCAGTAACTGTGTTCTGACTACTCTACCAATGGGCCCTTCCCATCCCTCTCCCTCTCCTTGGGCTTTCCCATTCCGAGACACAATATTGAAATCGGGGCAATTAATAACCCTACAATAGCATTTAAGTGTTCAAGTGAAAGGAAGAGTCACACTTCTCTCACTTTCAATCAAAATCCAGACATGATTAAGCCTGATAAGGAAAGCATGTCAAAAGCCAAGATAGCCTAAAAGCTAGGCCTCTTGTACTTTGCCAAGTTGTACATGCAAAAGAAAAGTTCTTGAAGGAAATTAAAAGTGCTATTCTAGTGAACACACAAATACTAAAAAAGCAAAACGGCCTTCTGGCTGAAAGTTTTAGAAGTCTGGATAGAAACCAACCACAACATTCCCTTAAGCCAAAGCCTAATTCAGAGCAAGGCCCTAACTGTATTTAATTCTATGAAGGCTGAGAGAGGTGAAGAAGCTGCAGAAGGAAAGTCTGAAGCTAGCAGAGGTTGGTTCATGAGGTTTAAGAAGCCATCTCCATAACATAAATGTGCAAGGCGAAGCAGCAAATACTGATATAGAAGCTGCAGCAAATTATCCAGAAGATCTAAGTGACACAGATTACTAATGAGTAACTATACTAAACAGATTTTCAATGTACAAGAAACTGCCTTCTGGTCTAAGATGCTATCTCATAACTAGAGAGAAGTTAATGCCTGGCTTCAAAGCTTCGAAGGACAGGCTGACTCTCTTGTTAGGGACTAATATAGCTGACTTTAAGTTGAAGCCAATGTTTATTTACCATTCTGAAAATCCTAGGCCCTTAAGAATAGTATTGAATCTATGCTGCCTCTGCTCTATAAATGGAAAAACAAAGCCTGGTCGACAGCACATCTATTTACAATATGATTTACTGAATACTCTAAGCCCCCTGTTAAGAGACCTACTGCTCATAAAAAAATGATTCCTTTCAAAATATTACTGCTCATTGACCATATA